CCCGTATGTATGTGTGTGCCTATGTATGTGCCTATCCAATGTAGGTACGTATGTATGTGTAAGTGATTCGTACGTAGAATGATTTGATATCGACCTCTCTCCCACTAACCTTACATAATGATTCTGTGGGGGTTGACATATAAGTACCACCGACGACAAGCACGTACCGCATGTAGGCCATGTAGGTAGCATGTATGCAGGTATCATCGTCCGAACCAACATACAGGAAAAATAGAGTGTAACTTCAACACACGGGGGGCCGGACCAACCCGGTACTTCTTCCTAGTAGATCGTTATTATAGCAACACGCACACGCATAGAGTTGAGCTGCTTCTGCATGGAGCCAACCATCCTGCGACTTTCTGGAAGAGCTCTCTCGAATGGAATTTTCCAGATCCTTATGAATTAAAATGATGCAGCAAATCCAACCCCAAATCTTGCAAGACCCCGTGTACATACAGGTACGGTTCTTGTCGAGACCCGGTGTTTCTACACGTCCACGTAGGCGGAGTTTTTACTCACGATGCTGGGGGGGGGGGGGGGTTTTCTCAATGACACGCAACCGAGGCAAGGATTCCCAATTTGAACAATGTACCTGGGTATGTCAAAATTTGGCGCTGATAGGCAGCAGAAAATGAATTTCTCGTATGTCAAAGTAGACGCGTTACACTCAGGGACAGACGGAATCTAGGAAGCTCTTCCAGACGAACGATCTATGTAGGTCTGTCTATACGTAGTAGATATCGCTGACCTGATTAGGTAGGTAAAAGTAAGTACTGTTACTGCATCTCGCGCGTCACTACATAATTTTGACAGATTGACAGTTTGACCAAATAAATCACCCACTCGATGAAGATTGGGGGCTAAAAATCATTCCCTATTATGCTCTTATTGCTCTGTGCTCTTACTCTGTATTACACTTACACTGCATTGCCTGTCTTAGGTAGGTATATCGTATTTGTAGAAGTATGTGTAATAAAACCCCCTTCTGATGTTCATAAAAACTTACGCGGCTAACCACAGCCCTATCCCAGCCAGGCATTAGATAGACTATTCGAATTCTTACTATACACATATGCATGTCGAAGAGGGGCAATAATATGGTCCTCCATTCAGACGGGTATTCCCTGCTTCACGAGGAAACCCCCGGTAGCTTCGTAATCCTGAGTCCATTGATAGTGACCAGAATGACCAACCCGTGGAGGCTTTGAATCAGCGCTAATGTCACTAGCAGACAACTCGGGCGACCACTCTAGCCAATTGCCAAGAGCGAGATCGTTCGAAGCTGTCGACGGGGCCGTTCCTGTGAAGATCGATTTGGCGCTCCACAGGACGGCGTCTTAAGTCTGATTCGTCTGATTCGCTATAAGACCTTGAAGAGTTTGGATCTGTTCTCGGTTCGACGGCTCTAGCGACTTAGGATCTGTAGGGTCTAGTAGCGGTTCTGGCCAGTGGCGGGCATGAACCTCGCAATTCGGTGATCATACGCGCTTAGACGGGGGGAACATATTGAAATGTATTGAGGGTATTTTCATCAACGACACTTGATTGCACCGCATCTATAGATGTTATGTGTCAATACATCCCCGGGGGCCCTATAGGCGAGTTTCGGAGGACCCTTTCTTCACTTACATACGCATTACGAACCTCATGTTTCTATTCCTGTACATCATCCATCGCGGAAACAGGCCGGATTCACTATCTGTCCAATATGATTTCAGTCATTTCATATGTGGTCTCATTAGTTTTTTTGTTATTAGGGTTGTATGGTATAGTATGAGTTGTATGTAGATTAGATGTAATCTGTAGGTAGGTTATAGAATTGTGTATTATTCATTGGGATGGGATGCAAATGGTTAATGATTGATGGTGCAAGTGTCCAAGTCTTGCATATCTAGCTATCGTAGCGCTATAAAATTGTAGAGTTGTATGTACCAGTATAAGTCGTGGAAAGTACCGATAAAGTACCCTCTCGTGACAGCACGTTTCCCACAAGCATCTTACACCTATCTAGGCGCTGCATATAGTGGGCTCCGCTGAGGAGTAGCAGGATTAAGTAGGAGTAGCGAGTGGCCTAGGTTTATGTAGTACTTATAGTGTCTGTAGCACCCTAATCAAGTAGCGTAAGTACCTTTTTTTAGGTACCATTTTAGCTTTCCAAGCTGCCCAGAGCCTTGAGCCCTGTAATGAAATAGTTGATTTTTAGCGCATTTAAAGATTTGTTGCCGGGCTGACGCCGTTAAAGCTCCAGAAGGTACCTAGTATTCATAATCTGCACTAATCTGCACAACCTGCACACCCCCCCCCCGTTGCCCTGTAACAAAAAACCCCACCATGCCCACCACGCTCACTACCTAGGTACCTACCTTTGGTACCTATGGATGGTACCTACATCCACTGCGCCACTCCCCTCCCAGGGCTCCGAAAAGAGAGCACTGTCCATTATGGACCTAGAGGAAAAAACCCCCGCTCCCACATTAGCCCGGCTAGCCAAATCTAGTACCACCCCGACCCCAACCCCAAAACCGGACGTTTCTCAGTAGTAGCCGCTTCTCCAACTGGTCAGGTTTAAACTTGAACTTTGTGGGTGGAAGTAATACCTAGGTACTATGGTAGGTGGTGGCACCGAACCAGGAATTTTTTTCCCTTTCTTTTCTCCTCTTCCTTCCTTTTACTGCTACTATTATTCGTTAACCTTACCTCACTTACAAAATTACTCACTATCTTTTTCTATTCTTCGGATTTCTTTCTCTCTTTGTCTTTGTCTTCTTCTTTTTTTAAATTAGTTTCTGTATAGAGGTATGGATCATCTCGCTACTTTTCATCCTAAACTAGCTGAAAAATCAGACCAGATGAACAAATAAAAAAAAATGAGACCATGATAATTCCCAGGTAGGTAATCTGAGGTAACCATGCCTGTTTTCTTTCTCGGTCTATCTTCCTCGTCTTCGGTTGTATTCACTCCCACCTGAACCTGATAGGTAGCTTGGGTGTGTCTACTATTGTGACATTGATGGCCTCGTCTATTCTCTTTTTTTTTTCACTCTTCTGATTTATTCACTTGTATTTGTTTTGTTTTATTCCTGTTTACATATCTACCTAGGTATACATATTCACACTTTACTTGGATAGGTAGTATTCTCAGATTATTTCGGTATCCACGTCCTTTTTTTTCTCCTCTTCGACGATATTAATACAGTATTATTACGTCTTTCTTCAGTTATCCTTTAATCGAATTAATATTTTATTTTATTTTATTTTTTACCCTTCTCCCACCCCTTTCCTTTTCGAGGTCATAGTTTAATTATACCTTCTCGCTACTCGCTATTCACTTGTCTTTCGAGTAGGTATCATGCACCTCGGACCCAGAGTTATTCTACGCTTGCCTGCCTTTTTACAAGGTACCAGTTCCCATTCATCGTCAAGCTGCAGAACGGGTCGATCTAAGCACTACTCTACTTTGTCTACCCTTACTTATGTAGGAACGGTACCTATCTCTACCTACGTACATAATCTACGTCCCCCCTACCTCTCTATCTGCACTACTACGAAGGCTACTACATCCATACATACATCCATACATCCATACCTTAATGCCTACATGTCTACATTGCATGCTACTACTATGGCCCCTACTTTATCTTTCTTAGCCATTCTAACCCCATAATTACGTCCCATTGCATCGTTCATCGTTTACGTATGTAGCGTATGTAGGGGAATAAGGTAAGGTAGGCTGGCCGACCACGGTAGTCTCTACTACCTACTCCCCTATTGTCTTGCTGCTACTACGTACGCTACTTATTACATATACTACCTACATAAGTAGTAAGTAGTTACTTAGTAGTATGTATCTGTTCAAATGGAGTATGGGGTCCATCTGCCTATATATCCTTGCCTCCTCTCCCGGGTCTGGCCCGTCCGGCCTCGTCTTGAACGACTTCTCCTATGTCCTCCTCTTGAAGTCCATTGCTCCCTCATAATGGCTTCTTTTCTTTAAATCAGAAATAAAAGGGTTTCTTTTTTAGTCGGTCTGTTGTGTATTATATTGTGTTCCCCTGCTCCGGCTCGTCTGTCCGTTCCCTCTCTCGGCTTGAAATCCGTCTCGATCCGAAAAAAATCGTTCGAGGTTGCCCTCTCGCTGGTGGGATAGGACAAACTCTCGTTTCGAGGTTCTTAGTTTGGGGATTCCTTCTTTCTTGTCATTGTGTCTGTGACGGTACACATATTCAGTACACACAATTTTTATCGGATCTTCTTACGCGACCCTCGAGGAAACACTATTGCCGTTATTGCGCCTCCTCCTTCTCACTCCTCCTGCTACCACAACTCAGCTGCTACAACCGCTACTACCACTATTATTACCAATAGTTGCCACCGTTGCATGGTCTCGGTTTCGTCTATTGTTCCTAATTCCAATATCCCGTTAATCACAGACGCGCGCGAGAGAGAGAGGAAAAAAGAAGACCAATCTGATTCACTTACCCCCCCGGTTTCCGCGCGTGACCATCGTGTCCGGTTCTTAGAAAATACCCGTTAAGCTATTTATTTATTAAAAGGCAAGTATTAAACCAAGTTTTCCTTTCCCCCTTCCTCCTCATCCTTCTTTATCATCAACCTCGGCCGATTTCTATTACGACTGCCTTGGAACTACCAAAATACCACACACACAACCTTCCTCGAGCATTGGCTTTCCGGGTTTCGTATTCCGGTTGCAACTACGACTCGATATATATCTCGCCTGTGGTTGCCATTTCAAGGAGGGGGGTTGTCTTTCACTCTTTCCCTCTTTTTTAAAAAAAATTTAAGAGGTCGTTGCCCCAGAGGACCCTGCGGCTCTTACAAACCTTACCACCACCTGACAACAGCCAACTATATCCCTGGTTGCTTCCGCAAACTTTACTTGACCATTCCCACTCACACCTTCCCTCCACAGTGAAACAACAGCTGACCCTGACCCATACAGTCTTTTTTAGTCGATAGATAGACTTTGTGGGGTGGCTGTCAAACAAATTCTATCACTTTGGGGGAAGCATTAACTCAGACGACCGGCTCGTATACACTACGTACACTGCATACAACCAATCCACTCACACCTTTTTTATTTATTTTATTATTATTATTTTTCCACCCTTCACCCTTGAACCCCTACACCACACACCCTTACACACTGGGCACATACCACATACGCATACATACACACACATACATACTCACATACATACCACGCACATACCACTTACCCACATCGACATCCCATATCCACACTTACACAAGACAAACGCCTCAACTGTCTATCCTAGTCCGAGTTCCTCAACCAACTTGGAATTGACTTGGTTTTTTTGGTTTTTTTTTTTTTCAAAAATCAAAAGAAAAGACAATCTTCTCAACTCCTAATAATACGTTCTTAACGTTTATCCTGGATTTCGAGAACCTCTTCGGAGACGATAGAGAAGAAAGAAATCCATGATGGGCATCGGTACCTTGCTCTCGGGTATTCTTCACCCAGATCTCAGCTTCGTATCTTCGCCGAATTTCTGGTGGTATCTATTTTGGATCTTGTGGTAAGTAATCTTTTATCTCTATAAGAAACGAAGAAAACTACGTTCTTTCGCTTGTGATTCCCCCTTATCCACCTCACATATCTAATTTGCCTCTAGGATACATCGATATCTACGTTTGATCGTTCATACGTTAAGCCATTGGTTCTACAAGTCGAAACCCATCCCAAGTAAACCTAAGTTTACTTCTCATGACGTAACTGTCATTATTCCTACTATTCACAATGCCTTCGAGGAGCTCGTCCCTTCTCTCAAGAGCATCCTAGCCTGTCGACCTCGTGAACTCATTCTTGTGACGACCGTGGACAAACATGTGGCGCTGGAAAAGCTCGTGCAGGAAAAACTTGTAGAGATTTTTTCAGCCACCAATATTCGCGTACTATTCACTCCTATCGCGAATAAACGACTCCAGGTATGCGAGGCACTCCCTACGGTAAGAACATCAATCACTATTATGGCGGACGACGACGTTACTTGGCCGTCAACTCTTATGCCTTGGATACTTGCTCCTTTCGAGGATCCTAAAATTGGCGGTGTTGGAACTTGTCAACGCGTTCGTCGTGAACCGGATGGGGATCTATCGACCCGCATTTTTAACTGGCTCGGAGCCGCATACATCGAGCGACGCAATTTTGAGATCTCAGCTACACATAACGTGGATGGAGGAACTTCTTGCATGTCTGGTCGTACTGGTGCTTACCGATCGGAAATTCTATCGAGTCACGACTTTCTCGAGGGGTTCAAGACCGAACGATGGCGCGATTATATTCTCAACGCTGACGACGACAACTTTGTGACTCGCTGGTTAGTAAGCCACCAATGGAAAACCTGGATTCAATACGAGCGAGAATGCGAAATCGAGACTACCCTTGAAAACGGCCTGAAATTTCTTTATCAATGTTCACGATGGGCTCGTAGCAATTGGAGAAGTAACTGGACAAGTTTGGTCCGGGAAAGATATGTGATTACGTAAGCATACGACCCTATTCCCCTTTTTTTTTTCCTTTTTCTCACTCTCCGCTGTTCCCGCTATCCCATTTCATAACATTCAACTGCGCCTCAACATGGTTGTCTGATTACCAACTAACAACTATTTTGCATAATAGCCAACAACCTTGGAGTACTTACGCTCTCCATATTGCGACCTTTACCTCCCTGGCCTTTGTTGTGGACCCTCTCTTGCTAGTCTCCCTCTGGTGGGGCACTGAAGGATGGGACTTGGCTGCCCGTCAGCGTTGGTTCTGGGCTCAATTCGTCTTCATGTTCGCATTTACCAAAGTCGTCAAGTTAATTGGGCTCTTTCGACGTAACCCGAGCGATATTGTTTTCTTGCCGGTTTCCATCATCTTCGGCTACTTTCATGGGCTTATCAAATTATATGCGCTCCTAACTTTGAATATGGTAAGAAATACCCGATGCGTAAGCCAACCTTGAAATCCTTGGGCCTCGCCGCTAATACAGTTCTAGACCTCATGGGGTAGTCGACCCGATGGTGATGCCAACGATGCTCTACGTATGTCTCCTCGCCCTAGAAGGAGCGACAGCATTACGACACCTCGACCTCGGCCAGACGATCTCGATCGTTCGTTGCATAACAACCACAATCGTATGCGAAATATCGGGTCGGTCTTATCTGAAAAAGAACCGCTTCTTGACTACGATAGAGAGCATGCGCCGATTACCGTGCTCGCGGGATTGTCATAATGGGGTAGTAATGACGCGTGGGGGGTTTTTCGCGTTGCGGTCCTGTTTATTCGGCTATTTCGTACGGATGATTATGGGCTGACAGCAAGACGTTACGCATTTACGATTCATGAGTGTTATATTCGATGATTCATTTCGCTGAAAGAGCTTATCGGAAGAGGTCAAAACGGTACTCTCCTACGGTATACTGGCCGCTGCCTGAAATATGGATAGTGGCCAATGGCTTTCAGGCTATAAGACGACATTCGTCTTCGGATCGTCGGACGGGTATTTTACAATCCACACACACCCCTCCCAAAAGTTTCAATGGTCTTGATTCTTTTTTATTTTTGACGAGGCGGTAACGGAAGGGTCTCATGACATATTTGCACGCATACACACAACCAACGTAATGGGTTTATGGCTCAGAACTTAGCACTGGTGTACGGCGGAGCGAGTTGGGAGTACTACTCATATTTGCAAGGTCACACTACTGTGCTACCTATTAATAGGACGGCTTCTACAGGACGGGCAGGTAGCATATTCATTTTTATGTTCTCTCATCTTTGTTTTCTCGCATCGCATTTTTTCGGCATGCAGCATTTTCGCGCTCGGTTTCTACCAAAAACAAAATGGATGGTACGGTCTAATTTTTATTTCGAGACCATACGGAGGTTTTCTGGTTGGAAGGCAAAAATCGGCAATAGATTGTGACTCTAGTCTGCATGGAGGTCTTCGGATTCCTCATAGATGTTTATTTTAGAGGGGTAATGATTCGAGACCAATTGTGCGAGGCCTAGAGAGAGAGACAGGAAAGAAAAAGAACGAGAAAAAATAAGAAGGGTCCTTTTTCACATGCAACTGCGTAATATGACATTGGCTGATCGAGACAAATGGTGTCGTACTGCATATAACATGTAGTAAGATTTTTGATGCGATGTGACTTGTACTTTTATTACCTATCCCAGAACTCGATGGGATGCAACCTAACCCACCCCAAGTTACCGATCCGATACCCCCGCGATATGCCATGTCGGTCGTGCAGCGGACAGGGACGACACGGCATATGCAAAATGCGACTGAACAAGACGCGAGATCAACCGCCAGAGGTACTCGTCAGGAGACTTGGTGTTGCACAACAGCAACGGCAGTAATCAATCTCTCAGGGGTAAACCTCCAGAGCTTACAAAGAAGCTACTTAGTTACTTGACCTATGAACCTAGAGACGAGTCGCGTAAGAACTGCCAAGCAGTGTGTCAGCAGCCAGCTGGACGGGGTTCTGCAACCCCCAGCTTTCGGCAGCGCCAAGCCATAGAGGCTCTGTTTACACATGCTCATAGGTTCTTTTGCGACCCAGTCGGATGTCTTAACGACTCGTCTACTCCCCTGGAGGTGTGGCACTTGACTTTTTTTTTTCTTGTTATTAAACATGGTCGTCATTTATTCTTCTAGGGATTGAGTCTAGATTGTCTAGCCTTACCGTATTCCTTCACCTTCACCTTGTGGGAGGGTACCTATCCAGGATTTTCAGGTGTATGTCCAACTTCGTGTCCCGTCAAGCTGAACCAACCAACCAACCAACTAGCAACCAGCCAGCCACATTTACCTATACAGGTGATTCTTTTTAGACCATTTACCTAACCTAGGTGTTACTTGCTACGTACTTAACCAAGTCGGGCATGTAAGTACTTCTGACTAAGCCGGGCAATCTCGGTCGTATACTAATAATTGCTGGGATTCGGCTACCAAGCCGGCGGTTACGGAGACATATTCCTCGGTTTACCATCGGGCTTTTCTGCCGTTCATCCATCATCTTATCTAGGAAACTCAGGATCGAAGAATCTCAGCAATTCCCCCGGCGACCATATCAGATCGGTACTTAGGTCAGGGTTATCGCGGGGCAGTGGCTTTCTTCGCTAATAATAAGCGAACAAATAAGACTGTACTCACCTAAGCTACCTAGGTAGGTTACTTGCCGTACCTGGAACCATGTAAAATGGCTTGATGAGGGGGAACGTCTCGGAACGCAAGGAGGAAGACGGAGATGAATAGAGAGGGGGGAAAAGAGGAAACCCGAGAATTGAAGGATATAATCTCCACTTCGTTATAACATTAACATGCTCACCTAGTCCATATATAGTTCTAGCTTTGATCCTGTGTAGATTACTCATGGGTAAACCCCGCAATTGTAATCTGAATTCGAATTCGTGATCGTGCTCAATGTTACAGTATCATGGTTCTTTTTACAAAGCCCAAGCCCGTTACCTTTCTAGGTCAACTTGGTACCTAGCAACTAACAAACGAACTACCAAAGATAGCGAAGTACTTACTAATTCCTTGCAGATATAGGTAAGTACCTACTTATCTGAAAAACGAATCCGACACAGTGGAAAGTTGCAATTAGTACTCTTTTAGTTCAATTATCACGAAGCAGTCTTTTGCTTAGAATATGATTTGATTTTTTTTTGCTTGATTGAGGTATCAATTGCTTAATAAACTCGGCTATGAATTCGAGACGCGGACCGAGGATGCATACGTATTCCCAATATACGGGCGTATATTTTTACAATAGAGAAAATGATAACCAACGAATGCGAATTGACTGATGATATATCACAATTCGAAACCCCAGCTTATCTGACGTTAGCTGTACCACCATGACTGCATGCCAATGACCTAGAACAGGGAAAACACGATCCCACCACTGTGGTCCAGATGAAGCTAATTTAGGAAGCAACATAAAAGGATGGTGTGGTCCTTGTCTAGACTATTACCAGGAGAAGCTACTTGCATGTATCGGCGGAGTTGAATTACAGATGTATGACTTTCTTCATTACCTATATACAGCTCTCTCTTGACGATTATTCGGATCGGATAACCCCCTGGTCTAAGAGCCCACCTAAATACCTACCTACATATTCAAATATAGGCGCTACGCATATATATGTACGTGTTTATACGTATTAGGCATGTATATGTATGACATGTCCATGTAGTCTACTGCAAGTTATACATAAAGGTATGGCGACGCCAAAGCCAACGCCAATGCGGTATCACTCGCATGTACAAACGACGCTAATGTCTTGAAGACGAACGAAAGGGAGGAGGGATGACACAACATACCTTACCTTACCCTTACCACCACGCCCGAAAGGATTCATATTATAATACTTCTGTCTATACCGCACTCGCCGACGGACTTTCGTTGCCGGCATTAGTGATTATCAACTAGCGCGGCGAACACGACCATGATGCATCTGCGCATCGCCAATTTCATCCAGAATAAGAGGGGGGGGCACGGATGAAGACGACGTCAACATTTATGAAGGAAATGTCACGAGAATGGCTATGGAGCGGGACTTAAGTAATACATGTTCACGGGAACAGAAGAAAAAAAAAAGCGAGATAAGTCACGATCCCCCGATCTTGGTTCTTCCCGACTTTCGCGTGAGAAGGATTCTTGCTTAACCAGGTAAACGAGATGGAGAAAAGGGCTGACGAGAGATTATCAGCCATGGTTGAGTTTACCACGAGATCCCGGCAAATGAATCACTAGAACCCTGCTAGTTCAAGATCCCAAAGTGATCTCTCCAAGGACCTCTCCTCGATCGACGATCACATCAGTGGACTAAGCACCATACTACACTATGCTAGCGAATAGGTTACATAGGTGTGGGTAAGAAGGGTGGAAGTTAGGTCGCATAAGTATTCTGCCTTATGCTTATGTATATATGTAAGGTGCATATATGACGAACTACGAATGTCGATCTTAACACTATACATCCTATACATCTATGGTTGACGGTGGATTTGTTAGCTCTTTTACAGATGTCCCATACAGGGCATACAGGGGCAGCCCACCAGTTTTTAGCATCTATCTCCCAGGGCTGAGACACCTCTAGCACCACCACACCCTCTTTCTCTCCGGGTCTTGTTCCCCTTCCTCGCTAATTTTTTTTAGGTACCTAGGCAATCAATTAGGCGCTTACTAGCCTGTACGGGTTTCTGGATATGCTAGGTACCTAAACATGTACCGCTTAGGTATGAGTGTGTGGGAACAACCACTACAGGTATTACCACTGCCTACCTAGGTACCACCCCCATCCCTTTTCACTCTTGTGCGCGCGCTATACAGCATACAGTACTAGTCAAGTACTACATACCACACCAGCATAGTAGCGTATGTAGTACTACCGAACACCATTGTGTACTACTGCGCCGCGCTAAATCATGAACCACACAAAAAACCCTGGACGGTTTGCAACCTCGCGAGCCGCGCTTAACCACATCCTCTTGGACCTGCGTCTTCGATCATGCACGATTTTACAAATAAGGGTGGGTGGCAGGGTAGATAGTTTTTAGGGGGGTATCGTTCGCGTGCGTCCACGCTATCTATCGAAACCCCTCTAGCTTGCTCTCGAATTGGTATGGTGTCGCCAATACCTTCATGTACCGTGCGGTTTGTCGAACTTATCTCCCGGCATCCTATATGCAGTTGGTTGGCGATATCGCAGCGGAAAACACGAAGATGTACAGCTCGGAAGAGACTATGAACGCATAACACAGCGGTTAATAAGACAAGAGTGCATACGAAGCGGAATTGACAAGTGAGATATCGTATATACCTTACCAAATATATTTTTTTTCTCCAACCTGTCCCAACAGCTGCGAGAGGACCGTCATGATGACGACAAGAAAAACGAATGGAGAGGGTTGGATTCGAAATCTCAATAAACCTCGTGCGAGACTGGTCGATCGAGATTGTCTCGGAGGATCAGGTCTACTTGGCGGCCGGCGTCATGTTTCCTATCCGAGACACAACGTGGTAAGTAGTCCTCGCGTGCCCCGTGAAGATACATGACAATACATGTACGGCCTGTGCATTCTGGATTGATACGTACTTCGATACATTGGTGTACTTGTTACCCTCTTCCCTACATTGGGGTACGTACGCACACAGGCGAGGAAATTACCTACCTATCACTTTTCAGTACACAGGTAGCTCATATGCGTATGTATAAATCAGTCGTCGCCTGCATTAATCTAGGTAAAGAATAACCACATTGACCTCGCGATAGGTACAGGACGTTAAAGTCATGCCACTTTCTTTCGTATCCCTTCGGAGGTCCTTTCGCTTGCGTTTACATATGTAGTTCTAGACGTACAGATGGGTTGTGAGAGGTTACTTCTGAGGTACAATCCACTAAAGGGAACAGCCCAAAGGAGTAACCTCTATGTACTTAAGGTCGCCTTTTAGCGTGCTACCTCCCGGTCCGGAAGTAGAAGCCATAGGCGCCAAGTTCCAGTATCGTAGCGGACCTTGTCTCTGGAGAGGACCTGGCATTGTCGATCTCTCGCTGTCGATCCATGGCGGGCGTCATGCACGAAATTCAGATTGGAAGAGGCGTAGAGCCATCGACGTAACCGTCCTTGGTGTAACCCTCACCCTCACTACGGCACTAAGGCACTAAGACAAGCCCCCGGGATTGGGGGAAGGTGGTTGATGCTAATACATAAGTTGGGGGCGCCCGTACCTTGCCTAATAACGTACCCCCATCCAACCCCCCTTATTCGAAACTTGGACAAATTTGATTCGACTTCACCAATGTTCCCGTTTAGCCTCCAATTTCAGGAACCTATATCGTTCTTTCATGGTTACACACTCAACATGCAGATTTACGTTAATGAATTTTTGGTTCGTACAATGTAAAAGAGAGGATCTTCTACCCACGGAAGATCAGCACCATCGTCCCGCCCCTCCGGTGGATTCCGTGGAGCGGAGATGGAGCCATTATTGATGTTAGCGGCTAGTCCCACTGCTTCTTCAATGGTTCTACTTCAAATACGTATGCTATCACAGGTCATTCAGGCTTTTTCAAATGTTATGCCTAGGCAATCAAAGCATCATAAGAAAAAAAATAAGTGCCAAGTTTATAAGTTTAGCCCCATCAGGCAGAACGTGGGAGAAATTCCGTCAGACGCGACGTTGGCGCCGCCTCGGAGCTTCCCCCAAATCTATCTAACGGTGGTACGACGATGTCGTCAGATAAGGGGTACCACACACATTCGAGAGCGCTGACGACTTACAATAGGCTAGGCAATGTGATCTGATCATGACATTAAGCTTATCATAGCCGACCCAGATTCACGGACTGCGGACGCTCAGACGGGGTAACAAGCGAGATCTAGATAGACCTAGAGCGCGATCTAGACCTCCGAAGAACAATCTGGGGAAGCATATCCGTCCGCCGCCTCGTTACCGCCGAGGTTTATTAGTATGTTACCCACGATGCGGTTCACTTAAAACCTGGCGCCTGTCTACCTAGACCCGGTATAGCCTGTACCCCCTTTACTATTGCTTTTTCCTCGCGAACGGATTTATCGTATCGGACGTATCTTCTTAAACCCCCGCGCTAAGCTTGAATTCGTGGAAAATTAATGTGCCTTAGGTAATCCGGGTAGAGACGTAACGTTAAGTAGACAGGGTTCAGTCCTCTATAGATGAGATTGATATTATACATGGTAGTCCCGCTAATTGACATAGATGTCCAGTATTGCGTGATAAGCTGTTTTGTGGTTATTTAGTAATATCCATGTCATTTCCGCCAAGATAGTATGGTAATATGTCCTTAATTGATATTCCTTTGTTTGTCTCGTCTCAGTTCAAGACCCTTTTTGGTTTTGGACCCCTTTGTTAGCTGCAGGCTAGATCTCCATTTATCATACTTCCCTGTCTCCAAGATCTAGGTACCGTGGATAGCTGTCTCAGCCTTAATATGATGTTGTGAGGTTTCTCGGGAGCGAATATTATACGATATACGTGCATTCGTCAGATCGAGGCATCCATTGTTTTATAGATAAAGAATGCTAGTGGTGGTTTATGAGTAACGGTCGTTATATCACAAACATTCTTATCATGACCTATAGCAGCAACGAATTGACGGGTTCCAATGCAGGAAATAGAATAGCGTAAATTCATACGGCCGTGAATCTATTCTTTTCTCCAATATTTTGATATATAGTAGACATTTATGAGAAGATTAATAAATATTTGCTTTGGGCTTGGAAAGTTGACGGATTCTATATATCATAAGCTCCCCGCCAACAGTTGAAAACAATCATCCTAAATGCCACGGCCATATTCCATATTGCTGGACCTACCATAGGTAAATGAACTGAGAATATCATGCAATAAACCGTACCTTTCAAGCACGAAATTCTCCAACCTACCATTGGCCAACCGAAGCAATGGCATTTCCCGTGGTTATACTACAAGGACTAAGCCCAGTTTCATATTGGCAATACATACAGCGGGTCAAACATCGGGTATAATTGCTGTTTTTTTAACTCTTCACCTTTATCATAAAAATAATTGCCACTATCTAGCTGCCAATCTCGCAGAATGTCTTTGACTAACACGGTGAAGTCGAAGATCAAAAGATGTAACGATCCTTCCGCGCCTCTGGGGCCAAAACCCACAAACACAACCTCGATGGCGAGTACCACCGAAATGCAAGCCGATTTTAGAAGCCGTGTTTATAAATAGCTTGGGAACTATTTGATAGAGGTTTACTCGCTTCGTCGTTAAACGAGAAAGACAAAGCTATCTCTTCATCAAGCGCTGCAATTCCGCTGTCACATCTACGTAAGAGGAATCTGGAATGTTTGACAATGGATGCATTATCCACCTAGCTAAGTCTAAGCTTTACTTTGCTGTGGCTTTGTCTACGCTAGCTATACTCTGAATAGGGGGGTCTCTAGGGCTTTCATCACATCGAATATTGCTAGTGTAATATCTGGTAGGCTAGATCTTCGTTAGAGGGTGAATTGGCGGTAATATCCCACAAGAAATACTACGGCAAGGTTGTCATATTGCACTTTCCAATATATACGAGCCAATATATAGACTAAAGGTATGTATAAAGCCCATAAAACATTCTACCTAGGTAACTAAGTATATGAGCTCTCCTGGACCTTTCATAAAGTAGATAGTAACAAAGTAGGAAATTTTGAAATAAATACATAAGACCATTACACATTATGTGCTCGTGGTATTCTCATTCCTTGGGTAAATTTGCCTTCACCCTTACCATGTGCTAACCAACTTACCTTATTTTACCCGATGTTACCAGCTCCAAGCTTGCTTGATATCCTGAATTCCCTAGAAAACGAAGTAATTCGTGTACTCATAATAGAAAGCAAAACGTGCACCGTGAAGTAATGAATTAAACCTTCCCAGCTAGGTACAATATGTTCTCCTTAACTGCCTCTGTCAGCTCACCTTGCCCCGTGTACACGTATTGTGCAGTCTGCGGCCATACCTCGGCGTGAGGCATAGGTAGGTATATGACATCACCCTCATGGACATGCCCAGACTGCAATAGAGCCGCTACAACAGGGAGATAAGCGCGAGCATACCGAAGGTCTATATAGTTGCATTAGTATCAACTCACCACAGTCCGCAATATGAGCCAACTTACGTATAGGTACAGCTTTCGCGTCTCTTATCAAACTCTCCAAATCTAAGCTACTCGAGCCTGCCCGAAGTAATGTGCCCGAACGCACACTACTTGATCGCCTAGCTCTTGTTTGCGAAGGAATGGCGACTCCACTACGGGGTGACACCGGTAAGGGGCTTAGCCCACCTGGACTGTGGATTGGTAGTTGTGAAGGAGGATCAGGTATCGTAGCTCGAAGCTCCTCTATGTTGAAGTTCCTCTGGATTAGAAAGGAAGGTTTATCCAAAGCTCGAGGCCGAACGATTGCACGGACCGTTACTCGTTTCCCTAACGGCGCATCATGCTTGCTTATTTCTGCTAGCTTTCTGACTTCTAGCCCCTTGGTCTCAGCTTGGGAACCGTTACTAGGCCGACGGAGAGATCGAGCGATGATGAAAGCGTCAGCTGTTTTGGCATTGCCGTAATAGACGTGACCCCAAGTTCGAAGCTGATCTTGCGCTGAGTTCCTTCGTGGTGAGACAGGGGACAAGCTGCTACTGTCTGTGGCATAATAGCTAGGATTTCGATCCTGAGGAGCTAATAAACCATCACGCGTAGTTACTGACCGAAACCTTTCGGAAGAGAGTTGATAGTCCCCTTGCGGCTCAACATCCGGTGAAGCGGGTGTCAGCAAACTATGCGCTATGCTCATTGGTGGTAATATGCTGATCCTTTCGAGCCGCGCAACTAGGGGGGACGGAGAGTATTCTTCAATAGGAGTTAGAGGTGCCGAGTTATTGATCACATGCTTCGCTCTGTGATCAAGACTATTGACTAATGCTCTATCTTGCCTTCGCATCGAACCATCGTAGGACGCGGGATGGATTGGACTCGGACCCGGGAGGCTTTTGGGTGACACGGGTGACGGAGATAGGTTGACGTTTATGGGGGTTGGCCTAAACACCGTCTTCGTGGCGCCTCCGAGACTACGATGGCTGGTCCACAAGGGCTCGAGACTCAGACGTCTCGAGACATTTACATCGCTTGTCATTGGTAGGGTGAATTAACCTAAGTACGAGATAAGTAACGTATGAAGCTAAAAATATTTCTTCTCATAAGACTGTTCTGGTGGTTGTAAAAAAACAACTGTTGAGAAGCAGGGATATAATTCAACCTTCCACTGCAGGACTTGGCTTATGAACATTTTCTATCAAATAGGTAAAAGGTACAAAGCCTTTTTTGTAAACGGACCTTTTGGTTGTTGAAAGGGGGGGGGGCTGACGCGGTTCGTTAAATCAAAGGGTTGACACATATTGACAATCGGGGTTTCGCAACGTTTATTATTGCTCGTGGCGAAGAAGAAAGACCGATATGGTATCTTTATGCGACTCGTCTCGATAGGATGAATAAAGGAAATGACCGAGATTCTTGTCATTTGCACCTACTACCTTGTGGATGACTGAATGTTTAAACAGCTGAATAATGAGAATAAGGAGACGGGCTTTTTCTCCTGGGCTAGATTGAATAACAAAGAAATTTTGCATTGCCACATTTCATATAGATCAAGTTATACAGGAAATGTAACTAGGATTTTTTGTATTTTGAATGGAATCGTCTCAAACAAGTTTATCAAAGCTGACCTGTCGAAGAAGTGAAAGTTGAATGAGTTGAATGAGGAAGAAATCAATAATTGATACCTTCTATTTGCATAGAAACGATATCTCATTTCATATATATAACTCATTACTATATAATAGCTGCTGACATAATACTCGATAGTGTCATAGTAGGTTGACATAAGCCCAGCTAGCGTTATGACCTCACGGACGGGAGCTAGGGTAAGGTGAAAGGTTATGTAATGACAAAATAGAGCTTCCTTGCTCATGATTGGCTCACTCCGTTCAAACCTTGGTGTTTCAATTTCAAGCTCCAAATAATCACCTCGGAACTTTGACCTCCAAAAAAATACTTTTTTTAAAGGACAACATATCAGATATCGACTTGACATCTGTTCAAATATCTCCCTTAACCCCCCCTTCTTATCGTCGCGATGTCATTCGATTTTCGATAGTATATCTAAATAAATTGTTTCATCCTTTTATTCCGTATTTACTCCTGCAATTTGCGTAAGGGTAAAAATGGGATCCAATACGACGACTAGTTACAAACAGATGAAGGAGGACTTCGTGTCCAACTTGTCAGGAGGCTCGATCGCTGAAATTAATTGTGTGACTGCTGTTGGACCTGTACGCGAGGGATCCGATATCCAATCATCGTGAGGATTTTTTGCTAATTTGAGCCCCATCGCCAGATCGCCTTCACCCTATGGTCTATATTGCAAGCACGCCAATCCTTTTTCAAAACGTACAGACCACTAAGCTTCTTGGTCGATTTCCTCCTAAATGTCGTGGCTATACTACTATCCATAACGCTCTACGCGAACACACCATTATTACTTTCCGGCCTGATTCTTGTTCCTGCCATATTCGTCTATGCGCTACCTCCAAACCCCGCCGCATCGCGAAAGAAGCCCAAGCTCCCTCCCAATGCGCAGTCGCAAAGATCACCCGGTACACTCAGCGTTCTATCCACGAAGCCTTTCTTGACGACATATCGAGGATCTATGTTGGTTACCACATGTCTAGCAATATTGGCCGTGGATTTTAGACTATTTCCTCGTAGATTCGCCAAGGTCGAAACATGGGGTACCTCATTGATGGACGTGGGTGTGGGGTCATTCGTCTTCTCAGCAGGTGTTGTTGCTGCGCGACCAGTTCTGAAAGAGAGGGCTGAGGGTCGGAGGACGCCGTTGGCCCAGAGACTTCTATACTCGATGCGCCACTCGCTTCCTCTTTTGGTTCTCGGCATCGCCCGGTTCATAAGCGTTAAAGGTATCGACTACGCCGAACATGTCACCGAATACGGCGTCCACTGGAACTTCTTTTTTACGCTAGGCTTTCTGCCCCCTTTCGTTGCACTTTTCCAGTCAGCCTTGAAGATCATTCCATCTTATGCAGCACTCGCTATACTAATCGGGGTTATCTACCAAGTTGTGCTAGAGAGCACAAGTCTGAAAGCATTTATTCTTGTGGCGCCACGAACAGACCTCTTCTCCATGAACCGAGAAGGTATATGCAGCTTTTTCGGATATCTTGCCATATTCCTAGCCGGCCAGGATACCGGCATGTTTGTATTGCCCAGAAGCATTAATCCACGTAGTGGAACTAGTAACAGTACGCAACGAGTGACCCTTCTTTTAACGATGGCCGTATGGACATCTATCTGGACTGTCCTATACTTCTTCAATACGAACTACACATATGGGGCAGGTTTGGACGTCTCTCGTCGACTTGCCAATCTACCTTATATCCTATGGATTGCGGCGTTCAACTCGGCTCAGTTATTAGCATGTTGTGCTATTGAGAGCCTCTTCTTCCCGTCATTTTATAATGCTACGGATGCGAAGACGGAGCGTGAGGCGTATGAGACAGCTACAAGTAGGGTGTTGCGATCATTCAATAGGAATGGATTGGCCATTTTCTTACTAGCAAATCTACTCACCGGGTTAGTGAATATGACGGTACCTACGTTGGATGTCGGGCCAGGTATCACGATGGCAATACTCGTGGGCTATGCTGCCGTGTTGACGACGGTTGCGGTTGCCCTTGATTCATGGAATATATCCATTAAGTTGTGAGCTAAGTATAGACCAATTAGAAATCAATAAGAATATTTTACCATCTTGCATCTTACCCGATTTACCATTATTTACTTAAACTATACGTTATTCACATCGAACATTTCGCGGAATGCTCAAGATTGCATCCTCTATCTCGGTTCCATCTTCTTCATCTGCCGGAATAAGTTAGCAGACTCACCCAGAAGTCATAGATTTCTTTATCCTATGATCCAATCCACCTACAAATCCAGATTCGCAGGTCCCGAGCTATAGCTTAGCTGAAGCAATAGCTTCTTACCCCACCACCCCCCTATTCGACCCCCTTTCTCTCCACATTACGTGTATGTGTCGACATTTACAATATATATACGGAATCAATACAATGGTCTATCACGTACGACCATATAATCTAGAAAGCTCGGGATCCCGTCCGATCTCCCCTTGATAAGCTAGATATTGCTAGACTAGTAGTTGGGTCGGTGACGATCAGCGAATCCCTGGTGTTGTACGTTTTTACCTTTTTAACGTTTCGGTATGGCATTTCCTTGTTCGTATCGTCGATATACTCCCCGCTCCCGGGCGGGTGGTTCACGATTCCTTTGCCACCAATGAGGCAGTGCATATATCACTGGATCACCTATGTATAAGGGTTCGTATACTACTTAGATGTCATGTTGGGACGGGATCTGGATTGTTCTAGTCCTTATTCGTCAATGGGGGACAATTTAACAAAGACATCGCAGAGTATCACCTTGAAATTGTCCATCAAGGTATCCAATTGGGAAAGCACATCGTAATCCCTTTATTCTACTATATTCCCACAACAAGAAGAAATAAGTTCTGGACCGTAGTCCTTGTCTTCGGGTGCGCCATGATGGTGGGTGATGGGATGGCTAGGTGTTCATGACGTCCTCATTCCCGTTACCGCGATGCTTTGTCTTCGGTGCGATGTATATTTTTCTTTGTGGTAGTATCTCAATTTTCCTTTTCGTATCAGGAGTGACTGATCGATGGGTAGACGCATATGCGAAATTGAGATAGGGATATTATGCACATGTTGTGTGACTGTGATGAGGCGGGTGAATATGAGCTTTAGTACTTAGGTAACTCGAATTTCAAACGTGGTAAAATTTAAGCCTTGTTCACATGGACGGGTGAAATCTTGGGGATGGTTACCTAGTATTTAGGACGGAGAAGGCCATTGTACATTGTTATTTGAGAATGAAATGGCATGGGGCTGATGGGGTGTAGTACGAATTTACTTTAAGGGTTAAGTATCATATATTCTCAGTCCGTGTGCTGAGACATTTTCCTACCTACGCTATTATGTTGGGTGCTTTCCCATGTGATAATATCGGGACTGTTCTTGTGATACCCGAGAATATTAGAGGCATTTCCATTCAAACCCCTTCTATCTGGGGTCGTTCCAAGATATTATAGTTGGAGTCCAGATTAAGAAGTCTCAATGTTTGCTGAGTAGGTAGGTGGTGAGGCACTCTTTCTATCACTGCATCCTCTGAACGTATATTACTCATCTAGCAAGTGTCTAGTCATTCAGCTCATTCTGCAGGTTGAATTAATAGTAATTAGGAAAAATCGGCGGAAAGATCGGATCGCGGGTGATCGTCGTCTTCGAGGCGTATTAGTGACGATATCAATCTATGTATCAGATTGATCATCCGAAAGGTTCGCACTCCCGGATGATCGTGTAGCTAGCCATAATTCTCGGGTTCCCCACGCCAATTTATTTTTTTGAACGATCCCGTTATTAAGGGTCTTTGAGAGATGGCTTACTAAATGTTATAATACTAATATCATTCGGGCTTAATTAATCTCCAAACATCAGTTCTGGATCATGAAGCTTTGGTTTAGTTGATTCTCCCAGCATGTTTCCGGTGGATGTGTATCGTAGTAAGTTCCTACCTTACTCGAAGGTACTTGATATCAATATTTCAATTAAGCCTGTTTCTAGAGCATGAATATGCTATTTCAATGTTCCCTTTTCAATTGGCTAAGATCCCTAATTATATAATCCTAGATATTAGATTCCTTGGGACCAATTCGATTTGCGCACGGATTTATGGCTACTTGACTCGATTATCCGTTACTTAAAATATGGTATGGTCGCACGAATCATTTACCAAGTCTTTGTACTCCCGCATTGTTTCATGCATGGAAGGGAGCTCCTTGGTAAATAGCTCGGTGGCTTCACTGGTTGTGTGGATGGCGGCAAAGTCGAATGAGGTCTACCCGGTGGACGACGATGACGATCTTTAGGCGGATAAAAGTACCGTACGCTATGAATGGTGCGAGGTCTGAGCTCTTTTGAGACTCGAGCCCGTTTCGGTTAACCGCTGGTAGACCGTGCCCCTAGATACTTGAATAGTTCAAGGAGAGTTAATAAACTAAGAACTATTCTTTTGACCCCTGTCTGGTACCCATGAAAGGTCATCTCCGATGTCAATGCAAGAAGATCTGATCTTCTCAGCCTATCAGCCTAGTGGACCATTGTTATATGCCGTAGCTGAAAAGTTTGGAATGGGATCATTCGTTATATGTATGTATTAACGTACATACATACTTAAGTCGCAATGTAGATGCTTGTGGACGACGTACGAAAAGCTCGCAAGGAGACTGGTGGCATATCGAATTGTTTTTAATTGGGTTGGTGGTCAGCGTCGCGCCCGGAATCCTGTTTATTTATTGGGCTTTCATTTTCGTCATAGCCTTAGTGAAACTTGGCTGAAAGGAGTGCTCCTCCGATTGTAGTATCTAGATGATCGTCGCGAAAATTCGTTTGTTATGGCCGCTGTCTTCGCGACCACAACATCAAACAATAAGCCCTTGAACAACGAAAACAGGCCATAATCGCGACCAAGCCACAAGTAGCAACGGCGATATGCGAGAAAATAAATGTGCTTGAACAACTGTAATGAGAGGTGGGTATTTAGTGGGAAACATTGGTATTCCCATGTTTCCTACCTAGGTATGCATAATGGTTGATATTGTTCGAGATTAGAATGAGACTAGGTAGCTAGGTACCTAGATAGGTAGGGTAAAAGAATTAGAAACTCCGTAGATACAGTATAGAGATCGAGACACGGTTCAGTTCAGCCTTGCATCTTGTATTTTAAGAACTGCTCTGTCGTGACAAGGGAGGCTGGAACGAAGAAGGCGAAAAGAAGCTAAATGGAAGACTGTTGATGTTAGTTTCCTATGGCAAATCATGGGTATAATCATGGATGTAATTGATGATGTGACTTTGTCCGATCAAGCTCAAGAGCTTCCGTTATTGGGAGTTGAAGAAAAAAATGACATATTACGGGACGGACTCCTCTGCTTATTTAGACCCTGGTACGTAATTATCCCTGCCGTTTCAGAATCAATTGCGAGGTTTTGCCCATTTATATGTTCGGTATCTTCGCCCGGACTCGGGAGTCGTGATGTTTGTTTGTTCGTGAACTAAAACAATTATTCCATCATCCCTGTGATTCGAAGACACCACCTTTTCTGTTTCTCCAGCTTAGTGCGTAAGAGAGTGAAAAAGGACGGCAGCGGGTCGGATCTTTTATAGCGGGATCCCTTGTACCTAGCTGGAAACGAGATTCTTCTGTTTTGTACTGTACCGTTGTGAGTTACCTGACTTGTAAGTGTTGGGTACACTTACAGGGCTACGCACAGCTGGGGTAATGCTTTAGGTATCTAGGTAGGTATTAAAAACAGCTGTTGACCTATTTGGTATATTGTTCTGGTTGTCCGACGTTTTTTGTTTCTATAAATGCATTGTATTATATGTTCATGTCAATTATGATCTTATCTTATTAATAGGCACCATATAAATCCTAACCTGTCAGCTCTAATCTCTATTTAAACAGATTTACGTACGTATATAAGTGAACATATGATGAAGATAGACCCGGACATCCTGGTCTAATGGATCAGAGAATACCGGAGGAATGAGTCCTGTTACGCTGCTGCACTCCTTCTGCATACCGAGATACGCGCAACGTAACCCTTTCTTTTCGTGTCTTTATTTTCGGACATTGAATAAAAATATAAATTAGTGGTTCCAATGGCATAATGTCAAAACAAGGTAAGATTCATGAAGGAGGTCATATATAACTCTTTATTATTATGATGTCGAGGGAAAAGAAGCTGGGGATTTAAATAAGTACTAGGGTATCTAGGTACTTGATTATATTAAATTCCAGGTGCCGAAGATATAAAAATGCTTGTGAGAGATGCATATGTACATTTCTTATTGACCAATTACGTATGCTGCATTCGCTTAGTATGTACAAGTATTTAAGTAGATATACGTAAAGAACCTTGAAACTTATGCTTATACCTCTAAAAGTTTCAACCCAATTGACTGGCTTCTTAAAGCTTTCGGTGAATGTTGCCGTAACGAATGGTTCGTTATACATATGTACCTACTTTAATTGATAAGATACTGGATCACAGACGGACCTGTCGCTGTTTAGTTTAAACCGTACCTGCATGAAAATGGTCGATTTAATCGTCATTAGGTATTATATAGTGGATACATATGTACTAGGTTGCTTAGGCGAACCCTTTTTAATTGACATTTTGGCCGTCTATCCGTCGTGACTATTACCTAATCGAGCTAATCTACAATAAAATATCCCACTATTGTCCCGTATCGCATTGTAGACATGATCCACCCGTTTATCCGTTTTAGGTTAGTGCTCCCTTTCAATAACGTGGGCTTGTTTCCTTGGCTGGAAGGAAACACGCCCCAAAAAAGAAGAGAAGGGACAGCGACGCGACGAAATTGGCAGTACGTTCAAAAGGTTTAGTTAGGTTTAACCAGGTTTAGCTGGGTTTAGCACATTTGAGGTGTGACAAGACCACCTAACCCCCTTGCTGGCGTCTCCATCCGTCCATCTTCCAATTTCCCTCTCGAGTACATCCTAGGCATCCTGGGCATCCTGGACTTGTACTAAAACATCCTTGATCATCCTTACCCACGTCCCTTACCCACAACCGTCCCAATTGATGCTCATTTCCAACTCGAAAGACGGGGGGAGAGCAAGAGAGAAGAGAAGAAAAAAAGTGATAGTCTTGGTTGTGTGTCTGTGTGTTCGTGTGGCTGGTCAACAACTCAACTCAGGTTAGTAGTGGTTTTTCGTTTGGTTTGCTTCCTTTTCCCTCCCCTCCCTTTCCCTCTTCGTCGTTTCTATCACGTCCACGTTGTTTTTTTTTGGCCTGCCTTTATCCAGGCGAGGCATCAGATTTTTATTTTCCTCGCGACGTTTTAATTCGTGTCTCTTACCATAATCCCCCCTTAATAAGAGCGCGTGTAAAAATAATTGGGTAACGGTGTCTGCACCATCAAGCTTCCCACCCAAATTTCACCATTACCATTATCATTACCTACCTAGGTACTATTACCCATTACCCCTTAGGACCCTCTATCCTATTTTTTCCCCTTCCACCTTTTTTTTCGGCCGTCCGCTCACCCCCCTCCTAATCGCAACGCGTTTCCCGATTCTCGTTAAACGGTGCATTAGCCATTCAATCTACCAACTCAATTCCCTAACTAAAGTCGAACGGATAAGACTCGGTTCAGTGCCGGTGAAGGGAAACATAGGCTTAACTTGGCGTCCGTCTTGTGGGTAGTTAGGATCGATTGAAACCTACCGGTGTCGAATTGTCAACCCTCTATGGTACCTAGGTCAACGATACACGAAGACGAAACCTTCCGTACATCCGTCTCCCTGACCCAATCCAATCCAATTACGTCCCGATTTCCTCTAGGATCCCGAACCTGTTGTTTACCATCATTTTACGAGCACACGGTTTTGATACTGGAACGATTCTTTTGAAAGATCACGCCCACGATAAATACCAACGTAATCGGCCTCTTCTGTCAAATAACTTAATATCCTAACGTGTTCGCGCCAAAATCAGGGTCTAGCGCAATTGATTTTCATCCATTTAAGAGTTGTTAACACTTGAAAGGAAAAAGGGCCGGAAGAAAAAAAGGACTAGGGGAAGAAGAGCGCAAGATTACTGGTGCCCAAAGCTGCACCCGCATCTGCATGTGCATCTAAGCCTCCCCTTAAATTCGTTGGTGCAAGGTCAAGAAATAAAAGAAAACAACAATAATTACAGCTACAGTCAATACCTACCCATCTAGCTTCCGAATAGAGAAAAAGCCGACGAAGTCTACAAGCCATTCCTCAGCTGAAGGATAACTTGTACGACGAACGCATCCTTTGGAAATCGTCGCGTCCTTCCGGCGAAAAACCTGCTATCCATAGCTTTGCTACCTAACTTATTTGTTCGATAAGGACCTGGCGAAGTGACCCGAATCGCCGATCAGCTGCCTTTTCCACGCGGAACGTCGTTCAAACGAGATAGCTGCTCATTACAACGCACAATGTCAATCTGAACTGGCCTATTGGAGGATCAAACAAACCGGCAACCCTTTGGATTTTTTTCCCATTAAAAATTAATTCGAACTGTGCGCAGGTATCTACGGTGTTTTTTCATCTTAATAATTTTTTCTTTTCTCATCGGCAATCTCTTCACCGCCTCGCATTTATCATCCGAGAGGAAAATACCTGGAACAACGACCGTGTCCTCAAAATACCGTTTTAAGTATCCTCCTGTACAAGTCGTATCTTGGTAAACCTAACGGCGAATCTACGCGTCCGGCGTAGAAGATGTCTTCTGCTGCATTGCAGTCAGCTCCTCAACAGCCGACCTCCTTACCTGTTCTAAACACACCTTCGCCGGCCGCTGCATCACAACGCCAATACACTCCTGGTCAATCACCTAACCGAGAAGGTCGTTATGGTGGCCGAGATAACGCGAACGCTTCACCTGCATCATCTAGACGTCCGTCTAGACGACCGAGTGGAAATAGTGCGAGCGCGGCGAGTCCAATCCCGACTTATCCAGAACAAATACAATCCTCACCGATGACATCGCGATCCGCGTTAGCCTCGCCAGTCCCGGTGGCGGGAGGTTCCGACTACGACAGATCGGCCTCGAGCCGCCGAAGAAACGAACCTCCCGTTGCACCACCTCGAACATCCTCTTCGCAACAAGGCTCGACTGGTCAGGTGAATTCTCGAAGAGCAGCTCGTGCCGAGGAGCGAGCAGCGAATTCACCTAGACGAACACCAGGAGATGGTAGTAGAGGGGGCACAAATGGACCGTCGGATCTAGGTCGGGGAGGTTATGATGACCCTAGTTCTCGCAGCCGACGGGCCGCATCTCAACATCTTGCCCAAGAACCTGTCCAGAGACCAAGTAGTAATAGGGATCACCGTCAAACCGTGACCACTACGATGCCGGTAAGAACGGCTACGAATACTTCAGCAAGACAACCATCACGAGAGGCCAGCGAGGTTCTTCATCGCGTTATTGTGTCACAGCCAGAAGACGACATCGAGCGAGAACGAGAGCGGCTAAGTGAGGCACAAAACCAGGTGTCCACGCGTCGGGTTGTTGACGATCGTGATGATGCCGTCCCTCCACCAATCGCGAATGATTCCCAGGAAGAAGTTCGTCGTGGTGGTCGAAGTCGACATGACCATTCTAAACGGGAGAAGGGATCAAAATTCGGAGATTATTATTTAGGGAATGTGATTGGCGAAGGTGAATTCGGCAAAGTGAAACTCGGTTGGAAACAGGACGGAGGTGTTCAGGTAAGTCGAATGGCTTGTACGCGCCTGATTATTGACATGCTAATTCTTTTCGTGTGAAGGTTGCTATTAAGCTTATCCGCCGAGACAGTGTGGGAAACAACCCATCCAGACTAGCCAAAATCTATCGCGAAGTGGCCATTTTGCGCGGAATCTCGCATCCTAATATTGTTAGGCTGCACGAGATGTCCGAAACCGAACGCCATATTGGAATCGTGTTAGAGTACGCTTCCGGCGGTGAACTGTTCGATTATATTCTCAACCACCGATATTTAAAAGACAGTCCCGCTCGAAGACTTTTCGCCCAGCTCATATCAGGAGTGGGATATCTTCATAAGAAGGGTATCGTCCATCGTGATCTCAAGCTCGAGAATTTACTTCTCGATCGAAACCGCAATATCATTATCACCGATTTTGGTTTTGCTAATACCTTCGACCCCGCGGACGAGTTGACGGAAGAGGAAGAGTTGAGTTTGTCGGATCGTGAATTCGTCAAACGTGCCGGTCTAGACAAGACCAAGGCAAATGGAATGCGTAGGGGCGATCTAATGCAGACCAGTTGTGGAAGTCCGTGTTATGCGGCGCCGGAATTAGTTGTCAGCGACTCGCTATATACCGGCCGAAAAGTTGATGTCTGGAGCTGTGGTGTTATTCTAGTAAGTCCAAACCATATTGTATCTTTCTGTCCTACCGTCGCTGACCGGATTCTAGTATGCCATGCTCGCTGGATATTTACCCTTCGATGATGACCCTGCTAATCCCGAAGGCGACAATATCAACCTTTTATACAAATACATTGTGAATACTCCTCTCACCTTTCCCGAATACGTCACTCCGCATGCCCGAGACCTACTACGTCGCATACTTGTCCCAAGCCCTCGAAAACGTGCGGACTTATTTGAAGTCGCACGACATAGTTGGTTAAGCGAATATGCACACGTAGTGGAGCTTATTACTAGTACTACGACTACTAGCAGCGAGATACAAAACACAACTGTGCCAACTGAGGAAGCGGAGGGTTTGGCAAGAAGTGCCTCTGTTAGAGAGTCATCGAAGACGAAGTCGGCTGCTGCCACTCCAGGTGATTCGGCGCGAAAGCAGGGCAGGACGGAAGCGGAAGAGCAGACGCACGGAAAACAGAAGGATAACAAGAGACGAACTGTTCAGGTAGAGTATGTGGCTCCTGTAACTCAGACGCAAAGAGGAGGTGAGCAGCAACAGCAACAACCAGATCCTCACGCGTCGCCTCGTGGGAAGACCCGAGCCCGATCATCTAGCCAAGGTCCAGTCGAAGTGCACTCTTCACCCGCCGATAAGCCATTGCCGAAAGACCCACCGGTCACAAGAGAGGAATATGGAACTCCATCCCGAGAGACTCGTAAGCCACCTAGTGCGCACCGACGAGATGTACCACCACCGCGGACGAATATACCTCGTACGGCTTCGGACAATGCTTACATGACTTCTGCAACCGCCGGTACATCGGCTGCACGACCTACTACTGGAGGCTCGATGCAATCGACGGGTTCTAGATTGGCGTCGTCTACTAGAGGATCGTACGGTCAACCATTACCCCCCACCGTTGCCGGTACTAACGCTCATGGAAGTATACAACAACCTAAAGGATCGAAGAATTATGTCATCTCGAACCCGATCCCTCAGGAAACACCTGATATGGACTTCGGTCGACCCAGTATCAGCGTACCTTCGAAATTCGCCCAGGTATCAGGCTTTACTCAAGGGCCGCAGCAGGGTCAGCATCAACAACAACTGGCATCGCAGTCGGGCGAAAACAAGGGCCACAGAAGATCCAACACTATCGGCGAAATCGGAGGTAAGATCTTCGGTCGCAGTGGATCTATCTTTGGTGGCCGTAAGAAGCGCCCAGACCAACAACCGGGCGAGAAGTTGTCTAAGAAGTATCCTCCGATTAGCATGTCTAATGCTATGCCTGGCGACTCGAGAACTTCTATGGAATCCCGTGCGTCTAGGAGATCGTTTTCTCTAGGACTTGGCAAGAAGCGAAGCGGTAGCATTGCTGGTGGATCACAAGGATCCTACGAGAAGCCACAAAACCGCCGATTTTCTCTTATGAGAGCGATGGGCTTGGGAAAGGAGCCCACAACACCGACTCAAGAATCTTCTCAGCAAGACCTCCCTATCCAGGAACCCCCCGAGGCTGATAATTACAACCAATATGCGGACCACCAACAGGCCCGTGGAAACGTAATGCAACAACGATATGGGGATGGAACTTACGAGCAGGCACAATCACCCCGACTAGGATCTGCACCGGCACCTCGAATAGATCCGATGACCAGCCCTGTTCAGCAACGATTCCCATCGACTGCGAGACCTACAGCAATTCCTCCTTACTTACAGCAAGATGCTGTCTTGAACTCCGAGTCCGAAGCCTCCATCGAACCTCAACGAAAGCCACCGAATTCTGCACCGTACCAGACTGGTTATGATTCGGATCAATATGATGCACGCCAGTCTGGTCGTGGAAGTCGCGTGTTGCAGAAGAACAGGAGATTTGTGGATGCTTATGATGGAGAAGAGTATGGAAGGCCTCATGATCATGCGGGTAGTAGTGGTGCGGCTAAGAGAGTGATGGATTTCTTCAGAAGACGGGGTCGAGCAAGAGGGGGTGAGTCCTGAAAATAATATCTGAAAGGAGAGTGTGTTCTGAGAGAATATGCTCGTTCACAAAGGGAGGTTCATCATACCGAACTTACTACTACGACTTTTGGAGGTGCGCATTGGTGTACCCATACGATATCACACAAAATTGTTTCGCCTAGAATCTTTGGAACGCTAATGATACCTTGTTCTTCGCCTACGCCTATATCCTACGTTTACCTACCTACCTCTATTGTAATACGAGAGACGCACACCGTTTTAAAGAGAAGCAATCTAATATCCTGCCCAAGTATCTATTGAAAGAAAGAAACGACACAGATCAACGACCGTTGGGGGGTGAGTGAGCTGGTCCTTCGAGGGGTTATTGTAAGCCAGCCTCGCAAATTTGGAAGATGATCAGGCCACGGGAGGGTGATACTTGACAATTCGGAACATCATACCATATACATTTCCCCTCCATCATTTTGCAAGAGCAATACATCATAATCATTAACATAAGGTTGGGAGTTAGGATGGCATGTGTATGTAGAAGGGAGCCTGCGGATTTTTGTGCTAAACGCGCCTATTTTTGACGCTGCCCTTTTTTCGTACTGTTGCAGAAGTGCTAAAGTATTTTATTGTTTTTCTTCATCTGTTAGCATTTGAGAAGCCAGCTTTCGGAATTGGAACTGTTCATGTGATGTGATGGTGTTATAATGATTCGTGAACCAAAGTAATGTAAAATGTATATACCATAATGAAGTGTTTCAAATGAAATACATATATCTACCTAAAGTCCTAAGGATACTTGTAAAGCTAAAGAGGTATAGATCGGGCATCTTGTAGATTAACCAAGTGAGCCTGAAAAACGTGTCGTTTCTTGGAGGCATCCAGGTATGAAGTACAACTGTTTAATCTACCTAGGCATCTATCAAGTTGAAACATCCTTGCATAGAATAACAACAGAAAGGGTAACAGTCCGTTCCGGAATTGGTGGATATTGTCTGTTTCCTTTGTATCCCTAAGACAATTACATACTTGATTTTTCTTTTCTTCATCTTGATTCACGATGTACTGACTGTATCTTGACTTTAATTTGTATCTAGGCAGTATAATGATTCATGACTGTTTAAATGGATACCCGGATACCAATATGCATGTATAGGTCGATTTCGATTAATGCAGATTGCGGGGTAATGAGTAATCTTTGACTAAAGTCGTTTGAACAGTCAGAACTCTATCAGGCAACATTTAGACTTCGCGTTCCTATTTATCATCAGTGGCGCACGCGCGTTTTCTAAGTTTCCAGTGACGACGAACCAACCGTGATTTCTAGAAGTTCCTTCTTTCCTCTTAAGTGGCTTACGTGATGGCCTCGAAGTATCGAAATGTTGCGAATGGATGAGCCACCTTTCGTTCCTTCACATTTTATCTTCTTTTCGTAGGTTTTTTATCTTGCGATTTCGCATTGCATCCCACATTTTACATATTCAACTTGGTTTTTGCCTATTTTTCTAATACTTTCAACTATTTCGTCCTGCTGTAGAATAACAACATGGCGGAGGTAGATCCTTTAATTCTTTCTTATTCACACTTGAAGGAATTCCCTCGAGAAAAAGATGCCTTGCATATTCTGAAGAAAGTAGCTTCTTTGGTGAAACCTATGATGAGAGCAAGAGGATGGAAGGTTGGACAACTAACCGAGTTTTACCCAGACCAACACAATCTTCTAGGTAGGTTGGTTGGCGAACCATCGATGCGGTACTGATTAGAAGCTAATAAGATGTTCTACAGGTCTAAATGTAAACTGCGGTCAAAAAATATGCCTCCGACTTCGATATGCCAGCGATCGTAACCAGTTCGTCCCTATTGATCAAGTCATTGATACGATGCTTCACGAGCTAGCGCATAACGTTCACGGTCCCCACGATGGCAATTTCCACGCCCTATGGAACCAGTTACGAGAAGAACATGAAGGACTTAGAATGAAGGGATACACCGGTGAAGGGTTCTTATCAACAGGTCATCGACTTGGTGGTAGGAGAATACCCCCAGAAGAAGCGCGTAGATTGGCTCGAGTAGCAGCGGAGAAACGTCGTGTACAGAACGCGGGTTCTGGTCAACGGCTCGGCGGAACAGCTCCTCGCCCTGGCCAGGATATCCGAAATGTCATCGTAGATGCGGTCGAACGACGTAATAATACCCTTCGCGGTTGTGCGAACGATAACCAGACACAAGATCAAATTTGGGAAATCGCTGACACGGCTACAAGGAACGGGTTTAGGACACAGGCCGAAGAGGATGCTGCGAATGATGCTGCAATAGCTCAAGCATTGTGGGAGATGGTAGAAGAGGAAGAGAGGGCTAAGAAGGGTACTAATTACATCCCTCCTAGCTCTAGTATTCAACATTGGGGAGATGACAGCACTTTTGCTTCAGGATCGAACTCTACACGAACGACTCAATCTGATATAGGTGGAGGTGAAGAAGAGCTGACGTGGACTTGTGATATTTGTACCCTCGAGAACCCGGCTAGGTTCCTTTGTTGCGATGCGTGTGGTACAGAACGGACCGAAACGATCTCCCAAAACCTTGCCAAGAGATCGTCCAAGAAACAAAGAACATTCATTGACCTTACCGAATCTCCACCACCAACCAACAAGAAAAGCGCTTCATCCTCGAGTTCGGGGTCACCTCCAAAATTGGGTTCGAGATCAGCAACGAAGTCGGCTGTACAACAACCATCCCAATGGATAACCCCTGAAAAGCCACCCTCGCCAACTTGGACTTGTTCGTTTTGTGGGCGGATTAGGGAGCGTCAGTGGTGGTCTTGCGACTTATGTGGAACGATCAAACAGACATCATGATGATAATGAGGAAAATTATGGAATTACGGTTTGAAAAGTTTGCTGGTAAATTATGACACTCTTTGGAATTTAGCGACACCTGTAATACAGTAGATATTGAACATAGCATTACGGATACTCACCATTTTCGTGTGGCGTTGCGAGTTAAGGTCCGAAGTTTGGGGAAGAATTTAATGGGAGAATGACATCATAATGCTGGTCTTTACTTCATCGTGTACATATGTAGCAGTATTGAATTTTCGCGTTCTCCTATCTTCGTAGTACTATTCGGTTACGCACTTATGTAAGGAGGAGGTCAGTTTAAGGGGCTTCTCATCCATTCTTTTAGAACCGTAACCCTTTTAATTGGCATGCAAACAACAATCTACTTATTAATTCATCTCTTACACGAAGTTTTGAATTTCCATCTTCATCTTATAAAACTAAATGGAGTTAGTCTACGGAGTAGAAAGGTGGAGTAGAGAGTCATCGCGACTGCGGCAATTGATTACGATATGTAGAGCTATGATATCATCACGAGATCCGATTTTTTTTTCTCTCTCCCGTTCTAAACACGTATGTTTGCATTTCTGACGTAAAGAGCAACTGATCGATATCTCAAAAAAAAAAAAAAAAAAACTTTCTCAATCTGATCGCGTGGCTTAATTATGCAATTATCTTGTTACTCACCTTCCGTTTTCTTTACTCCCTTCTGTACCACATTATATGACTTACAGACACAAGGAGGAAGAATGACCTGATCTAATACGTGCGGCAATAAAATCCTACGCTCTTTTGGGGTTTCAGAATAAGGCAAAAGCTGATCCCATATAAGGCTGGATAACCCCAAACAGCCGCACTTGCATCCTGGCGGCGTCAGTGGCTACCTAGGTAGGCGGGGGTGGGAAGACGGTTTAGCTGAAGGGGTGTGAAGGGCACTTGTTCGGAGGATTATCGTACCACGACGTCATTCTGGGGTTTTTGGTCCCGCATGATGGCCGTTGCAACCGCTTATCGATCTACAGTTCAGCTACCTAGATACGTAAATTTAAAGAGATATAAACCCTGCAAGACATAAAATGTGTATGTATCTCCTTACTACGCATATGTACAGCCTGTGTCTTATGTCTTGTGTATACGTCTAGATAATGTTCTTTTGGCAGAGTGTACAGCATCAAGCTCTACAGCACATGTGCAGTGATGAGATCACGTACCTATTGTGTAAGAAATAGCAAAGTTCGAAATCACCGAAATTCTATCGAATTGAACTATCCATCTAGTCTCAAAAAAGATTAGGTCTAGACTTGGTAGGTCGGTATGTAAAGTACTTAAGCAAAGTAGATACCTAGATATCCCTTGCATGGGGGTCCTATCGATACATACCTAGGTAGTACGCAACCTTTTTTTTGCCTTAGAAGCACGAAATCCTCCAATCACGATACAAGACGGTAAGGGTGTAGAAGCGGTACCGGGTACGGTAATGCCCTTAAGGGATCCAATCGGTCCCACTTTCAATTCCCAGTTAGACTCACTTATTTGATCGCCGGACTGTAGGACCCTGAATTGTCAATTCGAATTGGGATTGGACCTTTCATCTTTAGTATAGTGTAAATCTATAATAGAACATTTTAGAAAAATCGAAGTTGATTTTCTTACTGAACCCCCAACCATGCGATATTGAGATTTTTTTATAAGTACCGAAAATTAAAGATCGCATTTTACTAACCCAAATAATAATATTGTACATATACGTAGATTGAACCGTGTGACCTGAGCTTAGAAAGACATATTAGTCTAACTTATAGCGGCGTTAGTTCCTGACAAACCGTAGCAGCATTCCCCGTTATTTTCCGTATACAGATATATATGTACCCGGTACACGAAGAAGAAGCTGAGTGAGCTTGCACAGCTTGCACACACACATGCCTCTTACACATGCATGGGAAAAGTTAAGGTAAAAAAAGTTAGGTAGGTTAGGTACAGATACCTCCAGTCCTCCATACATTATTATGTACATACACTACGTACATGTATGTCTTCCCAAAATGCTGCACACCGACAATGGCCCGTTCTTTTTTTTTCCTCTTATTCTTCTTTAGAAACAGAAATTCCAACAGATCTAAACCTAATTGAACTTTTTAACAATTTTCCCATTCCGTTATTCCGCTTGATTATCTACTTTGGTTTTGGTTAGGTGGTCTAGACGAGATAGGGACAGGGTAGGAACTGCGCTTGCGGCGTTGTTATTCGCACAACATTCATCCTTGAATGTTCCTTTCCATCCATCTTCAATATCAATCATAGACCTATCGAAACAAACGTTACGGGAAAGAAAAACCTACATGTAATTCGTCCCCTAGCAACCTTAACCCTCCCCTCCTTCTTCTATCCTTTTACTTTCCTACCTCTTTTTACACTTACTACATTTCTTCCCTCTTTTCCACTTCCTCTTCCTCTCCCTTTCCCTTATCCTACTATTTTCACCCGAATAAAATATAAAATACCTTAATAACTCACCTTCCGCCTTAAGTGTGTTACCGAACGTTCGAGACTCGCCTATTGTAGTGCCATTAGGCGGCAGTGGTGCTGCGCTACGTTCGGCTGGGCTTGCTATGGGTTGTGGGTGCTTCTAATAATCATAATTGATAATTGGGAATAATTAGAGTGTGTCGTCCCTTACCTTACCATCCCACCAAAGTACCTAAACCTTCCCCAAAGCTAAGGTATAAGGTAAGGTAGGGTCGGGTCGGACCTCTCACGAAATATTAACCCGTTCCTTCGATTTCTCGATTCATGGCCACCGATTAGCAAAAACCTTAATATCGGGAAACTTTTCCGTTTGGAAAGGTTAGAAACACCTAACGCCTCCTTTTCCCCCCGTTTCCCGTCTCCCGTTTCTTGTTCCCTAGTTCACCATTCCCCGTTTACTCCATTCCTTATCCTATGACGGCGACAACCACTTTTATTACTACTACCACCACCACTATTATCGACCCGAACGACTCCCCGTCTATGTTATAAGCTCCATGGGCCTTCCTCCATTCTTACCTTTTGCTTCGGCTTCGGCGACATGACGCCTCTATACGCTTTGAGCGTTCCGAGTCCCGTACCCATGATCCCGGATACTTCGCCCACTCCAGATGACACACCAGATACCACCCCGCCGCCGAACCACCAAAGATCCGCCGAAGAGATTTGTAAACCCACCGATGGCTCAATTGAGCAACCCAGTACGCAAGATGGCGATCCCATCTCCCTCCGTAATAATAACAACTTTGCGTTGCGAGATACGCCGACTATGTTACCGATGAAGGAAAGACGATCCGCCTCTGTCAGTCCTTTGAGACTAACGATGCCTTACATATCGCCTGGCCAGCTTGCTTTTTCCGCCATGCAATTTTTGCCTGTCCCTCTTCTGGTACTGAACAATTTAAAAACCGTTGTCTTGGCTAATGAAGCTATGGGAAAGTTATTGGGCATGGTTGGTGATTCACCTCAACCAACAGAAGACCCGGCTGTGTTAGGCGAGAGTCTTCGTGGCCAGACGCTCTCACAAATTGGCATCGACATGGTTCAAGATGGTAGACCGGTCTGGGTTTCTTGGGAATCTTTTTTCGACGAATTAGTTCTCGAGATGGGCGCGAAACAGGCAGGGGATACATCAACGTCGCATGCGAACCATGTCGATGGTGGGGTTGCATCAACGGCAGACGAAGACCAAACAACACCGGAGCCGCCTGGTGGTATTTTGGGTAAACCAGTAACGGATTCTGCTGTTGACGTCGTGGTGTTACCTAAGAATTTCAATATCGCCGAAGTCCCGAAATCGAAAAGATCCGAATACCAGACCTATGCGAAAATGATTATTACAATATGGGAGATCGAAAATTGTCAAACATATTTCACCTTAACATTCACCAGTACTGGGACATCCCCTTCGCCTGTTCCAAGTAGACGAGTCCGTGTTGCTCGACCTTCTACACTCGAGGCCGCCGACCGCAAATCGATCTTCAATTCTAACCCATCTTCACTCAGTTCGGGGCATTCTTCAAGTTCTACATCCTTTAACTATAGTCCTAATTCCATCACGGTCTCGTCTAGCCAATTCCCACCTACAGGACCACCATCACGCTTACTTTCAACGAGCACGCCGTCGTTCTTACAGAAGATGACCGTCATCAAAGATGCGCTTCTCGATAAGACTGATATGCCAATCTTTTCCATGTGGATAGACGGAAGTGCGCCAGTCATGAATAGAGCTGCTCGAGATCTATTTGTAGCAAGTACCGGCGGGGAGTATCAAGATGGATTCGATTTACTTTCTCGATGGGATATTTGGAATGGTGATTTTACGACAAAATACACCCCATCTGAATTCCCCATCGCTGTACTTATAAGAGAACGAAAGCCCTTTTCTTCATGGAGGATTGGCATGTTCGACAAGAAAAAGAACGCTCGAATAACATACGACGTGTTGGGTGAATTAATTACGGACGATCATACTGGGGAAGTTATCGCGGGGATCATAACGTGTCGAGATGTTACACATCTAGCTCAAGAAATCACAGATATCAAAATAGCAGATGAGGAACGATTCAAGTTAATTTGCGACACTATGCCACAAATGGTCTGGACGACTAAGCCTGACGGAGTTCATGACTTCTTTAACAGTAGATGGTATGACTACACAGGCTTGACACCAGAAGAATCTATGGGTTTAAGCTGGAAGCATCCTTTCCACCCGGATGACATGCCCATTACGTTGAAACGATGGAAACACAGCCTATCTACAGGGGAACCCTATGCTACTGAGTATCGATGCCGAAGAAAAGATGGCGAATGGAGATGGATGTTAGGGCGTGCATTACCGTTAAGGAATAAGTACACTGGAGTGATTGAAAAGTGGTTTGGAACCTGTACCGATGTTCACGAGGCTCTTGAAGCGAAGATGTCCGCGAAACAGACTAGAGAACAACTTCTTAGTGTTCTTACACATGCGCAGACCACAATATTCTCCGTTGATCGTGATTTAAAAGTCACGACACTAGAAGGCGCGTTGACATGGAACGCGGCGAAAGATGATACACCAGGTGTTGACACTGATCTACAAACATTCGTCGGTAGGAATATTGACGAGGTATTCCTTAATCTTAATCCAAGACTCCATTTGGGCGAGTTTGATACGTTTCTTGAACCAGTGAGGAACATATTAGCGGGGAAGCAGTGGACGGAGACAGTGCACGAGCACAAGCTAGGTATGTATGATTTGTGCGGTCGGAAAAACATTTCGTTAACAAGAATAATTAGACGATCGATTCTACCGCACGAGATTTTTGCCTCACATTGATAAGACACCGCAAGATGGTCAGACTACGAAGTCGTTCATCAAAGGCGCTATCGGCGTCATTATGGACGTGACCGAGTTGAAAAAACGAGAACAAGATCTCGAAGAACAAGTTAAAGAGAAGAGGCAACTCAAGGCTAATGAGGCCGCAGCTAAAGAAGCAAGCCGCTTGAAGAGTCAATTCTTAGCGAATGTATGTGGCGTTTCTACTAACACATGTCTATGGTACCACTTTGCCGGGATATTAACACTACCTAGATGTCTCACGAAATTCGAACCCCGATCACAGGAGTAATAGGAATGGCTGAACTTCTTGTGGACTCGCCTCTGAATGACGAACAAAGGGAATACGCCGAGAATTTGAGTCGATCTGCAAATGCATTATTGACTGTCATCAACGACATCCTAGATTTCTCTAAAGTTGAATCCGGTCGCCTTGATATAGAGGAAGTTCAATTTTCTCTCTCCGTGGTCGTACAAGACGTCTCCAAGATGTTGAGTTTTGCGGCATCTAGAAAGAGTTTGGATTTTCGTTCCGACATATCGGCTGATATCGAAAACGACCTTGTAGTCCTTGGAGATCCCGGCCGTGTCCGACAGATCATTACGAACCTTCTTACCAACAGCATAAAATTCACAAATATCGGCTACGTTAAATTTTCCGTTTGGAAAGAAAAAGAAACGAATGATACCATCGAGATAAAATTTGTTATTGAAGACACTGGAATTGGCATCGAAGAGGATGTTCTAAAGCGACTCTTCCAACCATTTAGCCAAGGAGATGCTTCTACAGCCAGGAAATTTGGAGGAACAGGGCTAGGTTTGACGATATCGAAAAATCTGGTCGATTTGATGCGCGGAAGAATTACACTGGAGTCAACGATCAACCATGGCACAACTGCGACTTTCTGGATACCGTTCAACAAGCCACAGAACCCACAGAGGGAGGCGCTCGTCGATATCGGTCGCTTACCCGATCGATTACAATCCGAAATGAGTGTTTCGTGTAACAGTTCGGAACATGAGCATTTCTTAGGAACACCTCCCGCGGAGTTAAACTCTGGCTCGATGGAGAAGTCAAGACGGCCTCGACCAAGAAGACCCGCCAATTTGATGGCACCATTCACTTTTGAGACTGACGACCTTCCACGATCAGAACGTGCCAAGGTTCAAGTTCTCGTCGTTGAGGATAAGTGAGTTACTACTTGAGAACCCCGAAAATTTTATTCGTTTACTAATGACTTATTCTCCAGTGCGGTCAATCAACAAATCGCGACTAAAACCATTAAAAAGCTTGGATTTAATGTCTGCGCCGCTTGGAACGGGAAAGAAGCACTTGAGCACCTCGAGGCGTGCAGATTAGGCAAGTATGCGAAACCGGACATAATTCTTATGGACGTACAGATGCCCGTGATTGATGGGTACAAATGTACGCACATATTACGACATCACGTACCTTATAAATCCTATACCAACGATGTGCCAATCGTGGCGATGACAGCTTCAGCTATCCAAGGAGATAGGGAAAAGTGTACTAAGGCAGGCATGGATGATTACCTTTCCAAACCTGTGAAGAGTAACACTCTCGAAAGAATGTTGGTAAGGTGGAGCAAATCCCGTCGTAAGGCGGATTCAATATCTTCGTCCTCTGCAAACCATTCCATTTCAGACTGTTCTGAGTCTGTAGGCCAGTGTGTTAGTGCAGACATACCTACACCAGCCACGTATGGCTTCACTACCAACAATAACCCCAAGACTCCGGAGGAACGTTCGACTCGCGACGATCCGGATTGTTTAGGGGAAGATGACCGCACGAATTTACTTACACCTAGGCCAATATCGACAAGGAAAGGCTCGCACGAGATGAATCCATTTCCTTTCGGTATGTCACAATCAGCTAGCCATCTCTCTAGCGATGAACTTGCTATGCAGCTGAGAGATGATAAGCTCATCGATGCAGCTGAAAATAGCAATAACATGAACAACACTAAGCCACCAATATCGCATACTTTTTCCGAAGGCGACTCTTTGACAGAGGAGAACGTCCAGAAACTTGATAAAGTGGGGGCAAAGGGATCGTCGCCTGTTAGGAATTTATGATTCCAAAGATGTCTTCATGACGAGGCGTTTGGGTGTTTTATTTTGCTCTATTGACGCGCTCATATCTAGGATTACGGGGCAATTGATATCCTCAAGGGGCTGCTTCATGATCACGCGTCCGTTTTAGATAATTTCGATTTAATCGGCGTTGGAACAAGGATAGGAGAACGAACCGGTGCTGGCGGCAATGAATATTTTCACTTCGAATGAACTTGACCGGTTAGGCGTTGACGAGATCTACATAGGGATTTACAAAAACCATGCATGGTGCTTCGGTGGGTTGATTCTTTTTTTTAGGGAATGGAAGGTTGGATGGCTATCTCACTTTTTGCTTCAGACTTCAGGTCTACCCGCCTGTCGTGTTGTTTATCGCGTAAAGGGGTAATAGTTACACATGTACGGTGCGGCGAAGCTTTTGCTGTACCCATTATATAGTGGTAATTCAATACAACTCCACGATGAATGATATCCAGTTGTGTTTTTGTCGATTGTTCGCGATACACAAGCCATCTGGGAATTTCTTCACTCATACTCCGGCTGACTAAGCATACATAGGGTTGGCAATGAATCGAAATGAGATGGTATGCTCGAATGAGATTCCTACATTGAGGCAATTGGCAGGTCTACCTGACTTCTCACGATTCGTTAGATGGTTTGGGGGGTTAAAATACGCCCTATCTATTTTTGCGCCTTTCGCTAAGTTCTATATTTTTACCGCTAGGTATCTGGAGATAGCTAGATAAGGAGGAGCTATATGAGATTCCTTAGGAGCGTACTTCAATAATATCGTCATTTACTTGTCTGCAAATCATCAATCTTAGATCCACTCTGAAGGGCGTCCTACTCTTCACCCCTTTTAACTGAACAAGTCCTTCCTCTCTTGACGGTACGAATCAGCAACCAAGAACGCGAGTTCAAGAGCTTGCTTCTCGTTCAGCCGCGGATCACAGAAACTTGTGTAGTTGGTGCTTAGATCATCCTCATCGAGTCCCTCGCTACCACCCATACACTCGGTTACGGCGTCGCCTGTTAGTTCGAGGTGCACTCCACCTAGGTAACTACCCTCTTCGCGGTGCACGCGTAGTGTTTCCTTCAACTCATCGAAGATATCCCCAAACCGCCGCGTCTTAACCCCCGTCGCTGTTGACCGTGTGTTTCCGTGCATCGGGTCGCATTGCCAGATACACCGACCCTTGTACTCGGACCCCTCGACTGCTCGGATGTGACCGGGTAACAATTCGCGTACCTTCGCGGCGCCGTAGCGGGTGATTAGTGTGATCTTACCGACTTCGAGGGAGGGATTGAGAGTGCGGAGAAGAGATAATAGGTCCGAGGTTGGTGTTGTGGGACCGACTTTGATACCAATTGGATTCGCGATACCGCGGAAGAATTCGACGTGTGCGCCGTCGACTTGGCGCGTGCGGTCTCCGATCCAGAGGAAGTGTGCTGAGGTGTCGTAGTACTCTTTCTTTGGTTCTTCTAGGGTGGTGGTGCCGTTGGAAATGGTGTTTTCATCGTCTCCTGGGAATATGGGCTTTTCCATTAACCGTGTGAGGCTTTCTTCGTATTCAAGAAGTAGACCTTCGTGGCTGGTGTACAAGTCCACGGTGTCTAGTTTGGGACTACGGTCTGCTCCGATGGTGTGCATGAAACGGAGCATGTCTTGTAGGAAGCGCACGGCTTCGGTATACTTGGCCTTCAGTTGGGGGTCCTTGACATGACCTAAACTCCAATTTAGGGGGCGGTGGAGATCTGCGATTCCAGCTGCGAGAGAAGCTCGTACGTAGTTGAGCGTTGCGGCTGAGTGGTGGTAGGCCCTGAATGGAAGTGTAAGCTGGGGACTTATAAAATGAGTTAAGGGTAAGTGAGTTAGACATACTTAACAAGTCTCTGAGGATCTAAGTCACGATCCTCGAGATGGTAACCATTCAAGATATCACCACGGAACGAGGGTACCTCTTTCGTCTCACCATTGATGACAACCTTCTCATTGGGACTAGATCGGGGTTTGGCATATTGGCCAGCCATACGACCGATACGAACAACACGTTTGTCAGCACCCCAGACGAGTACAAGACTCATCTGCAAGAGTAGCTTGATCTTAGACTCGACGGCATCGGCGCGGCAGTAGTCAAACAATTCGGCACAATCACCACCCTGTAATAGGAATGCTTCACCCCGGGCAACATCGCGTAGACTAGCCTTGAGCCGGGCAATTTCAAGCGGATGCACGATAGGTGGCAGCCGGCTTAGCTCGGATGTGGCACGGCTAACGGCGCTGGGGTCCGGGTACGCTGCCGGTTGTTTTATCGGTTTCGAGCGCCAGGAGGAAGGTGTCCAGTTCGAGGAAGCCATGATAATGTGTGTTCTTTTACAAATAACTTCAATTGGTTTAATTGGAAAAAGAAATGAAGTTTATTAATTTGAGAACCTTAAAAATATTGTGACATGTGAGAGAAATTGAATTATGAGTCAATGGGGTTATTCCACGTTTATTACCTAATTGGGAAGAGTTTTACTCGAATGTTTCTTCCCGCATGCTGCAATTTTAATCTTACGTAAGTACGGGTTACACGATTATTGGTTCTCCGCATTTATTAATTGAGCTTTAGCTTTAGAGAAGAAAAAAAAAAAAAACTAATTCTTACCTAAATTCCAACTTAAATCTTCCAACCCCAGTACGTCATCGTCATCATCTTCTTTTCATATACCAATATACGAAATAATATATACCAAAAAAAGAAGAGAAAGAAATAATGGCCGAACCACAACCACGAACCGTACACGAGGGTGCTACCACCGGCGATGTCGAAGACGAAGTTCAAACTACAGCCAAGTCGGCCGAAGACCGGAAGGCCGCCGCTGCCATGGCCAGCCTTGACGCGCGGGGAGATGACGCTGGTGCCTCGGGCAACGCTGTAGATCAAGAGGCCGTAAGCAAGGCTATGAAGAGTCTCGGAAATGGTGGTGTCGAAAAGAAAGAAGTCAAGAAGGTCAAGGTCGATGCTGCTGACGTTACATTACTGGTAGGTTCAAATCTGGTGTATTTATTATGATGGCATTGCTGACGAGTCGCAATTTAATATAGGTCGACGAACTGGATCTTACAAAAACGAAAGCCACCGAATTGCTTAAAGCGCACGACGGCGATGCAGTACAAGCTCTCAGGGCTTTTATTACTTTATGAGAAGGATGCCGAGTCGGAAATGAGCAAAAATAAAAAATAATAAAATCCCAAATCTATGGCCACACTAAAAAGGGGGCGCCACGAGGCCGTCAGAGTGACAAAAGAAATTGAATATATCCAGTACGATCTAGGAAATATATGCGCCCGGGGAAAAGCCAACGGACCAACTTGTTACCCGTCTTATCATGGCCGTCATGTCAATCAGGCTCTCTAGGTTTCACGAACCAAGCCAAGCAAATTTACGGATCGCCACAGCACGCAGGACAAATAAAGTTGATTGAGAAAAAAAAAAGCCATGTTTCATTGGTTTCTAACTTATACCCTATGAAATAGAAGTGCCTCTCGAACCGAGATATACGCTAAGCTTCGTCTGGACTTTTGGCGCTCTCAAGAAACCAATCCACGATCGTTTCGCTTGAATTAACTGGTAACGGACTAGTAATACAGTGTTACTTATGTGTGCTTATACGGTAAAACCCCCCCTTGCCTTGGAATTAGTTCCGCTTTCGGTACGTCTCCTTGCTAGCTCATGTCGAAATAATATTACTGCCGCCACTATGAATTCAGCCCTGTGTGCTTGTGGTTTACAACACTAATTTCCCTGCGGTGGTGTGCTAATGAGTATTACTAGTAAATCAACAGTAATTGGCTTTTTCTTGCCTTAGTCCCTAGCAGCCTAGCTGACTTAAGTATTATTTCCTCAATCTTGAAGAGGATCGTCAGCCGCAAGTTATCCAGCTATTAATTTCGATCCTAAATAGTAGTTTTTCAAATTATCATTACTACCTGTATTTTTAGCAGCTGAAAGCCACCAACAGAGAATGAATGTTAACCATTTTTCAAGGGAAATACAACCCCTATGCTCAACAAGAGGAGTTCTTAGTACGTACAAGACCGTATCCCCTATAACTATCCAACGATATTGTTTGATTAATATAATTCATATCCAGATTGCTATGTAAGAAAAAGACAACAAATTAATACCATTATCTTATATGGTAACATCGTGCTGCTGTGGGTAACAGATCTACAGACCCTCAGCTGCCAAGGGTAAGCATTCTAATTCTTTACCGTGTGCCAACTTAGTGACTCCGCTATAATTCAGCCGCAAGATACAACCCTATTCTTCGCATACCTATTATGACACTACCAAACTACTCCTTCACTGACAACTGGCTCCCTAAAGCCTGTCATATCTCATCTTGCTTGGCCTTGGCCTCACCAAGAGGATCCAAGCGTCTTGATCGATCCTCCATTATGTTGCAAGATACTATTTGCGACCATCCTCATCCTAGTCTAGGTAGGGACTTTGGTTCTCTTAGTTCGGCATACTAGTTTCCTTGATATACTAACAACTGCATGAGTGGCTTACCTTGGCCTCTTCAGCTAGCAGTACCCTTGTAGGAAATCATTTGTGAAATCTGCCTTACGCTCATGGTTTATACCTAATCCCCCTGTCATGAAGCAGGCTAATATTCTTGGGCAAGCGAACGAGTCACACTTCAAGCAAAGGAACCATGCTTTGCAGAGAGCAGCAAGGGTCTGTAGATGCATATGAAAGACTGAATCCCCTTTCTAACTCGACGGTAATTGTATTCTTCTCTTTGTGATTGTTCTTTTTCGAATCGTTCATTGTCGAACCGATACTTTTGGGTACCTCTTGTTTCTCAGTCCCTTCTCTTACTGTTCGCAAAGATGGAGCAACCATCATCGAAATATTCAAACCAGCGAATCGCTGGAAAGGAGCATATCCCTCTTTACCCAAAAGGGTTCGTCGCCGTTCGTATCATTCAATTAGTCCTCGCGATTATTTGCCTGGGATTGAGTGCTTTTGGTATCGCATATCTTGTCTTTGCTGGAGATGCTTTAACACTGTTCACTGTAAGTGTATTCTGAGGATAAGCCAACTGTTCAAAGACAAGACGAAGCTGACAGAAGTAATCTACTTAGGCTATCGTAACCCTTATTACTAGCATCTACTGCCTCATCGCACACTTCGGACCCCCGAAGGCCTACAATTATTGGGCTATCCTTGGCTTAGATATTTTCCTCGTTATCTTTTGGCTCATCTCATTTGCCATCCTTGCTTCCCAGGTCGCTTACGGGTTCGCTGTCTACGACTCTTATAGCGATTACTATGACGATTATTACGACATCAGCGATTATAAAGCCGCGTACATGACATATGGCGGTTGCCTTGCCGGCGCTGCTGGTCTAGGTGGTGTTGAGTTGTAAGTTGCTCAGTGACACTCGCAAATCTACATACATTGCTAACACAATGCAGTCTACTCTATGTTATCTCGCTATCTATTCACGGTGTTATGCTACATCGCCACCGTAAAGCCGGACTCAAGGCCATGCCGATCAGCACGACATCAGGTGCTCCTGCAGCAGCCACTGGAGTACCAGCTGGCGGAGAGAAGTTCCAGATGCAACCGCAAGCCACACCAGTCTACCCTCAACAAACCATACCCATGGACGGTACTTATCCGCCCCAACAAGGCTATTATCCCCCGCAATCTCCTTCTCCCCTCTCATCCCAGCCCACTGGTAACACCTATGTTCAACCCCAGCAGGTGGTGAATCCCGGCCAACCCATATACGAAGTTCCCAGCCAACCTCAGCAATATCACCCTGCTCAGTAAATCGGATCAATTAGTTGAACGATGGATTAACGGTAATTCGCATAGGACTCGGCGGTTCGGATATCGCATTTGTGTTTTGGTGTTCAAAAAACTCGAACCACAACAATAAAAGGGCAGGACAACTATATCTTTGTATTGAAATCTCAACATGAAGGGGTATTGATTTTGGTACGCATTGATCATTTCTAGAATTTTCTCTATTTTCTGGTTGCGCCTATACCACGCGTGCAAGAGATTGATATGAACTATTAACTTTGTGATCGATTTTTTCCTCGTTAATTGTTCGTAAAAGAGAAAGGAGCCCAAAAGGACTGCTTGCAACCCTGGAATGTTGCCTTTCACCCTAGAAAACTGAAACCGGTAATAACAATACGGAAACATCCAATCACAGCTTGAGATCCTCTCTCATTGTAAAAGTGTTCTATCCTCAAAGCCTTTGTTTGTCCAAGGGAATTATCGGAAGTAGTATTAAATCGCGCTTTTAAGCCATTACTCTCATAAACCTTTAATCATCCTAGTCAGATCTTAAGGTGCTTACTTCAGTTAATCATTAATTCTTTTCGCGTCTGTGAAAGTTTCACACTATACTATCGCGTTCTAGAGGAGTAGCGATAGCATAGGCCTAACACTTATACCATCCATACACAAGTCACAAGTTTACACATACATATACATCTAATATGTCAAAAAGCGCCTCCACGAAAAAGAGCCAACCCAGCGGGGGTCAAAAAAGCGCCGTCTACCAACCACGAGAGACCGATGTAAAAGATTACCCCCATGGCATCTTTGAATTGCTCTCTTCATGGACAGTGGGTGACTCCGATGCAAAATGGGGACCATTCGCCAAGCATGTCAGAGCAGCAAAGCAAGAAAAGCGTTGGGTGGAGTGGTCTATCTACGACATAGCTCGCGCCCAACCCGACGACGTTATCGATTACGATGAGGTCGAAGAGAGAGATGCTCGCCGTAGAAGGTCGTCCCGCCGGAGAAAGAGAAGCGTTAATTACAGAATTAACGAGGAGTTGCTGCACGATATTCGTCCCGCGCAAATCGACTTCCAGGAGTATCTTGGGACCGAGTATCACCCCGGCGAGTACTACGATAATTTCTTCAAAGCGCATTACGGCAGATTGTATGGCACGACGGTTAAATTTGTCGACAAGTGGTTCAACGGTGGTGTTCACTTAGGGAACCTCAAGGGCGAAGACCCAAGTCAAAATACCATTTGGACTACACCCTTGACCGAACAATTTATCGAGTATGCGAAACGCGTCGCCTACGAAGACAGGGGTAACGGTGGTTGGCCCGTCATCCTTAACGACAATGTGCAGCGAAAGTGGCTTATAGTCGGTATTCTCGGTCAGATCATGGAAAAGAAGGTTTTCACTGAGCTGCTCTTTGGTGCCGATGACACTGTGAAAGATGAATTAGAGAGGTTTGATGCGATGTGGGTAGAAGAAGAAGGTAAGTAAATCTCATATTATTATTATTCCAAATTTGGTAATTTTCTAACATGTCTTTCCGCAGGTTACGGCCGCAAGTCCGCCCGCGCCAACATTGCTCGATGGGCCGTTAAGGGGCGTTTATTACCGCTCAATTTCTGGCTTGACGTTGACAGCTTGACGGCTGCAACCCTCAAGGTCTTCTTGCCATTACTCAACGCACTCAAGGAAGTTTTCCCGAACAGAGCCGATTACAGATTGGATGTCTTCTTACAAGAACTCCACTCTCTAATTTCGTACGCGGGTATGATCCAAGTATGTACGGCTGTTTCTCCGACCATTTTCCATTTCCTCTCGGCCACCCCGGGCGCTCGCATGGATACCCAGACCGAATCTCAGGCAGACGTAAGCCTTTACCGCGAATCTAAAGAACTACACGATTCGGATAATAAGCAATGGGAGGAGTATGTCGATGCTGCCATGAAAGGAGGTCGAGTGAAGGCCTACACCAACGAAACGATCCTGGTACCTAAGGATGACCGCGAGAAAAAGGTCATGGAACACCAACGATTACGTGGTGCTAAGGTCAAGATGGCCGTCTTCCCTGGACTTACCCGGTACACTCCCAAGAACAAGGGTTTGGGTGATCCCGATCCTGAGGCTCCGGAGAGTTACGATATGTATTACCCGACCCGAATGGACCCAGACCCGAATATGGAAGGCCAGAATATCACTGTGATTTCGAATTGTCAAGTCGTCTACTACCAGGGTCTGATGTACGCGCCAGAGAACGTCGTACAGGCGATCAGCTTAGAAGACCACATCTCCTATCTTCCTCGCGACTCGAATGGTTTACTTGGATTGATTGGAAAATTGATTTTGCTAGGCCTCAAATTTTCTCGACTTTTATTCTGGCACATTGCGGTCAACGGCTTCTTCTTTGGTCTCATCGGTTCCATGTATCTAGGTCGGGATTTCGTCTGGTACCTCATTTCAACTTGGCATGTTGTACTTGTCTTCACCAGCTTCCTCCTATACCTCAACACTAAGCACTACAATTATTCGGAAACGCAACGATGGCGCATTTTCGTCGTTTTCGGAATTGCTCTCGCTACCTTGTATGCCTGGGGTCTATACGCCACGGTTACCGATCAGGTTGACCAGTTGCCAAGGGGCCCTCTTTTAAGCAACATTTTATCGTTGAATACAGGAATCCTAAGCAGAGCTACACCCTCCGAACTCCCACCTGGAGCTGAGGAGAGGATCTTGAGCATCAAGAACATGTAAGAAACCTTCGTAAGTAAAGGCTTCAAGTTAAAAGATGGGGACGTGAAGTAGAGATGATGATGGTGGTGGTGATTATGATTATGGCGACGGGCGCTATTCGACATGTTGCTTCTGTTTTATTGCTTTTGTGTTTTTTAGCTTGTCAATGCTGTTATGCTATGGTTTTGCCTGTTTTTGTTTTGCTCAGCATGGGATCATCAAATAAGTAGATAATTAAATCCCATGTCGGGAATAAAAAAGGATAAATGAATGCCAATACATCATATTACATTTAGAGAATCAGTAGGCTGTACCTAGGTAGGCCTTAGAACATATTTCACCGCTTGGATATTTCCGTGATAGGTTGTAGATACAACTGCCGAGCCTTGGTTGGGGAAGTTGGACATATCCGTGAATACTAGATAAATACCCCTAGCTAGAGTGGGCCGACGTTGCTACCTCCGCATATCAAACCTGATGATCAAGGATAGCCAAGGGGAAGACATCCGAGGATAAAAAATCGGCTTGTTCCTGTCGCGTGTGGTTATTTATTCGCCTTTCGACGTGGAAAAACGCCCTACCCCACAGGTGTGTGCCCTGGCAAAAATCAAACGGAATGGCTACCAACACGCGTCCTAGATATACAGATCCCCTCTATCAAACAGCACACGAGGAAGCTTTCTCGAAGCCGCTCTTCGCAGAAATCAAAACGGTCCTACCGCCCGATGTGTCTCATGAGGATTTCGATAGTGCTCTGAATCAAATCGTAGAGGCTCTAGGAAAAGATGCCATCTTCACCGGTCCAAGTCTGAAGGATTATGTCGATCCCTATGAAATCCCAGAGTCTGGACATGAGAGGAGCGTGCCGAGTGCTGCAGTCTGGTAGGAGATACCCACCCCCTAAAGGAGATATTCAATAACTTGTTAACCTGTCAGGTAGTCCATCTTCTGTCCCGGAACTCCAAGCCGTATTGAAAGTCGTAAATAAGTACAAAATTCCAGTATGGACTTTTTCGCGAGGGAAAAACTTGGGGTATCGCTCATCCGAATCTACCATATTGCCTCCTGAAGGCGGGAATAGGAAATAGCTGACCGGTGGTTAGATATGGCGGCCCCGCACCGCGGGTTGCTGGCTCAATCGCTCTAGATCTACATCGAATGAACAAGATCATAGAAGTAAATGATAAATTCAGCTACGCGGTAGTTGAGCCTGGAGTTACCTTTGGCGACCTGTACGAATATTGCGCGAAGCATAAACTCAAGGTCTGGCCAAGTACAGCGTCGCTTGGATGGGGCAGTGTCATTGGAAATGTAGGTATCTACTCATAACCAAGGATGAATCTTCTTTAACAGTAACAGGCTCTTGATAGGGGTATGGGATTCATCCCTACTGGTGTACATCACGAAAACGCCGTTGGTATGGAAGTTGTTCTTGCCAATGGTGATATCGTCCGTACGGGCCAGTGGGCTATGTCCAATTCGCCTTCTGCGCATGTAACGAAATTGACTTTTGGTCCTACGATCGACGGGCTCTTTCTACAGAGCAATCTCGGAATTGTGACTAAGATGGGCATCAACTTGACACCGCAGCCGCAAGCCTATATGGCATGCTCATTCGATGTACCCGAATTCGAACATATTGAAACTATCGTTGATGTATTTGGTGAATTGAGAAGGAACGGCACGTTGCCTTATATGGTATACGTATTCTATATCGCCGAATGGGCTACTATGTTCGGAAAGCATTCGGAATGGTGGAAAGGCGAGGGTCCGATCCCTGATTGGAGATTGAAGGAAATGCAGAAAGATCTTGATACCGGTATTTGGACTGTAAAATTTGGGCTTTACGGACCAACAGAGCTCATTAAGGCTCAGTTCAATGAGGTGCAGAGGGTCATAACGAAGAAAGCCCCTTTCGGTCGTCTCCGTCAAATTCTGTTCACCGGTGAAAATGGCGATCTTCTTGAAGCGACGGCGGTCGATCCGGTTTATGGAGGTGTTAGGGTGGGGATTCCGAGTATGTGGAACATACCTATGGTAAATTACTATAATCGCCGAGATGATTCGGTCGGTGCTCATGGTGCATACTCGCCTATTGTACCATTAGATGGAAAGATTGTATTGGAATGGGCTAGGACGGCGAAAGGTATATGCGCGGAGCAGGGTTTCGACTTCTTGTGCGATTTCTTCATGCATGAGCGATATGCGATATTCGTTACTATGCTCTGCTTCGATAAGACTAGCCCGGAACAGCGAAGTGGCGTCGACAAGATTTTCAACGGGCTCTTCAAAGAGGGTAGCAAGCGAGGGTTTGCGAAATATCGAGCGCATATAAACCATATGGGTAGGTTCATTCCAAGGGTACCTAGTTCGATGAGTTGGTACTTACGTTTATTAGATATGAACGCGGACCTTTTCGACTTTAACAACCACGCTTATCGCCGTTTTGTTGAGACCCTGAAGGTTAGTACCATTGCCGAATTGGGTAGAAGTTGAAAAAAGTGTCTAACTTATCTGTAGGACGCATTGGATCCGAATGGTATTCTATCGCCGGGAAAGATGGGGATCTGGCCGGCAAGACTAAAGCAATTGAGGTCGAAGATCTGAATTATTGGACTCAGTGCTTTGATAAAAGTAGAATGATTCTAGCATGGTTCGCATCATGGCAGTACATCAAAAATACATAGATGTAGATAAAGGCAAACGATCCCTAGGTAGATCCTCATTGTATATTGTTTTTGTAATAGGAATCTCAGTTGAATTTGGGCGATCTAGACCATTAGCGCGTGTAGCTCTAACGTATCTTGGTACGGGATGCTGATAGAATGTATGCATCGTGTTAGGTATTCTTAGGCTCCTCAATACCAATGAATATGTCTCGTGGAAATATTTTGGCCTTCAGAGGCGCCACAAAGCCTTCGGGGCAACCTCAAGGTGTTCCGTGCTTATAAAGTCCGAGAAGATTCTGCGCGGCTATCGGCACAGAAGAAGTTATACGATATACGAACTCTTGGTAAGGGTAATCCGACTTAAGAAGGATGAATGTTGCTCGAGATAAAGAGACGGCGCGGTGTTTGGCAGCAGGAAAGCTCGCGGTAGTTGCGATTGTATCGTCATTTGACCAACGCGAGGAAGAAGATATTATCCTGCAGTCTAGCCGCCTTTTATTACTTCATCTGATCTGTGCTCATCTTGTTGGCGCGCGAGTCCTGATTCGTCCGCTTGGAAAAGATACAACAGGAATTACCGAGTAATAATTAAAAACAATACGCTCATTGGTGCGCTTTTGAAACACATGGCTGCGACCGGCTGTCGGTGTGAGACTGCCCACGGTGAAAGGTTGGTTATTATTAGATTCTGAATATCATCTGGTTGCATGTTACGTTAAACAGCGCTGATAGTGGAGCGGATCGTAAGAATCAACTCGATAGGGCTAGGAATATCCCCCATTTGGTTTATCCAAGATCCCGGAAAGAGGATGCGGAGGTCAGAATGCCTGTTATAAAACAGTAGCTTCCGGTGGAGGAAATATTCCACTAGTCAGAATGTATGCTGGCTTCGTGATATCATGATGAAAATTAAGAAACAATATAGCCGATATTTTTTCTATTTATTATGATGCCCACTAAGGCGATGAGGCGACATAGTAACGCACTGGCTGAAGCTGGACCTTACCACATTCATCATAATGTGAATCTAGACTTCTAGTGATTAATCTGGCACTTGACGTCTACCCTCGACATAAGAGAGTATAAAGTCATGGTCGCCCAAACCCCGCTTGGCCTATTGGGCTGTTTGACAAAGTGGAAGTAGACATACCGCGAAAATGTTGGCTGGTTTCTTTCTCCTGTTGACAGGCTTCGCCGCTGCCCTGCCAGCTCACGATGTATCCGTTTCGGGTTCAGCTTCCAAGACTCTGACGGCTAGACAAAGCTTCCCGAGTACTTTTAAATGGAGTTCGAGCGAAGCCCTCGTCGGTCCCAAGAGCGATGGCCGTAATATTGCTGGAATCAAAGATCCATCCATCATCTTCTACGAGGATAAATATCACGTCTTCGCTAGCACGGCGTCATCACCTGGCGGGTACAACCTGGTGTACTTTAGCTTCACAGACTTCGCAGAGGCGGGCAATGCGACGTTTCACTACCTGGACCAGAGCCCGCTCGGAAAGGGGTATCGCGCAGCTCCCCAAGTGTTCTACTTCGAACCACAAAGCCTCTGGTACCTCATCTACCAGAATAACAACGCGGCCTACTCCACCAACAAAGATATCAACGATCCGTCTGGGTGGACAGCACCGAAGACATTTTTCAGCAATGTACCATCAACTATCAATAAGTACCTTAGCGGTGGCTATTGGGTCGATATGTGGGTGATCTGCGATGCTGAGAACTGCCATCACTTTTCATCGGACGATAATGGTCATCTCTTCCGTGCGCAAACATCTGTGAGCGACTTTCCTAATAAGATGGGCGAACCGGTCGTTGCGCTTCAGGATTCGAAGAATGCGCTATTCGAAGCCTCGAACGTGTATAAGATAGGTGATAGCGAATACCTCTTAATAGTTGAGGCGATTAGTAGTGATGGTGCGCGATGGTTTCGATCATGGACGTCGGATAGTCTATCTAGGAAATGGACTGCTCTCGCGGCTACCGAGTCCAACCCCTTCGCTCGTTCGAACAATGTGGCGTTTACTGGGAAAACTTGGACTAAGAGTATCAGTCATGGAGAGATGATACGGGACAAAGTGGACCAGACGATGACCATTAGCCCGTGTAATCTGCGTTACCTTTATCAAGGTGTAGACCCATCTGCCAGTGGCAATTATAATTCTTTGCCATGGAAGTTGGGTCTTCTTACGCAGACCAACTCGGCTTGTTAGGATTGAAGGTCATCCCAGATAGAAGTCATAGAAACAATATCCTTGTATATCGAGTTAACATACCGGACCTACTCATGATCATAATCGTCTCTTAGAATTCCTAATATTTCTGGATAATGCATCGTATCACCTGTGCTGTTTGCACCATCGTGAACCCAGAGTGAGATACCTAGGTAATGCTTAGTTTAGAAAGCAGGCCTACTTGCTTTTTAAAAAGGAAAAAGCAAAAGAAGAGGGGAAGCGAGGCTCGCAATTTCCTATTTTGAAATGGTTGGCAATCTCCTATCGATAGCCCCCAATAATTATATGAGGGGTGTGAGTAAATATTGAGACGCGTCGTGGCGTTTTATGTTGTGTAACTCGACGTAATACCTTACAACATTATACTCATTATTGTCACTGCAAATACACAAGATGGCTAAGCGCAAAAGACCAAATTATTATGCAGTTCGAGTTGGTAGGAAGCCTGGCATTTATGATAATTGGGACGAATGCGAAGATCAAGTTTCCGGTTTTTCAAAGGCGTATTTCAAGGGGTTTGAGAAATACGAAGACGCGCTGAAATTCGTTGGCGATGCTATTAATACTGTCCAAACTGAGGTGGAAGAAGATGACGATGAGCCCCCAAAGTCGGTGAAAGACAAAACTCCCACACCATTTGAAGGTTCACATAATATGCCCATTAAGATTGAAGATGACGAGGACGAGGACGAAGAGCCAATGCCACCTCCCGCGTCGCAGTCTTATTTCGATCAAGTCTCGGGGTTCGTGCCCGACAACAACGCTTCTTTTGATGACGAATTCACTCGTTTTGCATCATCGCAAGGTTTCATTTCTGGATCACAAGAGTACCGAAGAGAGCGCACCAAAGCGATTCGTGACGAATTGAAGTTTCACTATTCTTCACAGCCGAACTTACAGTCGATTCCTGAATTCCCAAAGGGAGAGCCAGATGAGCTGGACCCGCTCGATATCTATCAGAATATGTGTCGAGAAATCGGTATCGAACCCCAAGACACAGTCGCGGAATGCAGAAGAGAGTTGAAGAAGCTTCTAGTCAATATCATTGACTACATTGACGCTAGACGCATAGGCAGGAAGGTCAAAATATGGAAATGGGAAGATTATGACGCATTTTGTGCCTATACCCTACAAGACGAAAAGCGGATCGATATACGTGAAGCAAAGGCTGATGGCGGGTTCTTGTCAGCTTTATTGCAACGATTGAAGGGTCCCGGTCGGGGGAAGAGAGGCCCAAGAAATAGAGGTTCCAAGAAGAGAAACACATTGAGTTTAGGAAGTGGAAATTCAGAGCTCGGAAAGAGAAAGAGGGGTGGTACAGAGGAGTCCGAATTTTCGAAGAGGGTCCGTATATTCGCTCTGTAATATGTTGATGAAGGGTATCTACTGTATCACCAAGAGGGTCACCTTCACGCAGTAACATTGTCTTGGCCAGGCCGCCAGGTAATTATTCGACGATATATAGGTAATCATTGATATTTCATTCACCTATCACCTATCGCCAATCATACGAGCTTAAGGACAGCATGAGTATATGTCAACCTCGTGACAGGCATCCCAACCTGGTACCCGATATCGCCTATCCTTCGATACGTACCTTCTTCAGTATCCAACTTGCGAAGTACGACACCGCGTTCTCCCGTGATATTCAAGACATAGGCCGTCATTGCCTCGTTTCGACCACAACTCACCTCCGAAGCGACGTCGGCCTGAAACTCGTAATCCTTCTCCATTCCAGGCCCGCGAATCAGACGGTAATTGTATCGATCCGATCTTCTTCCATTAACCGCCCCCGAATCCCATACCTTACATTCACATAGCAAGCCATGGATTATTATCGCCGTCGCACTCGCTTCTAAGAGAGATTTCCCACTATCTGGCCCGTATAAAATATCTACTACCTCGAAATCTTTCGCCAGACCTGTACCGATATCTAATGATACCGGACCAATTATGCTTGCCCATGACCACGACGGCATAGATAGATCAGTACTACGCCTTGAATCGATGGGCTCGCCGTCAAACCCTACTAATGGTCCCTTTACATTCCACAACAGACCTGCGTCAATCCTTGATTCCCAGAGACCGCTAGCATATCTCCCAAGGGCTGTATTAGAAAGTAGCTTCGCAACCGCTGCTAGAGCTGCTAGTTTATCCGAGTCGAATGTAAGCTGTCTCTCCGAATACCATGTAACAATGTCGCACCATAACAGTTGCAAACTAGTGGACCGGTTTAGAACGAGTTGTTCCTCGAACCTTTTTTTCAGGTGAGGTTTTTGAGCGACGTCCCTGTAATTACGAACCTCGCAGATGCAGGTGCTTCTCTCCCGACACTGCCAGAGTATCTCCCAATTTGTAAAATACAGCATACGAGGCGAAAGCATGTGCTCTAACAAATACGTCAGTTACGGAGATGAGGTCCAATCAACGATCATTGATGAGCCAATTTACGGACCTTGAAAAAACCAACTCTGACGGAGTAACGGCATCGGGTATAATGGGTTCGGAGGATCAATGGGACCGAGATCATAAACAGAATGATTTAAAGCCGGACGTACATAGATCTCGATCGGAGTACCATCTTTTCGTTTACGTCGAACTGTATATTTGACTTGAGTTTCGTTATTTTGGTAGAAGAGGCCTCCGGAACCGGTTGCTGATGCAGTGGCGGCAATGGTGACATGCGAATTACTATACACATCGGCCATTCGGGGTGCTTCCATTGCCCAATCTTCTCTATCACCCTGGATAATGCAGAGTGAATCAATCCAGAGGTAAGGACAACCAAGGTATCTTGTAACAAATACTGCTTCTCGAAATGTTTTGGGTAAAGATGATAGGGGTATCCCCTGTGTCCGAAAGACTGGCAACGTCATGGTAGTTGTTTGAATGGGATGGGATTCTCCCCAGCAATGGCTTAATGTGATATAAGGGCCTTTCTCGCACCTCTCTCCTTCGGTAACAAAGACCTTGTCTTCTTGACGAGAAACATCTAGGACCCTAGTGGGTAGATAATCCATCGTGCGACCGATTTTGCACCTGTCGTCACCTTCTTCGCATTCACGAAGCCAATTTCTCATTTGATTCAAATTTCGAATGCATCCAGAGTCTTGTGGTAGGTCAGTCCATGACTGAAATATTTTGGACATAAAAGGATCATCTAATAAGATGTTAATCCAGGTAAGTTATGTGGTAGCGATTGAATGAGAACTCGTTACCTCTGGTATAAAGATGTAACCCTATCCAATGGCCAGATTGTAGGAAATACTGAAGCCTGGGTAACTCCTCTTCGGCTTTAAAAATTATCCAGCGAACACCATAAGGATCTTCTTGGCAGAAAAAAGATAGTGCTTCCCAAAGAATTGAACATATTAAACAGTCTCTTGATGATTCTTCGAGGGAGGATCCCCCTCCCCCAGTAACGAAGCCCCCGGAGAGTCCCGGTTGTGGAATTAAATCGCAACACACGGCACACGTTGACATTCTTGGTACAATTCAATACGCAAAAGCTTAGTAGTAATTCAGGTAATAATTTTCGATATGCATTCACCTTACCAGTAAATCAAGAATGTAGCAGTCTCTAGTTGGCTGACAGAAAACTACAGGGGTCACGAACCAAACCAACAACTATTATGCTGAAACAATTCTAGACAAGATGAACCATGTTTCCATTCCAAAAGCCTTTATTAAATATAACTTTTATACCGTACTGATACTTTTATGCCTAAGTACTATGTATTACCAATTCCAACTACTGAATCCAATCTGGATCTCAATAATACCTTCAATCCATCCCATAGATCGATTATATAAACAAAAAACTCCAACCCAGACCCAATCCACCAACCAACCACTTATTACACCATTACGCACAGACATTCAAATAACCCATTAAACCTTACGCCTCAAACTCTTACTTCGTTCCAACAATCCCAAATCCCACCATCCTTCAATAACACCCCAAAGCGTCTTGCGCTTCGGCTTTGGTTTAGACGTCATTTGCGCCTCTAGATCCCGAGCATTAGTCGGACTTAAAGGTGTCGTATCATCATCGAGATCATCGTCTACGTGGCAGATTTGTACTTTTCGGCTCTTAGAACGCATGAGTTTCTTCCCTGTGCCGATTGGGATGCCGAGCGCATCGCGGGGTAGGGGAGGCGCTCTGCTGAGTCGAAAGCCTTTTAGGCGTGGCGATGCCGGGGTTGGTGTCACGGGAGTAAATCCATCGTCGCTAGGTGTAGGCGGGATGACGACCGCTACAGGTGGGGGAACGGTTTTTGTCCTCGCGTTTACGTGATCGATAGTTGCTTGATGCGCGATTGGTATGAAATCTTCCTTCGGCGAACCAGACGCATCAAAAGACCGAGTCGCAACCGGAGGCACGACAGCCGGAGCAGGAGGAACAGGGAGATAATTGCTAGATACAGGTTGACCTGTAATGGTAGTCGGGCCGGAATTGGCGTGTACGATAACAGGAGGGGTCTGCACCGGACGAATATCTTCGTCGATGGATCGGAGAATAGGGGGGCGACGCGCGGGTTCGGGCGCCGTGGGGAGAGGTGGAGGAGGGACCCATTGGAGGCCCGGTCCAGGGGTAAGGGCTCGAGTCCCGAGTGCGGTCGGCCCTGAGATTTGTTGCACTAGACCAAAACCACCTCTGGATTTCTCCCCTGAAAACCCGCGCGTGCCCGCGCGCCCCTAACCCTCAATGTCCTTGGGAGGGGCACTAGTAGCTTTGATGCGGCGCTGTAGTCCGACGCAGAGGACGGCGGAAAAGGCGAAGAGCACGCAGAGCGCGATGCCTAGACCCCAGACTGCCTTGATCTCGTAACAATGCGGCTGGTCAGTCATAATTAAAGCTAAATAATCGTGGTACCGAGTAGCCGCTGTAGAATAGTCCCGTGTTGAGATAGACATAGTGAATGTCTGCGTAGTCGAAGCGGGTTGTGGAAGTACTTCGCACTTGAGTGTAGAGAGAGGCTTGCCGATGGTGACGGCAACTACGATGGAAGCGACGAGGAGAGCTAGGTCGATTACGGCTGCGATTAAGAGAGGGAGAAGACCATCGTAGTATAAGATGTAGGAAATTGAGACGTAAAGCGTCGCGATGCTTGCCTAGGAAGGAATTAGTTACACCATTAGGTATATCGGGTGGGTGGAAGTGTATGCATACCACTGCGATAGTGCCGACAAGCACATCTGGTGCATCGCGCTGAGAGCTCACGATCTCATTGATGAAATTGGCAGTGATACCAATGATGGCGACGAGTGAGACGAACTGCATAGCCCGAAAAGCCGTGAAAGTTACGCCCAAGGCGCCGAGCTGGGGAGCCTGGAAACGCATTCTCAAAGGGATACTGGTGTCGAAATCGGTTATAAGCGAAAGTTTCGGACGAGACTTGTTGAGAATAGTGCGAATAGGAAGACGCCGCGGCGGATAAGGAATAGACGCTGAAGGGCTTGAGGAGCGAATTGTGAATGAGTGGTGGCTTAAAGCCGAAACGATAGATGGTAAGCAAGATTGGTTTCTAAACCCGAAAGAATGAATCTCAGAGTTAGAGCAGGTCTACTGCGATGAAGAAAATGACCGATAGATAGAAACCGAGAGAAGATCGTGAGTACGTGACTAGGAAATTCGTTTCGTATAACCCAGAGAATAGAGATGTTGAAATCTAAAGACCGTACTGTATGCTTTATTCGTGATGATATACCCCCAGAAAAGAGAGACCGAAATGAGATAGGAAAAAAAAGGAAAAAAAGAGAAAGACTTAAGGAAACGATGGAGATTGCTGTGAGAGATCAGATTGTTCGTGAGATAGAAAAAATAATACCATTCATTATCGAGGATCTTCACACCTTATATACCGAATACATCTCATCTCCTAGGTTAGGTAGCTATAATCATTCACCGTCATACCGAACATCTGCAAGGTACATGTATGCTAGGTCTGTCTAGACCCTTTCATTTTGGTCGCCTATGGATTGACCACGGTATCGCGCCAAAGAATGCCAGGTTCAATCTTGAAGAGGCCGTGCCTTGGCTAGCATTGTTCGTATACCTTCATCCGCGATTGCTATTTTGAAAACCATGTCGTCGGCAATTGATGTGGATGGCGGGAATCATGACGCGCTGGTGTAGCCAATCGGGGAACAAATGATCGTCATTGCGCTTATAATACCATACGAACCTGAGCGCCTTACAACTTGTATACTAGTTGCTAGGCTAGGAATATACCTGGCATGACAAGCATCCATGGATGTATGTAATTGGCAAGGTTCATACATACGAAGTAAATTCTCGTTGCCATGAAAACGGGTAACTAAGATATACCAATAGAGAACTTGTCGGCTAGTGTTGTATCGATCGTAGCAGTGGACTTCCCCATCGGAGATTTGTGGTTGGTTGACAGCTCAGCTAAAGAGAAATGAGATCGGTGGGTCAGTCCAGGGTCTTAAGCGCGGGCCGCGGTTAGTAGTCTGACTTGTTCCTAATGATACGATGATCCATCGGAAGAATAAACAAGGATAATTGTCTATAGCCGCCGATATGGAGTCGATGAGTCTAGAAATATACATCTATGAACACATACACTACACCGCATACTAAGTAGTAGGGTATGTGCATGGATGAACCGTTGTTTTGTTTCAGAAGATCTTCGTGTCGTTGACCAATAGAAGAAAAGAGAAAATTATCCCTCGTAGATTCACCAAGATCTGTGTACGACATTTTTTAAACCGAGATTGACGGATGAGGCGAAGCTAGGACCGTAGGCCCGGGAAAACGGCTCTTTTCCTATGCAGCGTAAATATTAGTAGCTGTGAGTTTCATTCGTAGCCAATCGAGCTGTGGTGGAGATTAAGTAGAGCCGTCTACCTTGAGTAGTGATGCTCAAAGGACCTATTATCGTCAACTCGATCCCGACCTGAAACGTCCACGACTTGTGTACTTAGGTATGTATATCCCTAACGTCAATTAGCATGTCGTAGCATGTCGTATCAAATATGTCATGCTATGATATTGTAACAGGTGAGACAACATGATATCTATCATACGACGATTGTCCTTTAGTCGCTTGAAAATTTTTCTTTTCCCTACAATATGTCAAATGTCCAGCCACCCAGAATGATTCAACAGACGAAGGCTATGATTATGCAACTTGATCTTATTTCGTTGTTCCTAGTCTTTTCGACTCCCCGACGCCTTTTCGCAAATACGTCGAGCTGAGTTGATTCATTCAGCTATCCACCAAGACAAGAAGAAAAAAAAAGAACATTCGCCATTCATTGGCTTTTTTAGGTCTAAATCAACCTTTAATTACAGGTTGCCAGCATTGCCAATGCGATATACAGAGCAATTCAACTTTGGTTTACATCATGTCGGCCGTGGCCATGGTCTTACAATAGGTTAGACCAGTCCTTTATCCTAATAGATCGTCTAAGCCACTGCTCCCACCGCTAGGTTGAGAGTTGTTAGCGGGCTTTGGTGCACCTGCTGCTGGAGCGCCCCAAAGGGAAGCACTGGTTTTCTCTTTGGCAAGTTGGCCCATTTTCGGACCAGCAACAGGTGTGCTTGCTTTCTTTATGCCAGAACCGGCCTGACCCCATAGATTTGCGAACGGATCACTTCCAGCGGACGCTTTGGCCGCAGCTGGAGCCGCTGGCTTGTTGAGCGCTGATAGACCAGATGGCGTAGATACCCCTGACGCGGATGACATGGCGGAAATTGATGAACCAGTTGGCTGGGCTACTTGGACAGACTGGTAGTAATTAGGTTGTGCCGCCTGGTAAGTAGTTGCTGGCTTTGGCGCTTGGGCAGCTATGCCGGTGGTCGCTGCAGGGATGCTAAAAGACGAATAATTTGCTGCAGGTGTTGTAGTAGAACTTCCGGGCGGTGAAATTGACGACATCATACCACTAAGATTAACTTGCTGCGGTCCCGATAGAGGCTTCGGCTGGGCAAGCTGCGCGGTAGATTGGGCGCTCGACGTCACCATAGGGGGAGGAACGCCAATGTTGTTCGCGGGTGCGGGTGTTGCTGACTGGAAATCGTCGAAGTCATCGTCATCATTAGTGTTTGACGTCGATAGAGAAGCCAAAGCGGCGGATCCGTTGGATGGGGTATGCGCATGGGCAGAAGTCGTGGCAGCTGGTGCAGGTTCAGGGTCGTCAAAGGAGAAAAGGTCGACTTCGGGTTCTTTTTTCTTCGGGGGCTCGGTAGGAGTGGTCTTCTTAACGCCCATTCTCTCACTCCTTTCAGGTCGCTTTGCTCGAGACGAACTCGAAGGTGCAGTCCCTTCGTCAAATTCATCATACTCCTCGAACTTATCCGCGCGATTCGCGCCGCTGTCCCTCCAGTCGTCGGACTGACCCCCAAATCCACCGCCGTCTCCGTAAACACCACCAGAGAACCCGCCGTATCCCGCAGACGAACCTCCGTAGCCGCTGGATTCGCTGCCAAAACCACCATAGCGACCGCTGCTGCCGGAGAACCCTCCCATGGTACCACCTTCAACACCAGTATATTTGGCCTTGTTGGCTCTAGCCTTTTTCCGCTCGGATCGGATTCGCTCGACGTCGCCTAAAAGTTCTGCAAGCTCCTTCGCGCGATTACGTACGTTGATACCTTGATCTTTACCGTTCTGATCGATGAAGTGGAATTGTCGCAGCATCTTTAGAAGTGTAATGTGGCCTCGCGCATCATCAATGACTCGCTCGGAGCCGTGCTTGATAAGGAATTCGAGCAACTGAAGCGCTTTATAAATCTGTCTCCATTCTTCGGCAGCCTTCTCGGTGAATCGTCGATAGATCATGGGCATAATTTCATTAAGGGTTTGGCTAGCAATCATCGAATCAGTATGGAAATATAGATAGGTATGTCGGTAAATAGGGAGGATATGTAATTGCGTACTAGTTAAAAGTGCCATTGGCGATTTCTTGCATGATTGTTGATGATGCGCCCCATGGTTCGTTATTAGTAGCTTCTCGAACCTGATTTTGCGCGTCATGTCAGCGCGAATTATTCACTTGGTTCAAGCTGATTAGGAGAGCCATTTACCTTGGCTTCCATTTCGGTGTAGTTCATAACAGCTATGGTTTGTATGAATCAGTATTCAAGTCTCTTCCAGGGAAGTCATCGTGAATATATCTAAGAATTACCATTTTGGACTTTACGAACACCAGCCTTGAGGTCGTAAAGGGTCAGATTGGACACCTGGTCTTTGAGACTATTGAAATCCATCTTGGGCCGTAGCTTTTTGTCCCTATTCGGGACGGTAAGAGGAAAGTCTTATAGAGCGAAGAAGCAAATGATAGATATGGCTTTCAAGGGAGATATATGTAGCTAGAAGAGGTGGGAAGTCAAAGGTGGTTCCTTATTGTTGATTTCCCTTATTTGGATTTCGAAGTTGTAAATGATGAATTGAGAATTGTACCGAGCATCGAAGCAGACACTTTGACTTTCGCGCATTCGGACCCCTGACCAAGGATGCCCGACCACGCTAGGACCACCTTAAAGGTTCAACCTGACATGGGTAACAGCAACATTGAACGGGTTCTTCAAAGTAACTTACGTCACGTGGTTTTGCTGGTCAAATCGGCAATGCGACCGATATTCAGTATCCAAGTACCTAGAATTTAAGCAATTGAAATTTATTTTCTAGAGTACATCCTTTTTAGATCCATGACGAGCATTAAGAATTAATCATTAAATATGTATCATAGTGTGAGCATATTTATAAGTACGATACTTATATGATGCTCGGTATAAATTTAAGAAAGTAGAGTTATTAGGTAACTCATTAGACGCTTGGACCAATTAATTATTCCCCAGTAGATATTTTGGTTACAACTAGCTTTCGACCGGGACAGAAAATTTAAGAGCTCTTATTCTCTAAGCTAGAAAACTATCAAAGATCACCAACCTCATCGTACGTCACTGACCTCTATTCATTTCATTCTGCTTGAATTGGATGCTTATCTCATTTAATTAGACTCTTACCAACCCATTTCAATCTCGAATTCTGTAGACTGAAACAAACGTACGTAAAAGCATTTCATTGTATCGTTATCGAATTCCTACCTTCGGAGCTTAGAACCCGATCTCAATAGCTCTAAGCAGAGCTAGATTTTGCAAGCCTTCTTCCTGGGTATCAACACAAATTACCCAAGTATTACCTAGTTACTTGTTTGGCCTTTACGAGCTTGTTGGCATTGTTTAGCACATAGTTCTTGAATTGTGCCTCCTTTTCCTCCAACACAATGCCTACCTAGGTATCTTATCAATGATCTCTAGTCAACTTCCAAGGTGAAGTACCTAGGTGTACCATCAAAGCCGGACACTGGGAAATACACAATGCAATACCCGTCCTCCCGTCTTGTCCTTGTCATACCTACCGAAGTATACCGAATCTTTGGAGGAAAGATTGAAAAGGCGGATGTGGGGTGGGGAGCTGCAGCTACTTCGGTCACCCCGCCATCCCATCCGCCTCGTTGAGGGGTGGCTATGTTCAATGGCTATGTCCGCCTATGTTGTGTATACGTCTGTGTGTGACAAGATGTTGCATGCGTATCTAGTGGGTTGGTTCTAGCATGTTCGAAGCCGATACAAGCAAGCCGAGTTTACATCCCGCAACGAACAGCATCATATACATCCATCTAAACCACAAGCGTAGCATCAAAGATGTGTTATTCTGCATGCAAGGAGTATTGGCAGATTGTTGAGGGAGACTACCGCTCGGTTCCATTCGGAGGGTTATGAACCTATCCGACGGAGAGAGACGCACGTGGGAGTTAGTCCGATTCTCATGTCTCGAAGCACGTCATTGCTTGTACTTGTCGACGCAGGAAATACCTACGGTTAATGATCTCGTATTGGTTGAGGCAAAGAACTCCTCGAGTCTATCCAAACAAAAGAGGATTGTTGAGGTAGATCGTCTTGATGTTAATGGCGATATCATGAAATCAAGGACAAGAGGAAACCTCGTCGACCAGTATAATCAAACCATCCAGTCAAGGGAATGATGGATAGACGGAGATGTACCTGTCTTTCCAGACCCTTGACCGCCGTACCCCCTTGATCACCAATCCCATCCTATCATCCTCAGTTCAGAACTGGCGGAGAGACTAGGGGTATTTTTTCTTCTCTTCATTTTTGCCTCTGGCTTCCTCTTGTCCTTTTTTAAATCCCTGTTATTGGTTTTTAGGGTTTGTTTCTTCGTCCAACATATTGCTTTGCCTAACAATGTATTCAGTTTGCTCATAATTGCTTTGTTTTTTGTTTTTTTTTTTTTTTTTGTTCTCTGGTTTATTCCCGTCGACGAATTCATTTAGGTGGATACATCCCGTGTTTGTACCTATGTACTTCCTTTTTAGTTGATTGATGTCCTTCTAGGGGGGAAGGTCCGCCGCCTCAAGTGAAAAAGTGCGGGTGATGAACGAGTGGTAAGCATGGAAAACACTGGCAGTACCTTAGTAGAGGGCAGTGAGCATGGAAAGTGACGACAGCTCCTTCCAAGTTAGCCCCATCCACCCCCCTTTTTGTAACAAGTCAATTTGGTACTTAGGTAGTGTTATGTACAACGTACATACGCTTATACAGCTAAAGTACATGCAGTACAACCCTTTCTCCCTCAACCCCACCTGTAGCCCCCCCTTCGGAAAGAGCTTTTTTTGCCCCATTCTTATTATTTGATTGGTTAATAAAGCTTGAGCTGACCCCTCCCTTATAGAAGCAAGCCCGCAAAGATGATGAGACAGACCTTCCAACCCCTCCTTAGAGTGCCCCGCGCTGCATTTTCTTCCTCTTCTTCCTCATTTTCAACCTCGCAATCTTGCTTTCGACCTTACACCTTTCCAAAGACATCATCAACCTTTTCTTCACCTTCAGCAAGCCAATCATCCATTCGATTCTTTTCTGCAACATCAGCCAAAATGTCCAACGGCAACATCAACGTGTAAGTCATTCTAATACCCGTCCTCTCGTTTATTGTTTATTATTCCATAGCTAATCAATCGTCATTCTAGGTTCCTTGACGTCGAGTGGGAGGGTCCCGTCATGGAGAATGGCCGACCTACTGCTACCGTGAAGGGTAAGTTTAAGCGGAATCTATCCTTACCAGCTTCCTATACCTATTCCTCGATTGAATTCTTCGTTGGAGTTGATTTCTCTCGGTGCACTTCACAAAGCCTAGGTGTTGTGTACCAAAGCTTTCCCGCTCTACCGGGTAGTTCAATTGATTTCAAATATCATCACCACCACACCTCCCGTCTATTACTTCTATTACTTCATCAAATTGGAGCTAACAAGATATCTTCTCTACAGCCCAATCCGGTCGAATCAACCTCGAGCTCTGGAAGAAGCAGGTACCCAAGACTGTCGAGAACTTCCGCGCTCTATGCACTGGTGAGAAGGGCTTCGGCTACAAGGGCTCTTCTTTCCACCGAATCATCCCCGAGTTCATGCTTCAGGGTGGTGACTTCACCCGTGGTAACGTAAGTCACTCGCATCTAGATACACACTTCTATTTATTTCCCTAGCTAGTTGTACTAACTTATGATGATAACAGGGTACCGGTGGCAAGTCTATCTACGGCGAGAAGTTCGCCGATGAGAACCTTGACCTCCAGCACACTTACCCCTACACTCTTTCCATGGCTAACGCCGGTCCCAACACGTAAGTTTGGTTCGAATTGCCCTGTTGCTTCCAATCAAGCGACAGGATTCTACATTGATTGGAATCTTCCTACTTCAATCTCTCTAGTTGAATCAACTTTTGACTAACATTTCTCTAAATAGAAACGGCTCTCAATTCTTCATCACCACTGTCAAGACTAGCTGGCTCGATGGTCGTCACGTCCCCTTTGGTATTGTTGCCGACGAGCCCTCGATAGCCATTGTCAAGGCCCTCGAGGCTACCGGCTCCCAGAGTGGTGCCATCAAGTACAGCAAGCGACCTACCATTGTCAACGCGGGTGAGCTCAACTAGGGAAGGAAACTTGCATCTTTCTATCTTTGTGTGTAACATTTCTACTCGGCACATTATGATGCTGCACCATACTCCTCTCAATTGAGTATTGGCGTATGCCATATAAAAGGATTCGAGAAAAAAACTCGGGGTGGATAGGTTTGCGAGACACCTAGAGATCAGCATATCTTTTAAAACGCTAGGTAGTTGCCAATGACATTTGTCTTGCGTTTTAATTATCTATTGTAAATTTGGCCATGATTTGTGATGTAAGCCTTGACTAGACTGCAAAGGTATATTATCGTAGAATCCCAAATCTTTCCTTTTTGCCTTAGGGGAATACCTAGGTCTCTTTTCCTCCTAAACGCCATGCCATGCCATATAGTGAAACATCAAGAAGCAAAGTAATGATAAGCTGCCGCCAGCTCGATCAAATAACAAGAAATTACGACAACCATTGGTCAAAGTATTCACATCCACCAGCCCAAACAGGGCCACCTTCCTCGCAAAGCTCAAAGACGGGGCATTTGCCGCAAGGGGCAGTCGTCAAACCATTAGTTCTCGACTCCCAGAAATCCTCGCTGTCTAGCTTAGCGGAATCCGCGTTCTGCTTGGAGATGCGTGTAGCTCTGTATCCGACTCGATCGCCTACTTTTATCTCTTCGATGCGGTTCTCCCATACGAGAATGTCGATTAGCTCTTGGACGTGCTCTACTTTTAATGGCTGGCCTCTGGCTACTCTGACGAGCTCTTTGGTGATTTCTTCGGCTGTTGGGTATCCGGTATAACCGGCAGGTAGGGGAATGCGAACGGTACCGCGGACTTTGGATACAGGAGGTAATACGGGTGCGGTTTCGTCTCGGGATATAGCGTCTGCGGTTCGCTTCTTGCTCTTTAGTGCAGCATCTGAGAGACCACCCCTAATAACACCTTTCTTCGGCAGAACGGGACTAACGCTCCGGCCATTTCGTTCTCCAGTGCTACGGTAGCTACCCCTCTCTTTTACGATACGGACTACTACCGTCTGTAACGCATCGATGAAGGCTTCGTCGAGATATTGATCGGTATACCATGGACCACCGGTCGCGCGGGCCGAGGGTTGCATGTTGAACTTGATCCACATTTTCTTGGTCATGTTCTCGACGGTGGTGAATTGCTGGATGAAGCGCTTGGCTTCCAGCTCCTTAAGCGCCTTTCGTAATGCATTGTCTTGGAGGTTGAGGCGTCGCTTGATATCTTGTTGCCATGCGCCTTCGGCACCGGCCGAATCGATGATTTCGTAGACTAGGACTTGGTCTTCGGAGGTAAGATGCTTGTATCTATTAAGAAGGGATTATTAGCTTGCGACCTGAGGAGAATTGGAGAATTGGCAGGAGGGTAGGTATGAGAGTGCTACTTACTTGGCTGCATCGCTCTCCGAGCGGACTCGCCAGAAAAGGCCATTGTGGAAATGGACAGGGACGAAAAGGCGCTCCTTCGTTAGAAGTTGGATGATTTGCAGTAATTTCTTCACATCTTTTGGAGGGACGACGTTAAGACCCATGAGATCTTCTTGCGAGAATAGCTTTTCTGGGTCATGGCTACATGCATCTTCGCACGCAACGTAAAGCTGGTCTTTTAGGATTGAGGTTTGATCGTCCATGTTGAAATGCGATTCGGATGTGACTCAGAGATGAAAGAGGTGGAAATTTTGCAATGCGACAAACGCGCGGAATTGAAATGCGACCTGTAACAAGACCTATTGAAGAGTCATGTCGGTTTAATGTATTGTTATAGGAGGTACCTAGGGGAATTGAAATTTGATAGGATGCGAATAGAGGAATAGATCGGTATCCATAAGTTGGTTACGTTGAATGTGGAAGTATTGGATGGATGGTAGGATTGAAATAGACGTGCCCCGCGTTCGTCGCTGAAGGAAATATATTTCTTATCGCGTTTATCGAAATTGTTATCTTATCAAGAATGCCTGCTTTGCTTTTTTAAATCGTCCCACTAAAGTGGATACAGAGATCTATGATTTGTACTTTCAGTCGATTAACTCACTAAATTTGTATGGGTGCAAACGCTATAGGTACTTGATGACATAAGATAGTGGCTACCATCGGCGAAATATAGCTGTTTACCACCGATGTATGGTGTATGGGCAACCAGGTAGCTCCAAGCGATTTGCTTAGCCCCGCCGTAGAAAGCGTAGAAAGCTCTCGAATTCAACGCATTCAGCCCTAAAAAACATCGCCCAAGTTCTCAATTCTCAAGTCGCATGTTTCCTTTTCCATTCTAATAATCAACATTGAAGTCAACAATTCTTTTTTCTTCTCATCTGAAATTTGTCTCTATAAAAAGAAAAGATTATAAATCAAAATTAATTCTTCTTTCATATCATCAACAGAGTGGGATAGTATCTACTTCACCATGGCCTCTGTAGATGAGCTTAAGGCTCTAGGCAACAAGGCCATCGCCGACAAGAAATTCGACGATGCTGTGTAAGTTTATAAACATATTGAGGATCCTTTTATTCACATATGCATTTATGACTTTCCAAGTCTCCAGGGAATTATGGAACTAACCAAATACCATTAGTGAGGCTTTCACCAAAGCCATCTCAATCGATCCAAGCAACCACATTTTATACAGCAACCGATCTGCTGCTTATGCTTCTAAGAAGGATTGGGCCAACGCCCTAAAGGATGCTGAGAAGACCACCGAAATCAAGCCGGATTGGCCTCGAGGATGGGGACGAAAGGGTGCTGCTTTGCACGGTTCTGGTGATCTCATAGGCGCAAGTGATGCCTACGAAGAAGGTCTCAAGCTTGACCCTAACAACGCAGGATTGAAGAGCTCACTTGCCTCCGTTCAGAGAGCCATAGAGCAAGATGGTAAGTTTTTATGATTTAATTAACTTCTCCGAGTCGTATATAATAATTATACTAACACATCTGTATCTAGGTGGTGGCCTGGGTGGTGATCCTGCTGGAGGACTTGGCAAGATGTTTAACGATCCTAACCTTCTCCAGAAGCTGATGAGCAACCCCAAGACCAGTGGTTACTTCGCTGACCCGTCTTTCATCGCAAAGATTCAAGCCATACAGAAGAACCCTAACAACACACAAGAATTATTCACTGATCCCCGAATGATTCAAGTTCTAGGAGTTTTGATGGGCATTGACATGCAAATGGGGGGTCCCGATAGCATGCCAGGTGCTGCTGGTGCTTCCTCCTCTGGCGCTAAGGAAGCCGAGGAAGATGTCGAAATGCCAGATCTTACTCCCGCAGATCCCAAACCTCAATCCCAACCCGAGCCAGCCAAGGCCCCCGAACCTGAACCGGAGCCCGAGTTCGACGAGGAAGAGCTAGCTAAGAAGAAGGCCAAGGAAGAGGCCGACAAGGAGAAAGCGCTTGGCACCGAAAACTACAAGAAACGTAACTTTGACGAAGCCATTAAACACTACACCAAAGCTTGGGAATTGCACAAGGATATTACCTACCTCAACAACTTGGGTGCCGCTCAGTTCGAAAAGGGAGACTACCAAGCGTGTATTGAGGCATGCACCAAAGCTATCGAAGAGGGTCGCCAGATATATGCCGACTTCAAGATGATCGCTAAGTCATACGCCCGTATTGGTTCTGCATACGAGAAACAAGGAGACCTTGCCGCCGCGATTGAGAACTACCAGAAATCCTTGACCGAGCACCGAACCCCCGATACCGTAAACAAGCTTCGCGCTGCCGAGCGTCGAAAGATTGAGGAGTCTAAGAAGGCTTACGTCGACCCCGCCAAGGCTGAAGAGGCCCGTGAAGAGGGTAACAAGAAATTCAAGGAGCAAGACTTCCCCGGTGCCGTTAGCGCCTATTCTGAGATGATCAAGCGTGCTCCGGAAGACCCTCGAGGGTACAGCAACCGTGCGGCCGCCTTCGTCAAGCTTTTTGAATTCCCCAGCGCCCTCGAGGATTGCAATACTGCCATTAAGAAGGACCCCAAGTTCATTAGGGCATACATTCGCAAGGCACAGATCTTCTTTGGCATGCGTGACTACTCTAAATGTATCGATGCATGCAACGACGCCACTACAGTTGATAGCGAACACTACAACAATGCCAACTCACGAGAGATCGAGCAACAACAACAGAAGGCGTTACAGGCTATGTACGCAGCCCGTGAGAATGAGACGGAGGACCAGACAAGAGAGAGATTGATGAAGGATCCGGAGGTAAGTAATCAATTTATTCGACCCCCATGCTTTGACAATGACTAACACGTATTTTAGATCATGAGTATCATGCAAGACCCAGTCATGCAGTCCATCCTTCAACAGGCTCAATCCGACCCGGCAGCTCTACAGGAGCACATGCGCAACCCCAACGTGCGTTCTAACATTCAGAAGCTAATTGCGGCTGGTGTTATTCGGGTTGGACGATGAGCATATACGAAGAAACCATTCTCAAGGGTTCGCGAATAGGTTATTACAGGTATCATTCGCGACAGTTAAGTAGTCAATGCGTTAGCTGCTACAACATAGTCAGTTTCTACCAAGGTGTATTCGTATTGCGATTCACGTTTAGGGCGTTGAAAATGCACGGATGGAATATGTAATGAACATTAATGAATTGATGCTAATTATTCAATCCCGACGCCTTTTTAAGACTATCGTGAAGCAAGTTATTTACCGACCCTAATTATATGCTTATACCTACGCTCTATGTTACTCAAAGTTGTCCGCCTGATCGTACCATCCATCGTAATTCATAATAAAGTCAAATTCGAAGAATATTTGATATCCTCGTATATCCATCCAGTGTGCGTTAACGTATTTACCCCGTTCTAATAATCTAGTACATATGTAGTTTCAACACGCTACAGCTCAACCATGACAGCCCGTAGCATCTCTTCCCATACCAATGCCATCGCTAGTACCATTTCTATCATTTGAATGACGTTAGCCTTCTCCCATATTCTCCATACCAATTCTAGAGAGATAAGACTTACCGAGGGCCGATATTCTCCCATTGGAATATGAAGAAACCAATGAAGGCGCCAATTATAATACAGATAATGATATATCCATTGTAGTACATGGCGAGTAGCATAATCCAATATGCCAGGGCAAAGTGTAGCGTATGTAACAAGGCACGAATTCCCTGTTGCCATATTTTAGGCCGAATAGGAGGTGATGACACGATAGTTCGACCATGTTCCTTCTCAATAAGCGCCCCATCGGCCGTATCCGTGGAGCTATTCACAGCTGTCGCGGCGAGAGCTTCCTTAGCTTTTTGGTGTTGACGAACCAGGGATTGATCGTAGATCTTGATGGCTCGACGTAAAAACTCAAGCAAGATTACGAGAAGCACAACACCGATACATAAACCTGCGAAACCACCCCTCGATTTAACTTGCCAGGACTCTGATAAGAAGCATGCGTCAATTGTTTCCCAGTTCCAAAGCATCTAAAACCATCAACGTGTTAGCAAAAATTCACGATGTATCAGTTACGAGAATGAAAGCGAACGTCTTACTGAAACCCTACAGCTATCGCCTATTGTATTCATACTTCCCGTTTGACCCATGCCTCCCATATCATTCGAACCTCCTACTCCTGCAGTAGAAGTCGGTGCCGTAGAGCTGAATGTTGATTGTGTTGTAGATGAGGACTCAGGCCCCATTGACATTGACATTGTCATCGACATTCCATCCATAGTTGATTGGTGTTTAATTGATTACTTGGTGATGAGTCTGTTAACTAAATTCAAATTGGAGGATTCCTTACGGACGTAAGCTATAATAGAAAGGCTAAAAATACGATCAAACACAGAGAAGGGAGTATTAAGTTGCTCGAAACCAATATTATCTTTGTTGCCACTATTCAGTCATCATCATTTAGGATAAAGGGATCGGGTTTTCTATACGCCCCATGTACTGCCTACCTAGGTAGATATCTCCGAAGCTATCGCACCACTATATGAATCTTTTGTTCTGGCAGGCTATAAATAACCAGTCTCTTTGGATTTAAAGAAAGAGTATCCCTCTAGGGCCACTCGTCTCGGTCTAATACGCGAAAATATCGCATTGGTTTGCTTTATGGGCATTTACGCCCTGCCTAGGTACCTACGAAGTGCCTACAAAGGCCAGGTACCCGCTATTACCTCACCCGAAGCTCGGTTCGAAGTCTCCCAATACTGTGGCCATGATCCTTATACCCATTTGAGTGTTCCACATAACAAGGGATACTTATAAATAGGCAAATGGGGTAAGTTACTCATTACACATTAACGCACGACGCCACGCTCAACATACCCTTCCTAAAGATGTCTACTAGAGACTATTCAAAACAGCCGTCCCATAGTCCCCAGGCCCATCAAAGAAATTTTGATCCATACCCAATCCTTCAAAGAAATCATTATCCCACAAGACCCCCGGACTCCAATCTTCAGGGAAAGGTGCCACTCCAATGGGGCCAATAGGCCAATGTCCCTCCACGGCTTGGCCACTCCCGAGGTTCGGGTCTCCAGTTGTATTAGTATCTGTCGATGATTCAGGCCGCCTGTTCTCGCTGCTCGCAGCGGTAACTAATTCAGCCCATCGCTCGAGCTTCAAGCGTGTACCTCGCAATTTTTTGGCCGCCATTACCCAAGTGTCATTCTCCCATACGGTATCGCCTTGCCCCTCGCTAATGTCGCGCGCGTGTTCGAAGCGCTCCACCATTGCTTGTAGAATCCCCGAGACGTCGATTTGAAGTTCGGGTTGCGAGAGGAGATGCGCTCTGATAGTACGCACTGCAGCTGGGATCGCGGGGTCAATTTCTTTTGTACTGACTGCTGGGACGGGTACCATTGCCGCACCGCTACAGCCCGGGTCGTTCCGTACTATCTGCGGTTGAGCGGTAGTGGTGGAAATAGGAGAGGGTTTGCGCTCGGGGTATGATAGCTTGGACCACCGAGCTAGCATTATCACGGCGTTGATGAGTTGCGCGGATATAGGCATAGGTAGGACGAAATAATCTGTTACTTCGATGGCTAACCATGCTTCAAACCAGGATTTAAGCGCGGCGTTGGATTGGTAGAAAACATCGAGCGAAGATGTCGAGTCTAGAGATAGGGATGCTAGCGAGTTTGATATTTTCTCTAGGAGTGCTGCTTCGGTTCTTGGTGGTTCCCATAAGCGTAGTTTCGCCGTGTTTATGTGACATATTATGAGCCCTATCAATTACCATCAGCTAGGATTCTGAGTGGTATGGTGATTAAGTACCATTAGATGCTAGTTTTGGGGGTAATGAAACTCTTAGTCTTTCCAACTCGGTATAAAACATGCTGGAATAGACACTCGTAGGTGCGCGAGTAGCACCAGCTAGATCGTCGGCAGTATTGTCCTTACAACGCAATTGAGCGATGCGTTCGGAGAGATGCTGTATACGGACCAAATTAACAAGAAGCGAGTCAGTTTCGTATTCTCCTTCAGCTTCGAGCTCTCGAACACATTGGTCAATGTAAGCGGTATATTTAGGTGGATCAATCCGTTGAAATGCGAGCGCAACCCTGCTTCTGTGTAAGTGGCATAGCTCATCCCAGAAGCAATTAAAACATATCGTCACTTACATCGACGTAACATACCAAACCCCGCAAAGCGCCCTCTTCTCTTCGTTCGTTCTAGCTCGTGGGGCTTCAACATGCGACACCAATAATCTTGTCCTTTCGTATGAATCGGGATCCTTGTTGATACCAAGATCTGCCACTAGACTATTCGCCAATCCTATCAAATTGTTCATCTGCGCATGTATCATGCAGTGATAGTGATAATAACCTAAGACTAATAGAATGGATTGGAGAATATCCAGAGACCGTTCTGAACGCATTAACATTTGTTCGGATATTTGTCTTAGTATGAAATATTTCTGGGATCTCATCGATTTGAGATTCCGATAAGATGAGACCATGCGAATTGTAGTAAATAAGAGTGGACGTTTTTGCGCCAGTTCAGATGGGGTGGTTCCCGGTGGAATTATAACGAAGGGGTAGTTTGGCATTAATCGATTGGTATACGTCGACAAGGAGGCTTCATCCGTTTCGAACGGGATAAGGGCCTCACCCGCTTGAGAACGACAGACACATACTCGAGGGGCATGGACATTGTACGAAGTTGGTATTGTCCCCGTGAGAGCAATTTTACATTCAGAGGCTTGAGTTGGTGGGTTTCCTAAAACTTCTCCTTGACTCTGTGATGATGTTGTCCCTTCAGAACCGCCCGGGGATGATGCAGCTTGTCTAACTTCAGAAGGTCGACTTAGTGAAGCGGGAACTTCTCCCGAGTTATTAGATTTGATGTAATCCACGAGACTATTTAATCTTTCTTCAAGCTGGGCTGTTTTACTGTAACACAAGACATGTGAGTCGGACCGATGAATGATTACAAGTATAAAGGTTCCTTGGGATTGAGAAGCTGGAAGTACTCACGAGGGTCTAGTTTGTCGCTTCTTTCTTGGTCTATGTACTTGTCCAAGACAATCTTTTTCTAAACGTTCACACCTAAATCATACGTCATATACAATATCAGTAGAGTGCCACAAGATGAATGCAGTGTTACGTAGGTTGAAGATAGAAAATGGCTTACCTATCGCATTTAGTACCAGGTCGGTCATTAGACCTCAGACACTTGGCCTTTGCGATGGCACACGCCGAACACGCAGCCCCCCATTTAGCTATATTAGCACTTTTCGACTTATCCATTGACGATTTTAGACGAAATATCGATATTTTAGATGGTCCAAAATTTCAATCGCCGGCGGACTTTCTTGATCTAAACCGCCAGTGCAAGTAAAAGAATCTTGTTGACTTTGATGCCTGAGAGGAACGGAGTTTTAAAATATTCCCCGATCTCCGTAACTCCACAGCAAATTCATTATGTTTAGGGTACTAAATCCCTGTTAGTCAAACAGCCTGTATGAGCGGAGACTTACTAGCATAATTACTACCTCTACAAGTAAATGTAACTTAGGAAAACATGTCTCAGAACGGACTTTGAAGATAAATCCCGAACGGCCAGCTTGTGCCATCCAAGTTCTGTAATAACAATTCTTAACAATCGGTTTCTTACAGGCTTACCGGTCTTTTGGGATTCTCCCATTATAATACGCTAGATTTATTTACCGTATTAATTATATCATATAAATAATTTTACTATGTCTCGATATTACTGGTGGACGATATGCCTCAAGGCTGACATTGATATATCTTCCTTAGGGACCATCGACTAAAGATACTAGCAGATAACTTACATGGTCTTCCCTTCATCTTTACCGATGGGTTCACAGAAGATAGCCGAAGGTGGCCTCGAAGCGAGAGATGTCGAGTTGGGAATTAGCACCGAACATTCCAAAACCAATCAAGAGAAGACGAATCCTGGTGATAGCGACAACAACAAAATTGATACTACTCCCTCAGGGAGCCATCAAAACGATGATGGCAATGAGGTCTCCAAACCCTCACCTTTGAGCGGATGGCCTTTCTACATTTCAATGGCTTCTATTACCTTAGGTGTTCTCTTGATGGCTTTCAATGCTACCGCCGTATCAACTGTGAGGAAGAACCCGAAACACTACGAAGTAAATGTCCTTGCTTACATTGCTGGTAGGCAATTCCCGCGATTACTTCCGAATTTAATACCGTGGATGATGTTGGATGGTACTCTTCGGCATACTTGATAACCAAGTGAGTTTAATGGCCACCAAGGATTCGTTAAGAACTCTGAGCTGATAGATTACCCATAGCTGTGTTATGATTCCATTCGTCGGGAAATTGTATAGATCGTTTCGGATCAAACTCGTGTTTATCACCTTCGTGGCCATCTTCGAACTCGGATCTTTACTCGCTGCTCTATCGACATCTTCTAAGATGCTCATCGTCGCAAGAGCGATTAGTGGTATAGGAGGTTCTGGTATTCTGAACGGTGGATCTACCATGGTCGCAGCCTCCGTTCCGATAGCGAAACGATCCTTTCTGAATGGTATTATACTTGGCTGTTTTGCCGTGGGCCAGGCTATCGGTCCTCTAATCGGTGGCGCTCTAACGCAGGGAATAACGTGGCGTTGGTGTTTTTATATGTAAGTCGACCCCACACACGTCTCTCAGCGTCATAAATTTAGCTGACAACCCCTAGTAATCTTCCAGTAGGCGGTCTGGTTATCTTTCTATTCGTCTTCGTAGTCAGACTGCCGGTGTCAAGGCTTACCGAAAAACGAACAAGTCTAATAGGGCGTGTCCTTGAAATCGATTTTGTCGGCTTCGTCTTTTTCGCCGCGGCGTCCCTGATGTTCTTGATAGGTGTCCAATGGGGCGGTACCCAATATCCTTGGAATTCGGCGACGGTTATAGGGCTGATGTGCGGTGGTGTGGCGACTTTCGGGGTCTTAGGATTTTGGCTTGCCCATAAAGGAGAGGCGGCATTATTACCACCCCGGCTATTGCGCAATCGTATCAACATAATGATTACCATTACGTCGTTCGTGCAGAGCGGAGGAACCATTACTTCTTTGTATTGGCTACCCGTATGGTTTCAGGCTATCAAGGGTGCCAATGCATTGCGAAGTGGTGTAATGATTCTTCCCCTAATACTATCTCAACTTGTTGCATCGGTGGTATCTGGGGCCCTCGTCCAGAAGACAGGTTATTATCTACCAGAGACGATTGGAGGTAACGCACTAGTAGCCATCGGGGCTGGTTTGACATCGACATTTTCTCCGAATACCTCGGAAGGAGAGATAATAGGATACCAAATTCTCCTAGGAGCGGGTCGAGGCTTCGTATTACAGCAGGTAACTGATATTGTCTTCCTACCCTTACTCGTTTTCAAGTTGGAAGAACATAGTACTGATAGACATATCAATTCAGCTTGTGACTGCTATGCAGGCCAACGTCCCTAAAGCAGATGCGTCGATAGCGACAGCATATGCTATGTTCTCGCAATTACTCGGTAGTGCGATCTTTTCGGCTCTGGCGAAGACCGTCTTTACGGCTTCAATAGCAAAAGCTCTTCAGAAATTTGCTCCAAGTATTGACCCAAACTTGCTGATCGATAACGGCGTAACGGATATAGCCAAGGTAATTCCACCGGATCAATTGCAAGGAGCTCTCTTAGCTTACAATGAAGCGATTAACTACGTATTCGTGAGTGTTTGGTCGGTAGTACCATAGCTAGCATTTGCTAATTAGTGAATTAGTATCTTCAACTTGCAGCGGCATGCTGTGCATTTGTAAGTAGCTGGGGTATGGGATGGAAAAATCTAAAGCACGTCAAACAAGAGCAAGAAAATGAGGTGAAGAATGATGCCGGGGTAGCGACACCAAGAACCGATGCGAAAGAAGAATCATAAGAATTGTTGCGATATAGAAACGCTTCGGGTGTGTTCTAGCTTGAATATTGAGCCGGATGATTCCGACGGCGATTTAATCAATTTGTCTGAAGGATTAGGTGCATATAATGTCTAAACTATTTCATGTTAGGCGTCGGGTAATAGGGATATAGATCCTACGAATGGTCGATCACATGACCTCCCTTTTTAACATCACTTGGTCGATTTGACTTCTTCTCTTCTTCCTAATTCGATAATTCCAATGTCAGCAAAGGTTTTCATGTTATTTTTCTTGGGATGATGGTATTAACTTACGAGAGTATGGAGTATGTTTACCCCTTTACGATCCACCTTGACCCTAAACCATTTATGTGGGGTTCGGTAGGCTTTCTCGTCGATCATTTTCTCTTGATCAGTAGTGTTTATGACCATGGATTCGAGACGGCACAGTTAGCTTCTCATTTAATATAGCATGCTTACTCTTTTTCTTAACTCTTGTGTTATATCCTATAGCGTGCAAATGGGGATTCGTGCGTAAGTTGCTAAATCGTGGGTCCTCTAACACTAGGAAGAGTCCCTCTAATTCAGGTGTATTGTAAGTCTGGACCCTCGCACTAGTCCACTACCAAAACCACTGACGTTGTTGTCTATTTAGCGGAGCTATCCGAACTAGCAGGGAGTCCTAGGTGTCTCTGCCGCAGACAATTAAATACTAATTAAAGTAATTAAATTGAGGAAAGGAAAGGGAAGGAAAAAGAAGAAAAAAGAGAAGAGAAGAAGGCATTACCCTCGGAATTGTCAGTGATGATAACGTGTATTCTTCGGGCTCTAAGAATACTTACGGAAATACCCTCGGTATAATCTGTACGAATGGACGAATCTGCGAGCTGTCCACTAAAAAAATCGTCATCTTTAGTCTGAGTGTTCAGTCTGAGTGCAGCACTCTTACACGCTAGGTGGTTACCGTAACAGGATTAGATACTTCGTATGTTTCAAGCAATAATTAAGATTACCATACCTAGAGGCAAGGCAAGGGGGGAAATGTCGGGACCGGGGAGTGTGGCATAAATTCTCAAACGGTTACTAATACTCAAGAACTTCCTATTTATCTGATTTATCTGTCAGAATCTTATCATAATGGTAAAGGAAAATAATTCATAATTCATAGTTCTAGGTTCAGGTTATCATCAAAGTATAATGACGGATTACGACTTCATCATCATAGGAGCAGGACTCACTGGTGTTGACGCTGCGTATCGATTGCAAAACGAGTTGCCGGATTGCTCGTACACGATATTAGAAGCGCGAGATGAGGTGGGCGGTACTTGGTCATTCTTCAAATTCCCGGGTGTGCGATCGGACTCTGAACTCACCTTGTTTGGACTATCATGGCGGCCATGGATCCACGAAAAAGATATGGCCGAAGGACATCTTATTCGGCAATACATTGAAGATGCCGCGCGGGATGAAGGCATTGATAAGAAGATTCAGTTCAAGACTCGGGTTACCGCGGTTGACTGGTCTTCCGAAGACCAATTCTGGACGGTATCAGTCCTCGCGGATGGTGTCGCCAAGAAATATAGAACGAAGGCCTTAGTGAGCTGCACAGGATATTACGATTATGCCAAACCGCTCCAGGCTGAAATACCAGGTATTGAAAATTTCCAAGGCACGGTCGCGCATCCACAATTCTGGCCGGAAGATCTTGATTACGCCAACAAAAAAGTTATCATAATCGGATCTGGTGCTACCGCCATTACAATGGTGCCTGCGGTAGCTAAGACGGCAAGCCATGTGACGATGCTTCAGCGTAGTCCCTCCTACGTTATGAGTCTTCCAGCGTCGAATCCGATTGCCAAATGGCTAAGGAAGCATTTCCCGACGCGCGTCGCTAACCCAACAAACTGGTGGTTGTATGTAACGCTATGTCGCAACCTCAGCATTGCGATAGAGCTTTGACGAATAATTGTTGGCTAATGTGTTTGTAGGGCTCTCATTCAAGAGTTTCTTTTCACCTATTTCTGTGTGAAATGCCCAAATGTAGCGAGGAAGATTATCATGCATGAGATGAAGAAAGAAATACCGGAAGGCATCGATGCTGATGTCCATTTCAATCCTACTTATCCGCCAATGGATCAACGAATAGGTTTATGTCCAGATGGTGATTTTTTCCAAGCCTTGCGACAAGATAATTGCGATATCGTCACCGATCATATCGAAACGGTCACTGAGGATGGTGTCGTGACTAAATCAGGGAAGAAAATCGAGGCGGATATCATTGTAACAGCTACTGGCCTTCGTAAGTGACTTGTTTCGATTGCTTCGTGGGGGTTATCCCGTATGGGTCACTAACCTTGGAAATCGTAGACGTTCATCTTCTCGGAGGTCTTTTCCCCACAGTCGACGGCCAGTCCATCGATATCGGACAGACATTCGCATGGAGAGGGGCGATGCTCTCCGGTATACCGAATTGTTTCTTTTCGATCGGATATACGGTAACCGCCTGGACTCATGGGGCTGCTGCCAATATGAAGCTAGCCATCAAAATTTGGAAGCATATGAAAAAGATCGGCGCCATATCGGTGGTGCCGGTTCATCCGAATGGGGATCTTTCCTCGTCTAAGCCGGCGGTTGGGCATAGCTCGACCTATTTCGTAGCAGCGCAGAGTAGGCTGCCTAGGATTACAGATAAGTCGCCTGTAGGTTTATTTTCTTTGACTTGATTCTCCTCGTTTATGCTTTCCCCTCAAAATGCTCTTCGGCATAGTGGACTCGTAGGTCGTGGCATCGTGATGTCTTGTTGTCAGCCCCAGCCCCATCCTTAACCCCCTCGTCCAATCGAAATGTGAACAATAGCTAATTTTCTGTGGCAGTGGTACGGACGTAGGAATACGGTATATGATCACGCAAAGCTTTGGTTTGGTAGCGTTACAAAAGGGATGGAATATACGTATCCATCGAAGAAGATTGAATGATTGATCACAAATTGTGTCGTTTTGAAAGAAGAAGGGGAAGAAAAAGACGGGAAAGGTGTAAATTGTATAATTATTTAATTCCGAAATGTATAAAATGTATAACATTGCTCAGATACATCCAAGTAGGTGCATATCCCGAGACATTTAGATAAAGTTTGGGGAAGTGTATTCCCCGCAATCCCCGGGTTATGGTGATGTACCTGTTACTTTTAAAAATGTAGAGGGGTCCAAGTGAAAGGTACAATGTTATCTTATCGGATGAATCTGAATCTTCTGTCATCATGTATCTACCCAGGTACAGCTACCTAAGCAAACATTTCGCATGCGTTGAAGGCTTTTATGTTTTAAAAGAGAACCTCCTCTGTTTCTTCATAATCCAATAAGACCCATCTAATCCGGAGTCAGCTTAGTTGTGTTGCGCTCGCTCTTGAACGAAAGCCTATTACCAACGCCAAACATGCCCAACTTTAGACCAGCATTGATAGTCATAGATCTACAAGAGGACTTTTGCCCTCCGGTAAGTCTTATCTTGTGGCTTACCCAATGACGAAATCTAAAGCTGACGACGACTAGAATGGTTCACTTGCTGTAGCCAATGGCCGTGATATCACACCGTTGATCAATAAGCTTCTAGCCTCACCTTTTGTGACTAAGATTGCGACCAAAGACTGGCACCCAACTGATCATATCTCGTTTGCCGCAAATCACAAAGGCAAATCTCCGTTTGAGGACTTTGTCACCATCGTGAATCCACACAACGAATCTGAGACCTATGAATCAAGATTATGGCCAGTTCATTGCGTGCAGGGCACTCCAGGAGCCGAGCTAATACCCGAACTACACATCGGCCAGCTTGACACGATTCTAGAGAAGGGCACGGACCCACGGGTTGAGATGTATAGCCCGTTCTACGACCCTTTCACTTCCCCACGTATTTGTGATAGCGGTCTTATGCAGGCCTTAAAAGAAAAGCAAGTGACGGATGTGTACGTGGTGGGGTTGGCGGCGGATTATTGCGTCAAGAACGCAGTAATTGACGCGGCTAAAGAGGGATTTAAAACATACCTGGTAGAGGAGTGTACCCGACCAGTCGACGCGTTGGCTTGGCCGGAATGCAAGAAGGAAATCGAGGCTACCGGAGTCAAAATTGTCAGCATGGACGGGCCGGAAGTACGGCGATTGATGACGGCGCAATAGCTGAGTAAGCTTATAATTCACCGAGGATGGTGGTTTCTACTCAGCAGAGAAGATAAGTGATTGCGGTTTTATTACTTATTACTCGTTCAATAGTTTGTGTTCATGTATGTAGGTAGGTAGGTAGGACATTATCAAGTCCGGAGTTACTTTATTGAAGCAAGCGCCGTCTTATGACATATCTAACTCGTACGATAGGAACCGGCAACGGGCTTATGGGGATCACAGGGCATGAGAAACTGTCATTTCAAGCCACTTACACTTACATACCAAGACACACATGTCTAGGATACAACACATGGACACAAGGGCAAGAAACGCGATGGATGCGAATATAAGTGTCTTACTAGGGTTACCTGGGTATATCTTGTACATGGTATATACAAAGGACAAAGCATACCATTCCTACGTAAAGTAACATTCCGTCACCGTCCGAGTTTCTGGATCTTTTTTTTTTCAGTGGCCTAGGATCAAACCGATGGATTTGTTAAGTAATCCGCCTATCAGCCTCTCTGATCCTGCTGTATCCCCCGTACCCATGTGGTATCCTATCGTATCCTATCGGAGTAGCTTCAAATCCATAATGGTCCGGACTTCTTCAAGGGGAAGAGATACCATTGGTTTTCGCCTCAAAAGACATGGATAGTTAATGTACGTTGGCTAGCTGGACCCTGAACATACCTAACTATAAAGTCCTTGGGAAATGTGACACTGCACTGCAGTTATGGATCGCATTAAATACATATGTAAGGCGTGGGGGGTAACCATTCGTTCCCACGAACTTGTCCTTTCCACACACACTTCCCACTTAAGAATTAGATTTGGTCTTCTTACATGTGCAAGTTTATCTCTTCAATTGTTCGCTCTTTTTATCCGTGTCTTACTTGATATTACTTGATATCTCAGACCCATTCCACCTAACCGATGAAGAAATACCCCGCCTTATTTCCTTATTTCCTGTGAAGACTCTGGAAATTTTGGAATAGAAACAGAGGGGACATCCCTGTTTACAAATGGATCATTGACGGGTAGGCGCATTTTTAGTCGTCATTGGCGTTCCCTCAACTCCTCAACTCCTCAATGGAGGAATTGTACAAAGTACTTAGGTAACGTCATTAGATATTATTGGGTACTTAGGTACCTAAGAATAATTTCCATGGATCAAAATTGATTGAATTGCATCGTGTAACCCAACCCATTAAACCTTCCTCCCACTAAGCTGTTGGCAAAGTCAGATCAATTGTACTCCCAACCAATTGATAAAAGTTTGACACAACATATCATAGCCAATGAAAGATAGACGCATTGAAGCTGAAAGTATGTAGTAAAAAAAATAAAAAATATAAAAATATAAAAGTACAAAACGATTAAAAGTTGTAATTTATTATCGGAGGATCGGAGGAAGAGGATATATCCACAATTGGGGTGGCTGAGGGCATTAAGGTTATGTAACCCGGGGTCCATCTGAGCATTAAGTTTGGTACCTAGCCGGGATCCAGCTCGAATTGGAAACTATTCTAATCGATAAGGCGGTGCTATCAGTACCTACTTGGCTAGGTACTCTATGTGGAGGTACTCTATGCAGTAGACCGGCGGTGTAGTGGATCCCCTAAATTCTGAGATTGCGACTAGGTACCTAGCTGCCCTGGTAGAGTTGTAGTATACCTAGGTATGTACTAGCCTGCTAGCTTGGAAGTAAAGTCAACTAGGTTTAGGGGGGTAAGAGAGGAAAAGTGAAAGAAGGAACCTTGGAAATTTCCTTTCCAATCCCAATTCCTCTTACTCACCTGAGCACTTAAATCACTTAATCACTTAAACCCTTCACCGATAATAAAATAAAAATATTCTTTCTACCTAATAATTACAAGAATAATCAATAACAAATATAATAATCCCCACTCTCTTCGTTCTTCACTCTTCCCTCCTCCCCTCCCCCCTTTGATTTGAACTTGACTTGATTCTTTCTCTAGTACGCACCTCTTCGTCAAAACTTACCTTTTGTCGTTGTGTTCGTCAACGAAGGTCTAGCGGTTCCTCTTGTCAATTCGTCTTGACCGCCCTCGTCCGATTCAAATCAGCACGGCACGAGGCTGTATATGTACCTTGTCTGCCTATTATAAGGGAATCTCCTCGTCAGCGAAGTCATCTTGACTGTTCCCTTCCCCTGTCGGTGTACTAGCCTTGTATATTCCGAGACACTTTTTTTTGAAATAGAAAAAGGTACGAAAGACATGGCTTTAGAAAGCTAATCAGTCTATACCTAATTCCCAACACAAGACAGGATTATTAGAACTAATCCATGGATTTTCCACCTTAGTCACCGACCATATTATCTGTTATTCGATACCTGCCAATGCCTTCGCGATAGTATCAATATGATAGCTTCTTCATTTCTTCCCTCCCGCTTTCGCGGTGAGCAGCCCGGCGAGACACCCGTCCCACCATCCAAGGCAAACAAGAGAATTACACCCGTCCTTCAATTCCTCTCCAAGCTCGCTACTTCACACCCGATCCACACTATCGTCATCGTCGCTTTATTAGCAAGTACTACATACGTTGGTGTGGTAAAAGAAAGTCTTCGAGATGTAACAAGGAGCTCAAGGAAGGCCGATTGGTCTTCCTTGACCGAAGGAAGTAGGAGCCTGCGAACTGGCCCCGAAACTTCTTGGAAGTGGCAGAGCTTCGACTCGGATTCCACAATACCAAAGGAAGCCGAGCACCTCGCTCTCGTCACTCTAGTTTTCCCCGAATCCTCCGAGGACGCGCCACAGACCGCACCATTACACCACATAGTACCATTACCCGAGAACCTAAGCGTTACCCATCTACCTTCGACCTCGAATCCTTTGACCGCCTATTCCCAAGACAGTGCCTTAGCTTTCGCCATCAAGTATAACGAGGCGCCTGAATTCCTTGCAGCGGCACAGGAAATCCCCAACGATGTTCCCGTACAAGAATCGCGCGAGACAGAGCTAGGCAAAGAAGAACAAAAGATGTGGATAATGAAGGTTGCCAAAGGTTATACCAGAGGCAGTGTGGCACGATGGGTTCATAATGCTTGGACTGAGTTCCTTGATTTGATCAAGAATGCGGAAACACTCGACATCATCATCATGGTGCTTGGATATCTATCCATGCATCTAACTTTCGTATCCCTCTTTCTTTCCATGAGAAAGATGGGATCGAATGTTTGGCTAGCCATCAGTGTGTTATTCTCGTCAACATTCGCCTTCTTATTTGGACTCAACGTTACAACTAAGCTTGGTGTCCCTATCAGCGTGGTTCTTTTATCTGAAGGCCTACCGTTCTTGGTAGTCACAATCGGGTTCGAGAAGAACATTGCTTTGACGAGGGCTGTATTGTCTCACGCTTTAGAGCATCGAAGACCGGAAGAGGAGTCTAAAAACGGCAAATCCAAGAAACCTGCAGACAGCACTATCCACTATGCTGTACAACGCGCTATCAAGGATAAGGGCTTTGAGATCGTTCGAGACTACGCCATAGAAATTCTAATTCTCGTCGCCGGTGCTGCCTCTGGTGTACAAGGTGGTCTACAGCAATTCTGTTTCTTGGCTGCCTGGATCCTATTTTTCGATTGCGTTTTACTCTTCACGTTTTACACTGCTATCTTGTGCATCAAGCTTGAGGTGAATCGCATTAAACGACATGTCGAGCTACGAAGGGCCTTGGAAGATGATGGTGTTAGCCGCCGCGTTGCAGAGAATGTTGCAAAGAGCAGCGACTGGCCTAGACAAGGTGGCAAGGACGCGGCTGATGCGCCCCTTTTCGGCAAGAATGTTGAAAGCAGCAGTGTGCCCAAGTTCAAGTTCTGGATGATTGCTGGTTTCATCGGTATCAATGTCGCCAATCTTTGCACGATCCCTTTCAGGACTTCGGATGTCTCGAGCGTTGTCTCGTGGTCTGGTGGTTTGGGCGCCGTTGTCAGCTCGCCGCCTCTCGACCCTTTCAAGGTTGCATCCAACGGGCTTGACGAAATTCTCTTCACCGCTAAGAGCCACTCGAGGCCAACCGTCGTTACTGTCCTCACCCCGATCAAGTACGAACTGGAATTTCCTTCAATTCACTACGCAGAGCCTCCTGTTACTTCGGGAGACGGACAGAATGGCTACAGTGGTAGTTACTCTCAGCTTCACGGTTACGGCGTAGGAGGTCGCATGGTTGGTAGCCTCCTCACAAGTCTCGAGGATCCGATTCTATCCAAGTGGATCGTGGTTGCGTTAGCTATGAGTGTTGCCCTCAATGGATACTTGTTCAACGTCGCTAGATGGAGTGTTAGAGACCCTAACCTCCCTGACCACCCTATCAATCCTGAAGAGCTTGCGGAAGCTGAAAGGTTCAACGATACACAATCTGCAACCCTGCCTCTTGGGGAGATGCAATCCAAACAACCAGAACAAATGATACCTGATCGGCCCATCACTCCCGCTTATACTGATGACGAGAGTACTACCCAAGCTCCACGACCTCCTCAGCCCCCGAAATCGCCTACAGTTATGAGATCCCCTGCTGAATTAGACAAGATGCTAGCAGCTAAGCGAATACACGAGATGTCTGATGAAGAGGTTGTCGCCCTATCTCTCAAGGGCAAGATCCCCGGTTATGCCTTGGAAAAATCTCTCAAGGACTGTACACGAGCTGTCAAGGTTCGCCGAAGCATCATCGCAAGGACCCGAGCAACAGCAGAACTCACTGGCCTTCTGGATAGATCCCAGCTACCGTACGAAAACTACAATTGGGAACGTGTCCTCGGTGCTTGCTGCGAGAACGTCATTGGTTATATGCCCCTTCCTGTGGGTGTAGCTGGTCCTCTTGTTATAGACGGTCAGAGCTACTTCATCCCCATGGCAACTACAGAAGGTGTGCTCGTCGCTAGCGCAAGCCGTGGATGCAAGGCTATCAATGCTGGCGGTGGTGCTGTAACGGTATTGACTAGCGATGGTATGACCCGTGGACCTTGCGTGCAATTTGAGACGCTCGAGCGTGCAGGTGCCGCGAAACTCTGGATTGACTCCGAGGCCGGCCAATCTGTCATGAAGAGAGCTTTTGACTCGACTTCAAGATTCGCTCGTTTACAGACTATGAAGACGGCTCTCGCAGGAACCAATCTTTTCATTCGATTCAAGACTACTACCGGCGATGCTATGGGAATGAACATGATCTCCAAGGGTGTCGAGCACGCCTTAAATGTTATGGCTACTGAAGGTGGTTTTGAGGATATGAGCATTGTCTCATTGTCTGGAAACTATTGTATCGATAAGAAGGCTGCTGCCATTAACTGGATTGATGGACGAGGTAAAGGTATTGTTGCCGAGGCCATCATCCCCGGTGACGTGGTTAAGGCAGTTCTCAAGAGTGATGTTGACAGTCTTGTGGAGCTCAACATATCTAAGAACTTCATTGGATCCGCCATGGCTGCCTCTATCGGTGGTTTCAATGCCCACGCGGCCAATATCGTTGCTGCAGTCTTCCTCGCTACTGGTCAGGACCCGGCACAAGTTGTTGAGAGTGCTAACTGTATTACCATCATGAAGAAGTAAGTTGATGTTCACATTAATTCCCCTCGACGGATATTGGATACTAACTTGTGGCTAGTCTACGCGGATCACTTCAGATCTCGGTTTCAATGCCGTCAATCGAAGTTGGTACGCTTGGTGGTGGTACTATCCTTGAACCCCAGGGTGCCATGCTTGATATGCTTGGTGTTAGGGGATCTCATCCGACAAATCCTGGAGACAACGCTCGTCGTCTTGCTCGCATTGTCGGAGCGGCTGTTCTCGCGGGTGAACTTTCATTATGTAGTGCTCTTGCCGCTGGTCACTTGGTTAAGGCACACATGGCACACAATCGATCTGCTCCTCCAACACGGTCCACTACACCAGCCCCTGTTGCTAGCGGTACTATGACGCCTGTTGGATTAGCAATGACGAGTGCTGTGGAGAAGGCTATGAAGAGCCCCGCCGCCGTCGATCGAGCAGCTGCGTCAAGACGCTAAATATTGTCTCTCTTACTCTTTACGTCACAGTGCTTGCGGCATGTGTGGATGATATATTCCGTTTCGGTCATAGCAGCGCATTACGGCAGGCGTTTAACGAGCTTGAGTTTGGTGTTATTCCATATGAAACTGAAGCCAATTGGGACATTGAATTTGCGAGTTTCCAGCAAATTCGGTTGGGGATTCAATCGTGTCCTCTACTGCGCATTTATTGAAATTCATTCCTTGGGGGGAAGTATTGGAACGTGGAGGGATTTACGAAGCTGCACGTTAAACTAAGCGATAAAATATTAGCGAGCGATTGCAAGCCTGGGTATCTAAGCCATGACATTAAACAGAGATAAAACATTAGATAGGTATAGAAAGGGGTACCCAACAAAACCCTAGAGGATGATTACTCGTTAACATAAATTTGTTAGCTGGTAATGGCTATTAAGATGTTTTGTACGACAGACTCGATAGAGCACGCCATTGCACCTACAACAGTATAAATAATATAATATCAATAGACAACTCGAAATGAAACTCATCTATGTTCATTCAGATGAATTGATTGTGAGGCCTAGCAGTACCGGACCAACTTTCAAAGGTCGCTTTCGCGCAAATCTTCTGGCGGTTCTATTTCCCATTTTTCACACAGCGCAGTTAGAATATTCCAATACTGATGCTACAGTCTATCACGTTCGTCACATTTGGATCCGTACCATCGTCCGAGATACCATCTTACCAGCGTTTTGCCATTGGAAATACCGCTATCTCCACGCTCGCATGCGCAATTCTTTCGGCGACATATTACCGGAAGTACAGGATGCCGGGTCAACTCATATACTTCTATGATGCAACATCCATCGGCCTTGGCCATGTCCCTTTTCTTTTTCCATACTCAAATTATTTTAGGTAGAGCAGAGAGATATGATATCTGTTGTTCGTTTGTGGCTATGGATGTCGAAAGATTAACCTTCCCATAATTTGTAGACCTTGAATCATTAATATGTTACCTCAATCCCAAGATTCTCGTTTCAATTGATACCTTCCTCATCTCCCACCTTACACCGACCCCTTGACTACTATCTTTCCCTTTACTCGCCCCTGTCTCAACTTCTCAAAGGCTTTCGGTACATCTTCATATTGGAATACCTCATCTATAGCGGCCTTAACTTTGCCTTCTTGCATCCATTTCCCGATTTGTTCGAGCTGCTCGTGTTTGTCTTCCGTAACGAGGTATTCCCACTTCCTTTTGCCGCCTCCTAGGAACGAAGGCAAGAAGCGCCTCGATAAAATAGTGTTTATATCGGCTAGAGTGAACTGGCCACCAATTTGCACAAACTTGCCATCCGGGAGAAGAAAGTGATCTGCAGCCTTATGGAGATCTGTCGGCGTACTACCGACGTTGTCAACGACTAGCTTGTAAACCTGGCCCTTAGATTTTAGGACCTCGCTGACGTTCTCTGTGGTGTAGTCGATAACCCCGTCGGCTCCCAAATTGCGACAGAAATCTGCGTTCTTCCCTGAACAACTCGTCGTCACGTAACAACCAATTGCCTTCGCAATTTGAATCCCGAATGTGCCGGTTCCACCACTGCCGCCGTTGATGAATATCTTATCCCCTTTCTGAACGTTTGGAACAATGCATTGATAGGCTGTCTGCCCGGCGGTACCAATGCAGCTTGCGTCCTGAAGGGACACGCCCTCGGGTAACACCGCGCATCCGCTCACCCGTGCAAGTACGTATTCGCTTAGCGTGCCGAACCTGTTTGGTGTAATCCTACCGAAGACTTTGTCGCCTACTTTGAAACCCTCTACGGCGCTACCAAGTTGTGCGATAACACCTGAGTAGTCCAATCCTGGCGATGCTGGAGTGGGCATTACAGCGCGTCCTACAAGGCCGAGTTCGGGGAACTTGTAGTCGGCTGGGTTAAGAGCGCTGTAATGGACTTTCACAAGGATTCCGTCGTCTGGAAATGGTTGTTTGAATGGCAATGCAGCATCGTCGACTGATTTGATATTGTTTTGTAATCCGCCGCTCGTTGAATTGTAGATCCAAGCCTTCATGGCTTTGAGATCGGTTGGGGACGTGCTGGACATTCTGTTTTGATGTAATATACCCTAGAGAATCATTGGAAGTGAATGTCTAAATGACCTTCAGTAGGTGTAGATATGAAAGTGACATGAAAATGGTTGTAGCATTCGAAGTGGGCTGTTATTAATGGCGTGCTTAAAACAGAACCAGAACAGCTTCAATAACGCCGAGGTATCTATGAATTTTCATGACGTCATGAATACACCACCAATATATAATTCGATAAATGGTACTATCTTTAATGTCCGCATGAATTAATAGTTGGAGTATTGGAAGATTTGAAAGATTTAATTAATATTTTGAATGTCTTGCTGTTGTGCTTATGAATTGACTCCTTCGTGAATGGAAGTTGAGTACTCAATGCCCACATAAGTGCCTAAAGTAGAAGGGATCAATATTCGATGCGCACCTACGTATATGTGGTTATCAGTGGAATATCTGCTTGCCTGGCATTTCGAAATTCCTAAGGATCTCTTGGGATACTACCGGTACCTAGAATGACGCATGGCCTTAAGGAGTGTTATTCAACTTGTACTTTAGCTCCTTGATTCATTGTTTTGGCTACATTCTTGTCTTGGAATCTTCATCCCCTTAATTAGCTGGTATGGCTTTCAATGCTCGAGCATGCCTGTTGCTGCTACTCATCTGCGACAACCACAACCATCTTAGCCCCGCCGCCACCTGACTCTAGGATTTCGTGGACTTTACGAATATCGTCAAGCTTAAACTCTCTGACTGGAATCTTAATCTTGCCATCTTCAATGTCACGGATTAATTCTTCCCAAGGCAGAGCCATCAAATCATTTGGACCACCTCCGTATGCACAGAGTCGCACACGATTCGGTAGATCACCCATTGGTATGAACTTTTCCAATTCCCACGATCCACCTTGGATCCCGGTCATACAGACCGTACCTTTTGGTGCTGCGCATTTGAGAGAATCTCGAAGTGTAGTAGTACCGGTGAGTTCGAGGATCTTATCGAAGCCACCTTTGGAGGTCTGGGCCACATCGTTTGCGATTTCACCTTTATCGATGAAGACTTCGTCAGCTCCACTATCTCGTAGTAACTTCTCGCGCTCTGGATTTCGAGTAGTCCCTCCGATACGACTAGCACCAATCTTGCGAGCTAACTGTAGAGCACAGAGTCCGATGGAGCTCGTAGCACCACGGACGAGAAAACTTTCACCGGATTTAAGGTCCAAGCCAGAGACTAAGGAACCCCAAGTTGTCTGAAACATCTCCGGTAGGGCGGCAAGGGTGGCGATGGATAAGGACGTTGTCGGAATAGGTCGGACATTAGTTTCGGATACGCACGTGTATTCGGCGTAGGATCCCGGAATCTGTCTACCGAGACCACCCATACAAGTAGCAATGCGGGTTCCGACGGCATGCTTGGGTGTACTGGTTGCTGTGGTGGGGTATGCTGCGATGGTGCCTATACATTCGATACCAATGATGCGCGGGAATTCAATACCTGGAGAATGGCCTTGTCGCGTGAATAGTTCTGTCATATGGGTTAGCGGCGGAAGCTTAGCTTATGCCATAGCAGATTTGCGGATAGGTCGGATAGGAGGATACGACAACGCGTAACATACCAGCTCGATTTATGCCGAAACCTAAGATCTTAATTAACACTTGGCCCGGTTGCGGTGTCGGCAACGGTATATTCTGGATGCTAAGAACGGATGATGGTCCGGTAGCGGTGCAAACCGCCGCTCGCATAGTCTTGGGTAAAGTCGATTGCATATTGACCTATGGAACTTTGCCGTATGTAACGTGTATTGATTTCGTGATCGTAACTAAGTCTGAACTAATCTTATTCTATCTGGGGCTATCTTGATGCCCTATTTGGTATCTAACGATTCAGTTTGAATTTCTCTAGCTTCTCTTTAGCTTGTCGTAAGAGAATTGGAAGATAGATAGGGTATGTTTGTATGGATGGTGGAGGTGGGTAAAGTGAGGGATTACGCAGCAAACTCATTAGTCTTGACGTATGCATGCGTATTAATGGTATTAATGACAGCGTCATCTCTCAATGTGGTTTTATTGGAATTTGGAGTACCTGAGTACTTAGGTAGATACCGAGGTTCGGGTTAAGATTGTTTTCTATTCGCTTCTCTATAGAATTGTAATATCCTAAGCGAGACGCGGCCGAAGGATGATGATACTTATGATATGTATCACCGAACATTACACTATGTTTAGAGGGTCAATTTGTATACCTAGGTATATTATCTCCGAGCACGGAAGTAAGAAATCAAGTCCACAATATGATTTTGATAACTCCTAGCTTTCTTCTACTTTGAGTAAAGACGATTCCAAGACTTCATGGCGATGGATGGCTTCCGCAACTAACCTTAACTTGACAACCGCAACCGATAGGTTATAGATCGTGGTTCATGGATCGTCGGCTTACATCCGACTTTTCTAACACTGTAATAGTTGTCATCTGATGACCAGCATGGGTTACTCGACCAATTCGAAGGAATTAGCAATGACTTGCGATACTGCGAAACTGCAATACTGAACACGAACGTATTTAATTCGTAGTAATTGTTGGTAATATAATATTTATGTCTTTCGTGATAACTTGCTGCTGTCTGGCTGTGGATAGTAATAGATCTATTATAATTTTCTTATTTCCGTGACCGTGCGACGGATATAACGCGGCAGAAAGATGGACGGTGACATTTACTATGGGTCAGGGGACGACTTTAAGGTGGGATACATCAGATAAGTTGGTATTCCCGTAAGTCCCATCCACCACACCCATCCTTACCGATTCGTGCCCCGCGTCTACCCATGGTTATGGCCCATTGATAATAGAGCAAGTCATTAAGCCACTTGCCGCATTGTTTCCGTTTCTTGCAACCTCAGCCCAGAAAAAAAAGAAAATTCTTTTTCTCAGTGACCATTCACCATTCGTTTCCCCTACTATCTCCGTTACTATGTTACCTAGAAGGTTGTTTCACGGACTTGCCGTTTTTAGCTAGGTAACTCTACCTAGGTAGATACTTGGGAACAAAAATATGTAGATTGCGTCTTGATGGAAAACGTTTTGTCGAGACACATACACTAACACGAGGGGATAAACCCCTGTTGATGATGGTCTATGGTTACGACACTACCTTCATGTAGGTTAGGTATTCCTGTTTAAACAGGATCCACACCATTTTGGGTGAGTCAATAGAGAGACGAATTGTTCTAAACTCAGCCCTGTCCTTTTCGAAGGATTCACAGCTAGTTTAACCCGCGTTTGTGATTATTTTGAACCAAAGATTCATTCTTACTCTTACCCTCACAAAACAACAAAAGCATCTCTTCCTATCTTTGGTTCTATATCTTTATTTATCTTGGTGTGGTTTTATTTGTTTCAAATTGGTAACATAACCCTAAGGTCTCACCAAATAGTCGTCGTCATTATTAGGTACGAGGAAGTTGGTTGATTACCCCCTCATAGACGAATAAGACGGAATTTTCGAAACATCTCAGCCCTACCTAGGTATGCGCATTAGCTAGATCTTGGAGCATTTCCCGCGGATCGCCCGCCTAATGTCTAACGCATCTTCCGCTGCTCCTGTTCAATCCAATTCGACTCCAATGGATTCCTCCGCCCGCTCGTCTCCAAACGAACATTCAATCAGTTCACCTGGCGCTGCATCGACGCCACAAGACTCTGCGCCCGGATCGAATCCCGCTTCAGCCGCTGCTACATCTGGCTCTTCTAATCCAACATTCACACCATCCGGTCCCATTACACTCGACCCCTCTACGACTCCCTCCTCGGCGCTGAACCCACGCAGTTGCGTAACATGTCGCCGCCGAAAAGTTAGATGCGATAAATTTATGCCTTGTGGCAATTGTCGCAAGGCCCAGATCCAATGTGTCTTTCCAGCACCTGGCCGGGCTCCTCGGCGACCGCGCATGAAAGATCCCAATGCCCCGCCGAAACAGACTAGCGAACGCGAGATCGAGTTGATGAAGCGATTAAGGAAGCTAGAGAGTATAGTAGAAGATTTAAGCGGGCAGATCGAAATCGAGACAGCGAGACATCCTTCTCTAAGCGGCGGCGGTTCGCCTGAGACAGCAATAGATAACGCACAAGAGAGGGAACGAAGAAGACAAAGTGGAATGGTATATAGCGAGAACCTTCCCGGTGGTTATCCGCCTGCCGAATATTCTAGACTTGGTCGTTCGCAGATTGGTGATCCTCCGTTAACAAGTCCTTCCGGAGAAGTGGGCAAGTCTTTCGGAAGATTAGTGTTGAACGAGAAAGGGAAATCGCGCTACATAAGCAGCGCATTTTGGTCTAAGATTAATGACGAGGTTTGTGGCCTAGGTTCCCTCTTCTTCTTCCGTGAATGCGATTGCTGACGTGCGGGATAGATTAATAAACTTCGGACAGACACGGAGATGCTCAGCGATGAGGATTCTGAAGGTTCAGATGATGGCAGTAGCCCCGGTTCGCTTAACCCATATTCAGACCAGGTCGATCATCACGGTTTCGTACTCGGCTATAGTTCTTCTAACGTCGATTTACGGAAATTACATCCCTTACCGTCCCAAATACCATTTATATGGCAAGTCTATCAGGAGAACGTCGATCCGCTTGTGAAGATATTACACGTACCATCTATGAATAAGGTCATCCGCGAGCTTAGAACAAATATTAATGACCTATCACCGGGAATGGAGGCGCTAATGTTTGCTATATACTACGCTTCTATCACGTCTATGGAAGAGCATGAGGTTCGTGACCCTAGCTAGAGAGATATTGGTATACAAACATAAACTGATCATGATTCATTTAGGTCAAGGTAAATTTTGGCGCCGAAAAAGGACAACTTATTAACAAATTTCGATTCGCCACGGAGCAGGCTCTAGCGAAAGCCAATTTTCTAGTCACCTCCGAATTGATAGTTGTGCAAGCTTTTACTCTCTTCCTCGTTCTTGTCCGACGGTATGATGATACTAGGTTCGCCTGGACTCTAACAGGACTCGCAATTCGCATATCACAATCGCTCGGAATACATCGAGAAGGGACCAAGTTTGACGAATTAAGCCCTTTTGACGTCGAAATGCGTCGTCGACTATGGTGGGCTATATGTATTTTGGATCTTAGGTCGGCGGAAGATCAGGGTACCGAGTTAACGATCGCGGAACGAACATACGATACGCACTTCCCGTTAAATATAAATGACGTCGATATAACACCTGATATGACAGAATTTCCCGAGGAGAGAACGGGACCCACGGATATTACATTTTGTCTTATTCGTTACGAGATTTGTGCTTTGTCTAGAAAGATCCATTTGGCAACAAATGGGATGGCCCCATGTCGCTCTCGAAGTACGGAAGAAGAACGAGAGAAGATGCTTCTCGAATGTTACGAACGCATCGAGAAGAAGTATTTAAAATCATGCGGCGATAAAGATTCCGACGTACTTCATTGGGTCGCAGCAATGATCGCGCGACTTATCATGGCTAAAATGAGTCTACTTATATACCAACCAATGCTACTTCACTCGACAGGCCAAGAGCTTGCTAGTGATATACGGCATCGTCTCTTCATGGCGTCCCTTGAGGTCGTCGAATACACAAAAGTCCTTAACTCGGAGCCGAAGTGTCGGCAATGGAGATGGCTTTTCCAGACGTACGCACAATGGCACGCCGTTGCGTATCTATTGCTGGAGACGTGTCGCCTACCGTGGACTCCCTCACTTGAACGTGCATGGATTGTACTTAATGCGACTTTCCAAACTCCTGACGCTGTGGTACGTGCTAGGCCCGGGGTATGGATTCCATTACGCAAATTGATGGGCCAAGCGAGTCGTCATCGAGAAGAAGAGGTTCAACGACTAAGGGCTAACCCTGAAGCTGCGCAACAGCTTGACACGGATGAGCAACTAAAGGCTCAACCAGACAGTTTTAAACATTTGTCTAGCTCTGTGCGAAGTGTTCTCGCCCAGGATCAGTGGCGCAAGCTCGTCGGCGTCAAGGGTCCCGACAAACCAACTTTCCACGTATCAAGCCTATTAGGTGATGGAACACAGACGGATAAAAGGGAAATCCCACAAGGACAATCTAATGTCGAAGTACCTTCATCTCAGATGCAATTCGTGGACCACATAATGTCGCAACCATATCTAGACTCTTCGGACTTATTCGGAGTCGCGTTTCCAGCACAAAATGCTTATCTAACTGAAGGAGGTGGTCAGCCACCAGGAAATTCCCGCCCAGATACATCCGTTCCTATCGAAGCATTCGGCCCTTCCGGTAACGATGCATATGATCCTACAACAGGACCGACGCCGCAAAGCTACGTTGAAGATAACCCCCCGCCATGGCTTTGGACCGATGCCTGGGGAGATAATACTACGAATCGTGGAAACCCCAATATGCCAGCTGCTGACGATCAGGAAGTCAATATGGATGTTGATGAAGGTTTTAATTGGCAAAACTGGATGGATAATGGGCTTGCTATGGGTCGGGTTGGTTTTATGGGTGGTATTTAACCAAGGAAACCAACCTAGATATCCATGAAATATTATTTCCCTCAATGTTTAGGTCGATCACAACGGCCTATAGCGGATGAATTCTGTGAATAACTTGGATATGTTCTAGCTGATTCCACGGTGCTATCATTTGGTTCTACCCGCCAAACTGAGGAATTTGACCTCAACTCATAAAAGAAGATGGAAAGAAGGAAAGCCGACATTAAGAGAACGAAGGGATGAACTCACGCGACTCCGTGTAAATACTGATACCCTTCTCTTGAGTTTTGAATATGAGATCTCAATGTAACAACAAGAACCCGATTTTAAATAGTGAAGTATATAATGATTCTACGTCTAGCTACGCGGCGCATCTATGGTAACATCGTTATGTACCTAATCACCTTACCGGGTGCCGAAAGCCTTGACGAGTTAGATCGGGTACCGAGCGCCGAAGAATATCGGAGGGGTGGGTATTATCCGAAATAATAGTGCCAGGGACACTCAGCCAAGGCCCACTAGCATTGTTAATATCTACCTAGGTAGGTATGGTACTTAGTATGTGACCGGAAATCGGCCAGTCTGACGCGATAATCCAGCTTTGTCCAATTTGATCCCCGGGGAAATGGACTTGGGAAAAACCCCATTGCGAAGATCGCCTTGCACCAACTACCTCTCAACGAAGTCATAGAGATTGATTTATCAGCTTTATCTATAATCTAGGTTGATTACAAATCAGCCCAGCGACACGATTTACCGAATCTCTTCAGTGATTCTCTCGGCGATGTCCCGAGTGTAGCTCACTAGACATTGCCGCGTATGTTGACCACGGCGAAAATGTCCGATGGGCGATGAATGTGCTGTATGTTATCCCGTGTACCTAACGCCCAATAGGTGCTTTCATAACAATACCATATGAAGCTGTTTGATAGATGAAGGCTCGGCCGCTTCTCCGAACGTGGGATACCCGCAGCCGAGTATATTAGAGTAGCTTTGGGTTTCATACTACTTCAAGTTGAACAAACCTATCTCACCAGTCGCGCAATTCACCTAGAAGCATTCCAATCGTCGAATTCGTCTCAAAATTATTTCGCAATGTCACATCATGTACTGATAACAGGAGGGTCCGGGTACCTTGGCGGAACTCTCCTTGCTCGAATGGGTTCTGCTAAGCTACCTCCTTATGGAAAGCTATACGCTTCGGTACGGACAACGGAACAAGCGGAAAGTATTCAAATCTATGGTGCACAACCACTTACATTCAATCTCAAAGATGAATCGGAAGTGTGGGCAACCATCACCGAGAATAAGATTACGGTGGTTTATTACTTGATCGATGCTATCTCTACTGACCCGCCTCAATTCTTCATTAAGGCTCTCGCCGAAGTAAGAAGGATCACAGGAATGACGGTTCACTTCTTATTTGTAAGTTGTTCGAGATGATCTTGTCTACATAAAAAAACATCCCATATCTAACTATTTGGCTGCACTCTAGACAAGCGGTGCCAAGCTTTTCTCCGGGCACGCGGGAGCCCCGACCGATCGACCTCTTTTGGATACTGATCCCGAGCTGTATGCTATCCAAAAGTCTCAACATGCGAAGCTAGATCGAGTTCAACAGGTGAGAACACTTATTAAGGCCGACATTGTCATTGTTCGCTAAGCTAAGGTATTAACTCAGGCTGTTAATACCAACTGCTCCGTCATAGAGCAAGCTGAGCGACAGGGAGTTCGTAGCTACATATTCGTACCATGTATTGTGTGTAAGTGTCTCTATACATTGAAGGAACCCGAAACCATACTACCTGGTGTCTCACGCGTTTCTTGTTCTGAATGTGGGCGATATAATGAGCCGAGGACATGTCTTGCTAATGATATCTCGCAAACAGATGGTAAAAGCGAAGGATTTGGCGAACCTATCGCAACACTTCGCCAGATAGTGGCCATCGTACAAGCAGGAAAGGAACTTAAGCGTGTATACCGAGTTGATTTGGACCGACCGGTAAGTCTACACTTGCGCCCCATCTTCTACTACAACTGACGATGATGAATATAGACATGGCCGGTGTGTCATATCATTGACAACACCACGATGTACATAGAACTATTACGAAAAATCCTTGCCGAAAATAATCCAAACCACGGGAGAAATGGCTACTATCTTGCTTCTTCGGGAAGTATTGCGGTAAGTGTCCTGGATAGTTTGTGATTCTTTATTGGGCGGAACGCAAGGCTCGTCAAGCGCAAAACCAAAGAGACGAGATCTCGTTAAAAAGAATCTTTCTAATGTAAATCTACAACAGTGGGATGATCTATATGATTCTGTCGCAACAGCCTTGGCTAAACAGAACGTTGTCAGTGACAGCTCGGTTGCTTTAGCCAACGACTCGATCCTCGAAGGTATGGGTGCCGCAATTGGATATCCGAAGGAATTCGTACATGTCCAATTGGGTGGAAGGTAGGTTATTTCATAGCGACGATAAAGTCATATTAGTATTCGAAAAAAGAAAGACTGACCAAGAAATGTGATGTTAGATGTACGTTAACGGCTAGGCACGCAGAAGAAGAACTTGGTTGGAAACCTGTCTATCCACCAGAACACATTCTGGAATTGGCTGATGCCGAGGTTGAGTGGATTTTAAAGCACCTTGAAGATTAGCATATAACTTCACAAGTTGGGGTTTTTATTTCCACTTAAACCGAGGTGGGCGCGCGATCAGGTATGAAAAAAGATTCGACTGAATGTACAGGGAATTAATCTAATACCCTAGATAAGTAGATGTAGCTAATAACAAGCCAAAATGCTAGCGCTGGAGCAAATAATTCAAGATATATTGAGCGTCTTGATGCCCCCTTTATACGACCCAAGCACGCAAGCAAAAACAGTCCCGTCGCGATGGAAAACAATGGAGCTTAAGAATAGCGCCTATACATTGGTTTCCACTTGTTCGGAAACTAACTTGTAACCCTTAGGCGTAATCTGCTCGTATCTTGATGAACTTTTATAGTTTAATATCCTCTAGTAGATAATCTTCCTACCCTCCCCTCAACTTGATCTCCAGTTTCTGAAATTCTCCATTATCGCTTCCTTTCTCTATTGGTATTGCGTCGAATGTCTGATTATTTTGGACCTTTTCTGATTCTATCGGGCTCGAGTCGGTCTTTATACTGCTACCTGAATTGGGAGCAAGTCCTAGCGATGATAGCGGTGGTGAAGACGGTGCTTGTGTTAATACCCGAGCAAAGATTCCTTCTGTCTGTGGCTATTTATTGGAAGTGTGGTGTTGGTGGTCGTCTGTTCGACGTCTCTTTCTTCTTCTATCGTTCCCTCCGCTTGGGGATTCCTCCTCGCCGTGGCACTGCTGTTGTTCACCCTTCCTATCATATGCTGCAGATGGACGCTTGGCCTCTCGGTGAACGGAAGTACCCGCGCATCCTTCTTGGTTCTTGGATCCGCTTACACCACCGTCATTCAATTCGGGAGTAATGGGAGCGGTAGGTGATTCTGAAGGTAGTTCCGAAGATGTTGAATCTCGCCTCTTTCTTTTGGCTTGGCGTGAGCTGTTTTGATGTGCGGCTGGATTGGGGAGTCCGATAGGAGTTTCGCTTGGTCGCATGTTGGCTTCCACACCGACTTGTTTCTCTTGTGGTGAAGTGCTATACCATTGAAGCTCAGGATCAATTATCTCTTCGATGGGTCTTGCGTAGTCAATTGACGACGGCGACGGCGGCGGGGAAGATGATGCCGTCATAGGACTGGACGGGCCTGATGATGTAGGAGAGGGAGGGTTTGACGGTGGCGGAGACTCGGTGGTTAGCGGTAGAGGTAAATTCGTAGGGGGATCACAGACTGAGGTTATCAAGCCTGTGTCCTTGATGTCGCTCGAGTACGAACTAAGAAAGTTTCCAAGGGTTAGGGTTAGGGTTAGGGTTAGGGTTAGGGTTAGGGTTAGGGTTAGGGTTAGGGTTAGGGTTAGGGTTAGGGTTAGGGTTAGGGTTAGG